GAAGCACGCGGCTTCGCAGCAGGGCAGAACCCCTTCGCAGCTCACCGCGGCGACTCCGCCAGTGTCGACGCCATTCTCGGCGTCGCAAGCGCACGCGGCCTTCTCGCCCAGAGGGCCCAAATCGTCGCCTCAGCAGTTCAAGAAATCGCCCGCGACCTCGACCACCCTGATGGGCCACCCCGCGAATGGCGCCCTCAACTTCGACAGCCCTTCCGCGGCAGCTGCTATGGGTGCGCTCGGTATAAGTGGGGGATTGGATATTGGGCTGGATCACGTTGGCGTCGGAGGGTTCGGCGGCCTGGGAGCACTAGGCAGCGAGGACGACAAGATCAAGAGACTCGACGCAGTCATTGAAATCCTCGGGGTAGGCCAACACATTACACGCCTTTCATTCTGAATGAAGACTGACACACTGTCTTGTAGAAGGCAAAAGGCCGAGTCAGCGAAGCCGGACTCGAGCGCCTCACGCTCCGAACAGGTCTTACTAGCATGTGGGACGAGCATAGGTCGCCCGACGGCAGGAAGACGAGGATGCTAGTCATTGCCGGTCAGGCTTTGACGATTGATATCGAGCTCAACAACAACATCGTGGAGAACGTCTCATTGGGTTTCCCGGAGTCGGGCCCCATCGTCACAAGGCACAAAGACCAAGCCGGAAACATCCTTCTCAGGGACCTGCAGCTTCGCCCCGACCAGAGCCCGTTGACCAAGACCCTGGAAAAGTTCTCTGCAAACTTGGAGCGCCTGGCCAACCTTGACAGGCTGAGCGTCATTCCCGGACTTGACTGCCAGGAAGCTCTCGCCGGCATCTTTGAGAGTCTCGAGAGACTACACAAGTGGGAGCTGTCGAAGCTGCGGGAGGACCCTGCCATGGGCGGTAAGCCAGACCGTTTCCTCGAGACAACCGTCATGTGCACCAAGAGCGGTCGGCCCATGATGCATACGAGAGACATGGTGGGACTCAGCATCGAGTACTGGACCGAGAGGCGCCATGTCATTCCCAGAACGCCAGAGACGGTGCGCTACTGCGAGAATATGGAGAAGGTCTGGTCGATTCTCATAGGCTGCAAGGCCCTGGATGGTGACCTGTTCCCTCCAGTCCGGGTAACAGAGAACTGGATTTCCCAAAAGGTGGAGAAGGCCGAGCCTGGACCCGAGGACATTCTCGTTGCAGCTTCCGGACCGGCTCTCGACTGGCTGGAACCAGAGCCCACGACGCTACCCCAGACCGACGACAATAAGGACTCGGGCATCGACGTGGTGCAGCCGGACGGTACAACGCACAAATACCCGAACGTCAAGTTTGTGGCAACGCTCACCCCGTCAGTGATCGTGCCACAATCGGTATGGAACACGCTGCACACCCTCACAGGAGCGCAGGCTCAGCCCATGCCTCTCCCCACCTACACGTTCGACAGCATCTCTTTCCCGATACCCGAGGGAAGCAACCATGATGCAAGCGAGCTTCGAGTCATATCCTGCAAGAGAAAGGTCCAGGTCCCTGGCGACGGCAACACCGTAACGTCGCGGAAGCACAAGAACACCCTGCTCATCTACAAGCCTGTGTATGGCCAGACCGTGACTGAGCTATCCTTCTCGCACCCGCGGCAGCTGGTGGCAATGCTTCCCATTCTCCGCCAGTATGCCTTCATATCAACCTTGCTCGAAAGAAGCTTCGGCTCCAACATTACCGGCGAGACCGTACCGGAAGTCGACGAATCGATCATCATTAGCGATACCACGACGACACAAGCCGAGTACGACAGATTCATGTCCAAGACCTACAACGTCGACGAGCAGGAGCTTACGCTTGACGTGGTGCTGACTGTCCACCCTTCGGCCGGCCTCCACGTCGTTTTCCCCTTCCGAAACGCCACAGCCAACGTTGACCTGCAGATACAGCAGAATGGAGTGGTCCACGTCGTGTCACAAAACATTGTTCCTGCCAATGGCGAGGACGTGGCAGACGCGGACAAGGGCAAACACAAGCGGCTTACCCCGCAAGACCTGGGCAGGTTGCTCGAGGTGATGGAGGATCTCTGTTCCTGGGCAGAATGGATCCGAAAGAACCTGTCATAGATCCCCAGACGTTGGTGGGTTGTCTTATAGCCCCCCTGGCAGAGGGCAGGGCTTCTGGATATTATTTGGCTTTGTTTTTGTTCTGTATAATTGATACCCAGAGAACCTTTCCTTCTTCACCACAAGGGATCATCGGCACCTGGTTGAGCCGTCATTTTTCTTGTAGCCAAGGACGAAACATCGTTCAGTCTCCCATGGATACGATTCCTGAACGGGCGGGGAAGGTGGACTAGAAGAAAGTGATGCAGGTTTGCTTTCGTGCCCGTGTGGCGTTGGGGTTTCGGAAAGAGAGGCAAAGCAGGAGGTCCGTTTTACGCTCGCCTGACCGTTGAGAGAAGCCATCTAGCAGCGAGCCCGAACAAAGGGAACGCGGAACCACTTGGTGCGTCAACGGTTAGGGACTCTCATCCGGTAGTCCGGGTTAGCCTGCCGCCTACGGGAAGGCTGAAAGGGGAAGAGGAAGTGAACAATGAAGTGGATTACGATGACGTCCCCTCGCTCCGTCCTGCTACACTAGTGAAGCTCTCCCACATGGGCGGGATGATCGCTGGTGTTGGTTGTCGGGATCGATCGACAAGCGCATTTGCCCTGCCTGGCTTCCCGTGACGTCTACGTCGCCTAGTCCAATTTGTTGATTCATATGTTGCTTCCTCAGTGGGGCCGAAGGTAATGACGATGGGGGGTTTTTTTTTTTCCACGATCACAACGATGGGTTGCTGATCCAGACCCTGCGCGTTTCTACTGCGCGAAGCCAATCGAGTTCCTCCGGGCTGGCATGGTAGTTTGAATAATGAGTCCAAGTTGGGAATCTCAGGTTGGTTCAACCCCGGACAGGGGCCCGGGCAGGAGGAAGCGCGACTGCGACCCGGCTCCTCATCAATCCGCCTTGGTCTCCTCGATCGTGGTCCAGTACGATGCATGTCTTGGGTTGCGCACGGGAAGAAGCATCCGCCTCGGGGCATCTCTCGGGAGGGGCTGTCGCAGACATTTTGACACAACTGAATACAAATAGTCGGATACCCGATGGGAAGGGAGATGAAGGCGAGGGAGAAGAAAGGGCGGGTGTCCCGGGACTTCGTTCGGGTGGCGGCGCCGGACCACGGTCAGGCCAAGCGGGCTGGGCTGCCTTTGCCTTCCACTCCCCAAAGCCCTCGAGGTTCACGTTTGCTTTTACGTGCGACGGGAGCTAGACGCGCCCGGCAAATGGATGATGCCTCTACTGCTTTTCGACGGCGTTTGCGGCTTTTTGCGCGGTCGCTTGCTAGTTTTCTTTTCCCGACCTTCTTTTTCGGGCTTGGTTGTCTCTCCCGAATAAATGCGCCGCCGCCCTTTGGTCCCGATGCCTGATATCTAGAGACGATGGGCGGCCCACACAATGACTGCAACCGGTGCCGACCTGGTTAATTTTCTGCGTTTCTTTTCTTCTGCCCATACCCTTTCGTCACATTTTTTTTGCGGGAGTCTGTGCTGTCCTAGTGCCTGTCCTGCCTGCTTCAGAAGATCGGAGGGTGATGGATGGGGAACCACAGAGGGTCGAAGAGGGGGAGGGGAAAGAATGGAGGGAAGCGGTATCGATAGGGGGGTGTTCTGCGTTGTTATTGACTGGAAGTCAACAAACAATGGGAAAGTCAACAAATCGACTCCAAACAAAACATAGAGAATCCTCCCTATTCCACCTGGAAGCGAAATTGGCGGAGACCATACGGGCTACTGGATACCGCCTGATAAGGTAGAAACCCAGGACTCCGCAAACTCGTAAAAAGAGGAGCACAACTGGCGCGAGGACGGGGCTGGGGGCCATCTTTACCCGTGCCTATTACTCTCGGCTTTCCGGTCCCGTTGTGGCGGCAGCATCGGAATGGAATCTGGTGGTGAGAATCCGGAGACTGTTGTGTGAGAAAAACGACACGTCTGCCTGTTGGTCTGTGTACCCCCAATACGATGCTGGGAACCTGCGATGCTGCATCGTATCAGAGAGTTGACAGCCAGAGAAAGGGTTCGGCCGGTCCACTTCTTTTTTCCAATACTTCCAAAGTCAGAAGGTCATCCTGGAAGTCAAGAGGCCATCCCATCTCTTACTTTCTACCCGTCCGTGTTCCGGTTCATGTGCAATATTGGTGTAACCCTTGGCTGACACCTCGACTTTGTGACTTGCATTCCCGTCTACCGCTGCCCTCGGAGGCAATGCGACGAGTCTTTTTTTTTGTCGGAGCCCAATCCCCCTCCCTAAGCCAAGGAAGAGCCTGGCTACCTCTTGTAAGTTTTCTCTGCGCTATTCACCAACTCCATGAGGGTCAAAGAGCGTCCGAGCTTTCGAGGCTCGAACGGCGATCTTAAAGCTCCCCGCCATTGTGGGCCGAATAAGAAGCGTGGTCCTGGCACTGGACTCCCCTCAATGATGCGGGCGCCCGTTTTATTCTTGATTTTGACGCAGTCCGTTGAAGAGAGGCCTAGAAGAGTCAAGACGGAGAGGAGAAGGAGAAACACCAGTTTCTTCTTAGAGAAAACTCTAGTGAAGCCGCTGCCGCGCCCCTAGGTGCCTGGCCTTTCCCAGTGTTCCTATGTCCCAAAAGCTCCGTCCATGGGATGGGGGAGGGGGCAGCAGAAAAAGAGATTTGAGGAAGGCGAAGGGGCGGGAAGGTGGGCTTCAGGCGTCCCAGGTTGGCAGACCGGCGAGCTCGTCCCGCCCCTTGACTTTTTATCAAAAGCCATCTGGCACTTGCAGTGACTTTCAGTATTGTCTCGGAGGACTTTGGGCACATTGCGGCGTCGCCTCCAGATTAAGAGTGGAAGCGACGCAATACGGCACTGCGACGACCAGCATGAATTCGTAATATCAGGCGCAATTAATCGCTGACCCTGCTGCTTTCCCCATTGAGATCGGACATGCGATGCGGTTGTGTGGAGAGGACCTGACCAAGATGATGGAAGGAATGAACGATGCGCATGATATGGTATGGATGGCCCGGGAGATTGGGAAGGGATTTGATGAGGCAAGGTCAATGGCTGTTGGCCGGCCTGGTGGTCATGACGGTAGTGACGGTGGCGACGACGGTGGTGGCCTCAGCCAAAACTGGACGAGTGTACAAGAGGCAAAGTACCTCGGGGGTAGGTAGGATTGACAAAGTACATAATATTTGTTTTGTTGGTGTTGGTGTTTTTGTTTTGTTTTGGTTCCCGGCTGTGGCTTGTCGCGTTTGTTTAGTGGCCTGGCCCCATCGCCCAGCCGTCTTTCTATTTTGAACGATGAGCCCAGCCCACCTTTCCCCGCTGCCCGACAGTCGCCAAATTGTGGCCACTCGTCCTCGGCGAGCTGGTGTAAGCCAGCAATGACGACTTGGAAGGAGAAAGAAGGAAAGAAAGAAGCGTGCCGCTGCGTCTCGACGGAGTCCAAGTGAACAAGTGTCAGTCGAATCGTGGCTTTGAGACCAGGGGTCCTTTTCGACTCTACAGACTGCAGCTGCTACTGCAGAGTGTGACTGTGATTATGACTGGATCTGATCAAGGCGAACGAACGAGAGGAGGATGTAATAGACAGGGAAGGGGTGTCGAGAGTGTCTTCTTGGGGCGGGACTCAGGCGCCTCTTCCCCTCGGATGGATGTTAGAGCGCAAGCCTCGTCTACTCGTCTGGCCTTCGTTGGACCATGTGGTGCGGACGCTTGCTGCAAGTCGCGCAACGCACAGAACGGGAGAAAAAGATGGACCCGTAGCCGACGTGCCTGTGCCTCAGCGGTCAGCTTTGCAGTACTCTGTATCGTCTCCCAAGTGTGCCCCCCAGAACGTGTTGATCTCCCTTGTTGTTTTGCCCATTTTTTCCCTTTCTCGTGAGGAAGGGCTGCATGAGACCTCAGACGCGTGGGCGGGACCCTGCAGGCAGAGGGAAGATGCAGCCAATGGATGTCGACGGCACACCCCCGATAACCGTCCCCTGGTCTAGAGTCGGGATCCCCTGGCCTGCTTCGCACACTTCACTGCCAGACCGTTGGGTTAGTGATGTCAGGGTTGGAAAGAGGTCGTGGATCTGTTTGTTATGGACTTTGCGACCTGTAAGAGTGTGTCTGATAGCGGGAGACAAAAGGAACAGAGTCGCAGGTCGGGCCACAACGCGAAGGACCAAGACATGATGCGGCGTCGGGATTCTTCAGTTGAGACGTCTGCATGTCTAAACCCGGGTGATGAGATTTGTTTTTCTCTATTCGGGACCTGCATCTGCGACCTGACGTCTCTCGAACGGCCTCAGTCCGGGTCTTGCTCTAACAGCAGTACCCCACTCCCGGGACGCGGAGTCACGTGAACGCTAGCCTCTACGGGAAAAATTGTAAACAACACACGCCACGCGCGCCATCGCGAAAAGCATCAGCACCAAGACTCCATAATCCCACCGCACACACTTTCCACGTCTCGCTCTTTCTCCCCGTTCCAGAGCACTCTGTCCAGTCAGATGTCTGTTTCGACTGCAAAAGTCTCCATCCTGACTGCGATCCCCCAGCTTGAACGTGCCATTTCTGCCCGCCCGCCCACCTACCTGCCTTGCCCATCCCATCTTCCCTCTCTCTATTCCGCCCGCCCACCCACTCGTCGGCTTCGCGCTGCGCTGCACTTTCGCACTTACACCCGCATCCGCACCCGCACGCCCAACCACCCACCCACTCTCGCGCACACAACCCGACCTACGTACACACACTCACCGCGCATCACATTCCCTTCCCCGATCCGTTGCGCCTACCACTCTCCAACGTTCACCCATCCCAACTTTCCCTCCCCTTCCCGTTTGGTGTGTTGCGTCTATCGCCTGCGCGTGTTTCCAAGTTTTTGGGCCCCTTCCCAAAGCAAAGTCACCTCACACCAAGGTACCTCTTTGCCACCCGCGCGCGCGCATCAGATAACCCCGACCACCACTCAAGAGGAAGCCGTCGACTGCTCTTTCATGCGATGACTTGAATGAGTCCGTCTGCCGATCACGAATCGCGATTGAAGGGGAATGGAGATGCGAAGCAAGACGCATACCTGAACGTTCCTGCTTGCCAAAACCCCCCGAGGCCTTAGCGCCATGCAGTAGATGCACTTGCGCTCCCGTCCCGTCCCTTCTTTCTCTACTCTCGCCTCGCTCTGCCCTCTTCCTGTCTGGGCCCTCTCCCTCCTTTTCTTTCAGCCTTCCTTCCTGCAACATCGCACCCACCCTATCGTCCTACCAAGAAAGAGGGCGCCCTTCCCCGGCTGACCAGGCCACTTCGCCTCGTCCACGTGTAACCAGCCAGTCCTGGATACTTGGACCCCTAAACACGTCCCATCGCCATCGCCATCTTGGAGCAACACCCCCAAACATTGACGATACAACCTTGCGCACCCCAGAAAAGCTGCGCCCACACTCTCGGCATCCCTCCAACTCTCTCTATCTGCGGAAAGGCGGAAAACATTACGCGCCAAACCCTCCAGCCTACGCCATATATCTCCATCGATCGCGCCCTCGGCTACCGCCTACCTACTTCCCTAGGTTCCTCAGCGAAACAGTATACGACGACAAATACCAGCGACAGATTGTTTGGAAGAAGGATTGCTCATTGCTTGTCGAGCCTACACCATATCACGTCGTGTGACTCCGCCCTTTGTATTTCCACAGCGAACGACGACGACAAAAACAACAACACTCTCAAAAGAAGACGGCCAGTCAGCACGACACAAAGAACACCATCACGATGTCGTTCTCCAACAGCAGTGGCGGGACACTCACTGTGCCTAGTCCCACGCACGTCCACCATGTCGACGTGCTTGCATCATCAGTCAGGAGCCTCCGACGATCCCTCTCGCGATCACCATCGAAGTTCAGCCTGGCGCGTACGAATTCTCCAAGCTCCGAGAGCTCTCACAGCGGATCCCACACTCCCGTGCAGCAGCAATCGCCCTGCCGACGATACACTCCAACTCCGACTCCTCCCAGTAGCAGCCACAATAACACCACCACATTCGGGGAGCCATTCCAAAGCCAAACACCAGCGGGGCTCCCGCACTCGATGACCTCGACGACGCCTTTCAGCTCCCACCAAGCCTTGCAACACCTTTTCGCCCCAGCGTTCGCCTTTCTCTACGCTCTGCCAAGACCTCCAAGGCAACCGGCAGCCCTTCAAGGCCAGCTACTCGACTTCGGACATCGCCCAAATCCCCCCTCAAGCGCGCACTGAACGCTACAACAGAATCGGGGGTAAATTCCACTCCTTCCTCTTTTTCAAGCTCGGAGGCCTCGGGCCAGGAAAATAACCAGTCTTCTGCACAACAGAGCCCTCACTCGCGATCGTCCACTCAAAAATCATCTCGCCACAGCCTCCATCTCGACGTATCGGGCCACGCCCAGCAGACAAACATCTTCAAACATCTGGAAGGTCAAGGTGATTCGCAGGGTGCCCCAGGATCGGGCGCTCTCAAGCGTAGCGACGCCATTATGAACCTAGACCAAGCGTCTCTAGGTAGTCCCGTCGCAAAGCGGCGAAGTTTGCACGGTATTTCAAGTTTTGGTCAAAACACATCTGATTTCAACATTTTCGACAATACCGGCAGCACCACAACTAAGACCAATTTCGACATCCACGACGAGGCCAGCCGGGAGCGCGAGTACGAACTCTTTGGTTCAAGTGTTTCTGCTCGGGAACCTCTCCCTTCGCCGACCCCGCCTCCCCAGATTCCGAGAAGAACTGGGTCGCTTCGACGATCCACGCTTCAGCAAAGACAGCACGATAGAAGCTCCTGGGGACGCAAGTCTGGTGCCAATCACCTAGCTCAAATGGGCGGGGAATTCTCTACTCCCAACGTCAAGAATCGACCGCGCCTCTCGATGGACCAGTTCCTTCCTCCTCAGCTCCCTCGGGACAGCCCATTCACCTCCAACGGGCCCTTGCCCAACCCTTCAGCTCACCCTGTAGAGCGACCTTCTCATCAGCCTCACCCTCTGTCCAAGACTTTGGTGACTTCAACGTCTGGCAATAGCCTCGAGGAGCAGAATAACAGCATGCCTCCTCCCTACGTCTTCGAGAAGCCACGAGCCCCCCTTAATTTTGCCAGGTCAATGCCTTACGGATCATCTCGACCCTCGTTCATGCAGGAAGAGGGCGAGAACGTTACACCTTTCAAGGCAGCCAGGCCTTGGGCGGGAGCTTTTATGTCGACTGGTCTTGTTTCCAAGGTGAACCGCAATCCCGAGGAGGACAACAAGTTGATGATGCCCGACACCCCTTGCAAAAAGCCTACCAACGGCTTTGCAACATTCCCACCCCCGCCTGGCAGTGCGATCAAGAAGAGCAATCGGTACTCTTTTGGCGGCATGCCCTCAACACCTTTCAACCCTCCAGGAGCGCCATCTCGCAGCACATTCGGCAACACTGGAAAGGGGCTGGGTATCTTCCAGCGACTCGGATCACGCCATGCGCGCCGTGGCAGTGTCTTGAGCCTGGATGAAGATAAGAAATTCTCCCTCGACACAAACTTCAACGTCGGCCCTGGGGCTGAAAGTGATGCCCCTCCGACTCCTACAAAGCAGGGTCTCACACCCAGCTTGAGCAACCTAAGCGAACAAAGCATTGAGAGCCCCAGCGCTAAGAGGTCACTTCCGCCTCCCATGTCTGCTGTCCGGCCAATGATCTCCAGAGAATCGACTGGTAAGTGTACCTCTCAGGAACGGTTCGACTATGAGAGTGCGAGTGGCCCACCGAGCTCTCGGCTTGGCACTGCTATCGCTCCTACTAGCGGACTGTCTCTTCCCAGCGTCTTTCTTTGCCGTCATTTTGTCGTTCGAGGGCGGTAAGGGGTCTCAGAGCCCCTTCGCCACTGCGGACTCGACTTCATACCATGGCTCTCGATTATCAAATGGATTTGTTGGCTAAGAATACTCTTCAAAACACAGCTAGCCCAGTGGAACAGCGCTCCCCGCGAACGCCCTCGACTCACGTCGTTCTTCCCGACGCCAGCTGCCTATCGATCTCTAATCCTGCCGAGTCGAAGAGCACAACTACTCCAGTCACGCCCTCTGGACGTGACTCCTTCCAAAGCACTACCTCTCAACTCATGACTCCTGTCAATGCTGGTCGTGGCGACGCAGATGTTGATGACTCACTCTACTCTCGGTTTGACAAGGTCGAGATGGTTGGCAAGGGAGAATTTTCCTCTGTCTACCGTGTGGTCAAGGCTGGTTACTCTCGTGCCTCATTCCTCTCGGTCTTTAGTGGAACGCCTACGAAGAACCATCGCGAGAGCCCTGAGCCCGACCGCATTTACGCCGTGAAGAAAGCCCGTCGCCAATTCACGGGACCCAAGGATCGCTTGTCCAAGCTCAGAGAAGTTCATGCACTTCAAGCCCTGACACACGCAGACCATGTTGTTCACTACGTCGACAGCTGGGAGTACAACCAGTACCTTTACATCCAAACTGAATATTGCGACGAGGGTACTCTAGACAAGTTCCTCAGCAATGTTGGTCGCAAGGGCAGATTGGATGACTTCCGTATCTGGAAGGTCATCCACGACATCGGCTTGGTATGTATACTGCGTTTCCCCGCAATAGGAAGACAACTAACTTTGAGGCAGGGTCTGCAAAGCATTCACGAAGCTGGTTTTATTCATCTCGACTTGAAACCGGCGAATATTCTCATTACCTTTGAGGGCATCCTCAAGATTGGCGATTTCGGGCTAGCAACTGAGTGGCCCGCCGCCAAGGGCGTCGATGCGGAAGGAGACAGAGAATATATCGGCCCTGAAATCCTGCGCGGCGACTTCAACAAACCTGCAGACATATTCTCGCTCGGTTTGATCACTATTGAGATGGCCGCCAACGTCGTCCTCCCCGACAACGGTCCAACTTGGGTTGCTCTCCGTTCTGGTGATCTTTCTGAAGTCCCTAGCTTGACCTTCAGCGCCACCACCACAACCACGGCTCACCGAGACGCAGCTGGGGTTCCTACCATGCAGTCCTTTGACGACCCGCTGCTCGGCCAAACCAGTGCTCCAGATATCAGTCTGCATTCGGCAGCTGCTCCCACTCGTGTGAGTGTGGTTATGGACGACGAGAGTCCTTTCATCACGCGCAAGCGCACCGAGCTCAGGTCACCTCCGGACTTCATGAGCGATCCTTTCCACCCTAGCTCTCTCGACCAAATTGTTCGATGGATGATTAGCCCCGAGCCGAGCGAGAGGCCCACCATTCAACAGTTGCTGTCCACTCCCTCAATGATGTGGGTTGCCCAACGTCGCAGATCAGCTGCGACTGTCTTCGAAGGTGTCTGGGGACCTAGCGAGTCGACCGCACTCCCAACCTTGGTGGACGAAGACACCGAAATGATGGACGTTTGAGTACGATCCATACCACTATATGCCGCATCAGTCGGCTTGGAAGTCGCTCACCACTCTGGATTTGCACAGGGTGTGTAGAGCCCTTGATGCATCGTCTGGATTGAACGATTCTGGCTGGGTCGCTTTTGAAGTGGATACAGCTGAATGGAGTTGGAATTCCAGAAGATGGCGTTGGGACACGAGCCTGTGCCTCGCAGTCATTGATGACTATTGAAAATTACTTTAATACGGTGACGTTCGGCTTACGACATGACGATGCTACGGTTTAGCCTTACGAAGAGTTCAACAAGGCCTGTTGTGGATATTGTGTTTATGTCCTTTCTGGTTGTACGCTTGGCGGCATATCAAAACGACGAACCGTTTCACTCTGCAAACGACTTTCGACGAAAATGCCTAGGCATACGTACCAATTGGTAGTGCTAGCAAGGTATCGCCAAAGTTATTTGTTCGAAAGAGACAGCTGGAAAGTCTGGCGGCTCAGGAGCATGGCTTAGCATTGTTGAGCCTTTTTCTTCTGTCATAGCTCCGGTCGCTATAAGACTTTCGTGTATAGACTAGATCTGTATTCTTTTCGATTTGTGTCAGATGGCACCGGCTCCGCAACACACTTGGCGTCGAGTACGGAAACAAAAACGGGAATCCGGGGAAAAGGCTCTAGAGAGGCTCAAGAGACATATTTTCGGTTTTGTCTCTCGGCCCAAGCATCGTGCGGTAATGACGGCAAAGAAAAGTCTTCGACGAGAAACGGAGACCACAGGCCGCATTGCGCACGCATCACATTATGTATATATGGGTAATTCTGTCAGAGTATAGGCTGGCGATTGGGGGAGAAGAGGAAAGGAAAAGGGCTTTTCTTTTGTCGTGTGCCTTCGAGCGCACCCGCTGCCCTGGTTATGGTTGTTGTTTTAATGTGTTTCTTGTGAGGAATACTGCATGGTAACCGTATCACGCGGGCTTACCCAAAGATCAGATAGATCATCTCCTGGCCAGACTGCGCCTGTTCCCTTTGTCATGGGTAGGTTGCAATTTCTTTTGGCTCATGAATCCATGACGAAATGGCATGATAGTTATGAACGTTCCATTCAGACCAGTCCGAATCTGTCTCCAAAGTGATTTGACCCTTCTGATATGTTGTAGTTGTTAGCCTCGAAATGCTTTGGTCTCAACACAGTGAATCTCCATTGAGGCCATTCCCTTGGAACCAAGTCCGCTGCACTTGTCACACAAACACGGGACAATAGTGATGGGTAGGTAGTTCATCATTCATAGATAGGGGGAATCCGGTTCTGCGTAAAGACACCAATCAAGTGGGTTCCCCCTTCCCATCCTCCCGGCACGCAACGCCTAATTCCAGAATGTCTATGGCATCGTGGAACGTGTAATTCTCCATCCTCTTCCACCCCCAGAAGGAAACGGTACCGACTCCCGAAGGCGGGCATAGACTGTTTCAGTCGTAATGCCTCGCTTCGCCTCCCAAGTGTTTCTGTTATGCCATCGCGGCGGCTGTGGCCATTGCCCGCGGGCCGTGGTGATTATACGTCCATTCCAAACCCCTCTGCGCTCTCGAACCAGTTTCTGTTTGACCTCACGCTCTGGAAGTGTTAGCCGAGGCCGTTGAGGTCGTCTTAGTCTTCCTCCTAGAGGGCTGATAGACGTCGTTGAAGTTCATCGCGACACCGAGGAAACGCATGTCCACGTCGGGCTGATATGCGAGGTCGCCCAGAAGGATCTGAAGGCGGGAACGAAACGTAGCGCCGAGCTGCCGCAAGCGGTCCTGGAGAACGGGAAACTCTGACGCAACGGCCGGGTTGTCGTCCTCGCCGTCCGCACCCGGCTCCGACGGCTTTTTCTGGTGACGAGCGCCGCGGGTCGACATACGCATGACGTCGACCTCTTGCCGACGCGTAAAGTCCGAGACGCTCCAGCTGTAGAGGCCGTCGACGGAGTCACGATAGCTGAGCATGGCGCGCAGAAGGTCGCCAAGCTGGGAAAGATAAGATGTGCGATCATCTTCGCCAGTCGCTATGTCGGCATTCCGGACGCTGCGCCGCGCGCCGAGGAGTCCCTTGTGAGTGATGTCATTGAGGTAGCGAGTATGCGCCTTGATGAGGTCGTCTAGTGTGCAATCTTCGCGATGTACGCGCTTCTGGAGCTCATTCCAAGACGACTCGATAACCTCAAACAGGATGTAGTACTGGAGCTGGCCGATGAAGTGAATCATCTCAGCGAGGATGCCACGGGTTGACTTCCAGGTCTGCACGACGACTGGGTCAGAGTTCTGGAGCACTCCGCGCGAACCCGTCATACACTTGCGCCAAGTCGAGGCTAGGGCAAACTCGACGCGCTTGATGCGCCACAAGAAGTTGAAGACCTTGAGATACTGGCGGTTGCCCCAGTCCGTAACCACGACGTCCACTGGAGCATCAACTTTGTATTCTAGCGTGAAGCAATCCCATCCGATGTCGCCGTGTGATAGCTGCAACATACGAGCGTCGAGGCGGCGGAGGACCTCAGGTGAGTCGTACTGCGCATTGGAGCCGCGGATGGCATGCTCAAGCTGCGCTGTAAGGGTATGCCGGTATTGCGCACCAGCAGGGCGGTCGAGGTTCGCAGCAAGAGATTCCATAAGAAGAGCGATGAAATCGCCTTGGCCGAGAAGAATATAATTCTTCAGGGCCTGAAGATGTTCGAAAAGGTGGAATTTGTTCGCCATGAGATCGATGAGACGCTTCATCGTCGTCTTGTACGCCTCGTCGATCCAAGCCTCAAGCGTGGCAGTGTCGCCGTAGCGCAATTCCTTCGAGGCCGCCTTGGAGTAGTCCTCGACCCATTGTGAGTCACCGCAGCTGTGTCTGATGAAGTTGAGAGACTTGCCGATGAGGAAGACCTTTTGCGCAAAGTCCTGTGTGATGATACTAGGGACCATGTCCTTATCAATCTCATACTTATCCTCCCAAACACTGCTGCCACCTGTCTTGGGCTCGTCGGTCTGCTTCTGTTCCTTGACGAAAAACTCGCAGAAAGGGTCAAGAAGCTCGCCATCGTAGATCCAGCGACGAAGAATATCGTAGAATGGGCGGGTAACATGAACAAGCAGCCGTTCAGCAAACGCTGCTACCATGGGATCGCCATGCGACGATGAAAACCCATGGATAAGAGAAATGAGTTGGCCACCTCGTTTGCTCTCTGATTCTTCGGCGATGAGACTCATGAGCCTTAGGCCCATCGTAGCTTCTCGTGTCCATACCACGCATCTTTTCAGGGTTACGCCCGCCTTTCCAATGCCACCTCTTGGTGCAGATTCGTCTAGCGAGGACAGCGCTCTTCGGATCTGTCCTTCGAGCGTTGCGACCAAGCTGAGATACGACCGCAGCTCCCCACCTATTGCGGCTCGGATACTTTGCCTCAGCAAACCTTGCGCCGGGGATTTGACGAAGACATCTAGATGTCGGTACAGTAAAGACGGCTCAGCTACTGTGTGCAGGAGCGAGATGATCGGAGATGGTAATGTCGGAGGCAATGTGACGGTGTGTGGTTTCGAGAAGGGTAACGTCGTCGATGACAGTCCTTGTAAAGTAAAGGGGAGGTCCCGTAAAAGAACGGTTTCAGAGGGCTCGATCTCGATATAGTTATCGGCCAGAAACGTCGACTTTAAGGCTACCTGTCGTTTGTTCGCCACAGGCTCGTCTGCATCCTTTTCCGTTTCCTTGTCTTTTTCCCTCTCATCGACCGACTTGTTCTTGGGGTGCTTGGGAGGAAATTTTTTCAGTCCCTCGGGCGCAAAAGCGTCGTTGAACTGCTCCTCTTCTTGTCTTGAAATTGGCGTCGAGTTCTTGGATGATCGTTCTCTTTCATGTTTCCTGAAAGGATCGCGTTGTGTTTGCGAAGGAGGGTTTGGCGGGGGTAGGGGAAGTGGTTCGTTAGGGTCTGGCGAGTCGGCGAGCTGGTAAAGTAGGTACAGGATGGCCCATTTCTGGCCCAGCACAGGTAGAGAAAGAAGGCGAGTATACAGGTTCGAGAAGCGCAGTGCTTGTGTTGGGTTACTCTGTATGAGCTTCCTCTTGATTAGGTCTGAGGCATGGTTGACGTCCGAGGAAATGGCGGGGGACGCGGGGCTGTGAGATGGCTTCGGTCAGTGAAAAGGCGCAACATAGCCGAGGAATTGCATAACCTCTCACTGTTCGAGACTTACGCTTCCAAGACTGACTTCACCAACTCGAAGCAGTGGTCGTGTCGCTCCTGGGCGGCAGCGTCGTCCTCGTGGGGATCGTTGGGTATCAGGTGTGCAATTAGGCTGTCGACGGCGCCGGCAATGCGATGCTCGCGGTTGGCCGACATGATGGCATCGCCGACGACTGTTCAAGCTCAGGACCCGAGAGAAAGGCGGGACCTGCTCGAGCAGAGTCCAGAGTGAGTGGGCGGGTCTCTGGCTCAAGAAAGAATGGTGAGATTGAGGCTTCGTCGTCAAAGAAGGCATGGGCTTGGGTGTGTGTATTTGCAGCGAATGCAATCCACTGAGCGACGCGCCGGACGCGACTTCACAGTGTTGCTAATGCCAATTGCGAGCAGTCCACAGGAGCACATGGGGAAGTGGTCAATGCGCTCAGCCAAGTACCTTGAACCGTCGTTACCACATTAATCGTGCGCCTTCCTCGGTCTCCTCTACCTCTTCCCCAGGCTCAGTCCTCCCCTGGCATTTGTCGTCAGACAGTTCGGCAAAATTTCCATCGACAAAGCAGTGCAGCACCTCTCAGTCGCATCCCGTCTTCCTCCACTATCCGCAATTGAGAGACCGAGACGGACCCAACCACTGACCTCAACCCGACCTTTGCCATCACGCCAGCGCCCGCAACATGCCCCGTTCATCGAGATAATACCGGATTCGCGATCGCATCGTCTCCCTCTTTTGTTTCTTGCTACTCATGAACATATTTCCCCCCTTGCGCCAAGTCCTGTCTGCCATTGCTGCTCTCGCGCACGCGACTGTCGCTCAGCTCCACTAATACGCCTGACGACGTGATCTGCCTCTCTGGCATCCCGTCGTCGCAATGCCCGACATCGACCCCGCGGCCTTGAGCAGCCGCCCATCTGTGAATCTTTCAACACCGACATTATCTACCAAGTCCATCACCGTACAGCCTCCCGGCTCCCTCAAAACATCGAAAACAAGCCAGATAATTCCGGCCCGCATTGACCTTGAGCCGCTATATACCGCTTTGAAGCAGGCCATCGGCCCCGAAGCATGGGTCGTGTACAAGGAGTCAACAACGGAGTTCCTCATCGGTAGCCAACCCACGACATCTGCGCATTTTCTTCCCTGCTTGCTGACCCATCCTTCTAGGTCGACTGAACCAGACCGAATACTCGGAACGAATCGATCCCATCCTCGCATCCCTCAATGGCGAAAGGGAACACCTCCATAATCAGCTGTTAGCTGCTATATACGGCAATGTCACGAGAGAGATGCCCGACCAGGGCCTTGCCCCTTGGGTCAGCGCCAACGACAAGCCAACTGCTCCCGTTGGCAGTAAGCCTGTGTCTGGCGATGCTGCGGAGCGTCGTCTCAAGGGCGATGTCATGCAGCTGCCCACCAAAGACCGTCGGCGCATCAAGGATTTGGCTTCCAACGATGTTGGTCCCCATCTCTTCCTCTCTAAACCGGCCCTTGCTGATAGTGCTGCTACCCAGTTCGATCCTAACGACAGCCTTTCCAACGTCTTCCTAGACAATCACAGGCGACAGCCTAAGCCGGCCGAAGTACCGCCCAGTGCAGGAGGCATTGGTGGTATCAATAAGATGAGTATGTGGAAATACACCTCAACCTTGTCCGGGAGGGCCAGTGCTGACTGGAAATACAGATTTCGACTTGGAGATTCGCAAGCGCTTTGCACAGCCATTGGCCGTGGAGTCGGGCGAGTTTCCTGACGCTCCCGTAGTCGAAGGCAGGATGCTGCCTTTCTGCTATGAGGCAGGCCTCACCAGCGGCCATGTCCAAGAAGCGCCACACTTCATGTCTGTCGCGACAGAAACGTTCATTAAGGAAGCTCTCGCTGCTATATTCTCCAAGACAAGGAGCAATGGCCCGGGAGAGGGCGGAACCGCCGGTTTCGGAGCCGGTACACAATGGATCCAAACCCACAAGTACCGGCATCAGCTTGTCAAAGAGGAAGATGCGGCATTACGAGGCGAACTTACACGCGATAAGAGTGGCTTGTTACCTATCGAGTCGAAAGCTGCGAGCGAGCGTGGTCCCCTCGGTATGGCGGACGTGCGGATCGCCCTGGAGATGGCAGACAGTGGCCTGGCACAGTTCCCCATTATCAACACGGCAATATCGTATGGATATCGTGAAGGAGAGCTCGAAAACTGGCATGATTATACCTGGCTTCCGGGTCTTGAGCCCATTGGGGCCAAGGCGGGAGAGGCCTCCGATGTTAAGCCGCTGGCTGCGGAGCAGCTGCCGAACGGACACGTCGATGCAATGGAGATTGACTCGGAGCCATGGTGGGATGGCGCAGATCCTCAAGACATGGGCGCCCTCGACTCTGTGCTGGACTCATGTCTGGCTGTTGGGTCATAGTATGGCCGGCGACCAGAACAATCATCATGGGTTTCCAAGAGGGACAAGCTCTACTCGAAACGCTTCATTCGGGGTATTCATCCTATCTACAAGGACTGGGGACACTTATGGGGTTGGAAAAAAAGGCAGATTCGAACGCGTCCCCGGCGCTACAAAGGCGGGAAAGGTAAATAAGAGGTTTGTTTTGCTGCCTTCGAAAGTCATGCCCATCCAGCATCACCCCACATCAGCATTGGCATCAGGAAAGGCGTCGTTGGTTCTTTTTGCTCTTCGGCCATTTGGCCGAATCTTTTCAATTTTCTTTTGTTTATCCCAACATAGGATACAGGGGGGAGAGGGGGGAGTTGTGCATGCGCTCAGCTTCATCAGAGAAACGAGGGAGGCGTTCAAGGTTCTTTAGCAAAGGAAGGGTTCTGTACAGTAAGGTCGATACCCTATTGCTCGCTCTTTGTGGGCCTCACAAGTATGGAAAGGTGGCGAACAGGGTGGTTTTAGTTAGCGAGACGTTATAGACGACTTCATGTAACATGTATTACAAGCTTCGCCTGTGTGTCCGCTTAGGTTTTATGATTTTATATATATTTCTAGAGCTGGTATCTTCCTTTGAAGCTATGTGTATCGCAAGCCCTCTTTGTCTTGGATACGAGGCTAAATCTAGCAAGTACAAGTTTGCTTGTTACCTGGTCTCCACCGACTGTCTACAGTTTTGAAACTGAATCGCCAACTTCCTGCTTGGCCTTTTCTCTAAGAATCTTTCGCAAGATCTTGCCGGACTGGTTAAATGAGTTAGTCTGCTCGTTCCAACAGCAAATGATGGAAGCAAAACTTACAGGGTTCTTGGGGATGACATCTGTAAACGCAACACCGCCCCTGAGGCGCTTGTGCTTCGAAACCCGCTCCTCCAACCACTTGGCAATCTCCTCGCCTGTGGCATTGGTTCCAGGCGACCGGACAATGTAGGCCCGGGGAAACTCCTCTCCGTTAATCGTGACGCCGATGACGGCGGCGTCAGCAACGTCCTGCCGCTCGAGGAGGAGGGCCTCAAGCTCAGCGGGGGCAACCTGGTTGCCCTTGACCTTGATAAGCTCTTTCATGCGATCGACGATGAAGAAGAGACCGCCCGTCGAATACTTTTCGACGTATGCGACGTCTCCTGTGCGCAGCCAGCGTTTGCCGTTAGCGTCCGTGACGATAGTCTCTTCCGTCGCCTTGGGATTGCGCCAGTAGCCACGCATGACGGTCGGACCCGCGATCCACAGCTCACCGGGCACCTTGGCCTCGGTAATTTCTCTGCCGTCCTCGTCAACGAGCTTCGCCTGGCAGTTAGGCATCAGCTCGCCAACGGAGGAGCTGCGCTCCAGGCGCGTCGGGTCCCAGGTCATGGCAGTGCAAGTGACTTCAGTCATACCCCAGCCCTGGCGAACGATAAGGTCGTCCTTCTTGAGGATGCGCTCTGTCTGGCGGGCAACGTCAGCGGCGAGGGGCGCGGCGCCAGAGCCGACGCTCTCGAGGCTACTGAGGTCAAACTTTGCGGTGATGGGGTGCTTGGTCAGAGCGACGAGGATGGGTGGGACGCTGACGAGCTGTGTAACACGGTAGCGCTGGATGTAGGTAAGCATCTTAACGAAGTCGAAGCCCGACATGATGTAGACTGGGATGCCCTGTTTGGCGAAGTTGGCGACGAAGTACGTCTGCGCATAGGTGTGGTAGAGGGGCAGGAAGCAGAGGCCGACGGAGCGAGCGAGGGAGGCCTCGTGGTCCTCTTCCAGAGCTGACACCTTAACGACGCCGGTGCCGTTGGCGACATAGCTGTAGTGGGAGATCTCAACGCCCTTGGGCACGCCCGTCGTACCAGAGCTGTAGTTGAGACAGCACGTCGTCGTGCGGGCGTCGGAAGGCTCAACCCACTGGAATTTCTCGGCCTGCGCCCTAGGCGCAACCAGCTCAGTCCAGTGGCGAGCGCCGCCCTGCACAGGCTTCTCGGGTTTGCTCGAGCTCGGGATCGTGGTATCGAAAACGAAGACGTTGCTCGCGGGTATGGAGACTTCCTTCGCGGCTTCCAGAGCGGTGTCAAGGCTGCCCTCAGCAGCGACCATGAACCTCGCGCCGCTATCTCTGAGCTGATGAGCGAGCTCGCGAGTAACGAAGCCCGGGTTCGCGCCGGTGAATATACCGCCGGCCATCAGAACGCCGAGAAAGATGACAGGGAAAAAGAGGTTGTTGCCCGAAAAGAGCAGCACGCGGTCGCCGGGCTTGAGGCCAGCGGCCTGGAGGCCGATGGCGATTTGCTTGGCCACGAGGCGGTAATCAGAGAAGGTCAGGTAGTGGGTGTCTGGACAGTCTGCATCATAGAAAGCCTTGCGGTTGGAGAGGGGTTCAAAAGAGGATCCGAAGATCCATGTCTGCAGAGAGCAGTTCGGAATAGGTTCCGACCACCGTGATTTGATCGGCATATTTGTTTGGTGAGCGTTTCCGTTCTATTCCAACAGCAGATTACAGCCCAAGTATGAAGTAGGGACTCGAGAAAGAAGACGAAGGCTACAGTTGGAGACTGGTGTTGTTTGCTCAGACACTCCGGGGCCTAAGGCGTTTGATAGGTAGGAGTTATCCCCGTGTTTGAGACGGAAGATATCGAACTGGAGGATTGTGCGGCGTGGGAACGTCCACTTCGAGAAGGGGTCCGCTTCGGTAAGGTTTGAAGCTATCACTTTCGAGATCCCAGTCTTGATTTGAGCCGCGGGTCCCGTACTATCAGAGTAATATAGTATTCCTGAGCTCGAGTCAGTGACTATAGTTGCTTTCCTGCCAGAACAGCCCAGAAACTGCAACCTACTCAGAAACGAGACAATCTGCTTGTTCAATGCGAAGAGGGAAAGGAATCGGAACCGGCGGGATCCACGTCAACTAAAATGACAATGCCGAGGAGGAAACGAACAGGACTGCTACAAAGAAGTGGATTTCCGTAGCCCATATACTGGCCGACCCAGGCAGGGAACTCCAGACGAAACCTCGGGTCCCCGCGCCATACCCGGCCAATGACTACAGCCTTCCAGCGACGCCATGGGTTGCAACTGAGGCTTTCAAATCTGGGGTGGAGAGCACCTTCGTGACGCTGGATCTCCGCCTTAGATCCCTGTCGAATGCGGGGATGGGCGAGTAGGGGAAAGCTCCGCGACTAGGCAATGGAGGAGAAAGCTGGGGGAGGAGACAAGCCGAGGTACAAGCTGCCGGAAAGTTGGGGATGAGGAGGATGAGGAGAAACGACGACAGCTATTGTTTCCCAAAAGGGTTTACAAATCGTTCCGGTGTGTTCAATTTTGCGGCCGGAACGCCACACCCTTTGCCGGCCGAGGGCCTGGAAGACGTAGTATACAGAGAAAATGGGAGCGATGTGGAGGTGGATGGAGGCGAGCCGATCCCGGCTCTGGATCTCGCTTATTTGGAACCCGAGATGGAGCGAGCGACAGTCCATCGAGGGCTCTCAATTCCGTTACTGGAGCGTCAGACGTCGAAGAAACGAAACTTTGGAGTTTGCCGGTGTCAATGGTACAGGACGTGCGCAAAGAAAACTGATACGGCAGCTCCACGACATGTTCCACTTGACGTCGCTCGACATGCTGTATGCGGGCAGAAAATGGCAATACTCCGCCCGGCGGCTCTCTGTTCTCATTAAAGGTGCGAGATCGCCAGATGATCTAATAAGAGGACGCACAAGAGTTGAGGCTTGACTCAACACCTGCATTGGCCAATGGGCGTAGACCTGGTAGATTTTCCAATATGTTACCTCGTCCTGGCAACTGATTAGGAGGTTTCGGGGCCAGGTCTTGCTTCTGAGCCGCCTCAGCCCGAGGTAGAAGTCGGTTGTGTAACGAGGTTTGCGAGGTTTGGGTCAAATGGACTGCAATCGTTGATTCACCTAGGACCGCTTTTATTGTTTTGCGGCTCGCTCGGTACCATAAGCCAATACCGGGCCCGGACTCCAGCAGATCTCCAAAGAGTTAGTGTCTTGGAGTTCTGCGCGCAAGACAAGACGGCTGGAGCTCTAAAAAATTATTTGGCCTGGTTGACAAGTTGTTTCTGCACTTGGCCTCGACGAATCGCACAGACACAAGCGCTCTATGTGGTCCCCAATTAACAAGGCAGGACGCAGCGTGGCAGCTTCGTTCTACTCACCCGTTCCTCTTTTTCGTGCGGACGGTATACTGCCGATGAATATCTACTAAGAGAGATCAGAGACAACATAGATTTTTAGCCAAATGGAAAGAAAGCGTGCTAATTCGATGCTTTCGGATTGGTATTCTTCGTTTTCCCACCATCTGCATGCCCAATTGCCACTTGGGCCCTACTAATACGGGCAATGAATAAACAAGACCCAACGAAAAACGGTCCTAGAACCAATTATCTGTTATCGAAGAAGCAGTGGGAGGAAACAATCCATCACCAGCCTCTGTAAGCAGGAACAACGTGAAAGTTGTGGTGTCTCATGGGGCTTTCGTACCTGCATGCAAACAATGGACATTGAGCGAACGCACGGTTGCATGCATAAAAACACGATTCAAATACTTATGCAAACCTCAATGACGCTTACTCGACCATGTTTGCCTCTTGTGCATCCGCTGCCCCATAGACTTACCTAATCAGACTGTGGCCATTTCGACCAATCACAATGATGCATTATCCAAGCAGAAGCTCACGACTTTTGAACCTCCCGAATCTAACGAACAGCGCAAGATATCCGCAAATTAACCTCCCTCGTCCGCTCGCCCGCTCGCCCATCGTCAATTGAGCTGCCACCACACATCCCTCGCCATGGCCTCCAGACTCTCACCCCTCCTCTTCAGATCAGCCCTCCGCTCGGCAACGTGTCGAGCGGCGAGGCCCCAGTTCCGCGCCTTCTCCCTCACAGCCGTCCGCCCCAGCGACACACTCCAAGTGGTAAGCACCCTCCACCTTTTCCGCTCCGACGTCAATTGTCCGTATGGCTATGACCGAGAGCAATTCCAACATGCGGAGACAGTCGCCTGCGAGTCTCTCCTCGAGGAGCAATTGCTAATCAGCCTTGTCGAAACAGCACCGCGACTCCCCGAAGAACAACACCGACATCCCCTTCAAGTTCACCAAGGAGAACGAGGCCGTCATCGATGAAATCCTCAAGCGCTACCCGCCGCAGTACAAGAAGGCTGCCGTCATGCCTATCCTCGATCTCGGTCAGCGCCAGCACGGCTTCACCAGCATCAGCGTCATGAACGAGGTCGCCCGCCTCCTGGAGATGCCCCCCCAGCGCGTCTACGAAGTCGCCTCTTTCTACACCATGTACAACCGCACCCCCGTTGGAAAGTACTTCATTCAGGCCTGCACAACCGTGAGTCCAACCCTTGTTACGAAACACACACGGTCCTTCGAAACGTCTTTTCTCCGAGAATCCCGTAGCCGAGCCATAGTCGGGAAGCGACTTCCTCTTGATATCACAGGGCTACGGAACGAGAATCCGAATGGTATTTTCCGGAGAATTGAGTTATCGCTAACTGGCAACCCATAGACCCCTGCCAGCTTGGCGGTGTCGGCTCCGACGTGATCGTTAAGGCCATCATCGACCACCTCGGCATCAAGCAGGGCGAGACCACCAAGGACGGCCTCTTTACCCTCCTCGAGGTCGAGTGCCTCGGTGCCTGTGTCAATGCCCCCATGGTCCAGATCAACGACGACTACTACGAGGATCTCACCCCCGAGACCACTGTCCAGCTCCTCGATGCCCTCAAGGCCACCGCGACCGCTACCGGCGGCGGCGCCGCTGCCCAGGTCCCCAAGCCCGGCCCTATCAACAGCGGCCGCCAAACCTGCGAAAACAGCAAGGGCCTGACAAACCTCACCTCCGAGCCGTGGGGCCCCGAGGTGACGCGGAGCGACTTGTAAGAAAAAGCAACAAATGGGAAACGAGGGAAGGAGGTGAAGAGCGGTTTCAGAGCGTGCGCGAAAGTTGGGAGAACACTCCCACGAATGGGCCGAGCGAACGGAATAGAGCCGGAGGATAGTCCGGCTTGTATATAAAACACAATGTGCTGTATTCGAAATGCATGGGCGAACGATTTAGAGACTCATGGCCCTATGTTCCTGCAACCGAGATCGCGACCACTTTACTCGTTGTTCTTTTGTGACGACACGATAATGTCGAACATCAATTTGCTACCAAATCGTCGCTTCAAGTCCAGTTCCTGTGTCATGGAATATAAGGGGGAAATGACTGTGCGTCCTAGAGACAGTGTCTCACTCGGGGATTCTCAGGATCCAACCGTCTTTCAGCCTCTTGTTCTCGGAGCTGAGTCCTCCCCAGACAACAACACCGGCCTCTTCCACATCTCCCATCGGTGCCGTGGCGAACCAGCCGCGCGGCTCAGGCTCGCCGTCGTCATTATCATCATCATACGGCTCCGTCACGAGTTTTGTCCACTTGCCTTCGCCCGTCGGCCGGCCAATGGCCTGCCACATGGCATCCCGCACGCTGGCGGCGGTCATGCCAAGAGGCGGGACCTGGAACGCCCATACGTCGTCCCACATGGCGCCGGCGCCGGAATGACCATCCGAGCTGGGTTCGCGCTCGCCCATAATGAGCAGGAGGTACTCGCGGCCGGCACCGACGGTGACGGCCTCGAGGCCCGCTACGCTCCGGTTTCCGGGCCACGTCTGGCCCGGAATGAGGTGGATTTCCTGCTCGCCAGAGTTGGCTCCTTGGACGATGCTCTGCCAGCCGCCGCGGCCATGAACAGCAATTTCGCCCTTGGAAACGCCGTCGTCGAAGGTGTCCATCTCAAGGTGGAGGAAGTCAAGCTGTCCACCAATTTCACCCTTGCCGTCGAAGCCACCAAAGCGGAACAGCCGGCTCTTGCTGATAGTGATTGCGGCGCCGCCGCGGGCCGGTCCGGGCGCTGAAGGCAGCTGGCTCCACACTCGGGATCGGACATCGAAAGCCCAGAGATCATTGGCGCGCTCGCCGCTAGCGAGGCAGCCGGCGTGCACGAAGAAAGTCCCGTATCCGTCATCTTCTTCGTCGGTGGCATTGGCAGCAGCGTGGCCTACGATGGGAGCTTGAGGGATCCCGACCTCGGCGCTGTCCCCTTGGGCCCAGGCCCTCCAAGTCTGCTTGCCACGCGCGCGCTTGGGGGCGAAGTCGCGCGGGCGATCGGTCGCGGCGGCCGAGTGGTAGCTGCGCGGTGAGGGCATTGGCAGGATGGTTACCCCAGGTGCGGGCGGCACGGGATCAAGAAAGGACCAAGAATTGGTTCGTGTGTCAAAGACCCAGACACGACCGCCCTCCTCGAGGGGTTTCATGTCAAGCCCTCCGCGACCTCCATAAAGGAAAATACGACTGCCGATGACGGCAGTCGCATGACCAACACGCGGGGCCGGGACGTCGCTGAGGGAGGGGGTCTCAGGAAGAGCTGGGCCTTTGCCCTTGTCCAGAGCAGGGCCCGACGATGTGCCTTCTTCGCCAGCCATGACGGGTGAATCCTCCGCTTCCTCGGCAACGCCCGGGGAGGCAAGGGGAACCTCGTCGAGGAGTTGTTCCTTCTGTGCGGCCTTCTCTATGAGGTTCGGGGCTTCGACCGTCTCCTCAGCCTTCTCGACGGGCGGGTTGTACTGCTTCGCGGGGGCGGACTTGATCTTGTAGTAATCGGCGCCGGCGCTGTTATACGGCAGCCTGATGACGTGGACATCGTTATCGACCGGTTCACGGGGCCTGATCTCGCCGCCGAAGACGTAGGCCGAGCCGTTGACGACGTTGACGGTGTGGGAGGAACGGCCGAGGGGTGGTACGTCAATTCGCTCCCAGGTGGCCTTCATAGCTTTCGGGCCTGTGCCGCTTGACAGAGACGGCCTCTTCACGCTGGGTATGTTCGGCATGGCGGGGAGGTTCTGGGGGAGGGATTGCAGGATCTCGGTCGTCCGACGCTTGAGAGCTCCGAAAGACTCCATGGCGGTTTAGATAGGTCGTTTGGCCTCACAAATGCGGATAACAATGGTCGATGGGAGGCGGGGGGGAGGAAAAGAAGAAAATAGTGGACAGAATTGCGCGAGGATGAGGTCAAGTTTGTATGCTGACAGCTGCTGATGGTCGGGATGGACCTTGACAATATGACGTAGCAAGGAAGCGATGCTCACCTCAGCCCGGGGGGTTGGTTGTTTTTTGGGTGGGTTATAAGGTTGTTGTAAGCGGGCAGTGAGGACAAGCACCGGATGCGGGCGGATATGATGAGAAACAGCGAGGAGAAAGGCGTTGGTCCCGCAAGGAGGAGATGCTTTGTTGTGAAAAGGAACGGACAAGGGGAAAGAGAGTTTCTTTCGTTAATTACTGCTACACTCGCCTTCGCTCGTATCACCCAGCGCTTGTCTTCAACAGCTGCGGCCTTTGTACATTGGAGGATGGCTCAGCTTGCAGTCGGAAGCGGGGGCGCAGGCTTCCCATAGCTCCTGTCGTCCTATCAATAGCCCCGTAGCAGTTTGCGCACTGTCGCCCTGTCGTTTGGGTACCGGTACCTTAGTCGTCGGCAGTGATGTTGGTGGGGTAGTTCAATGTCGTCCTCTCAGCAGGGCCTTAGCTTGCTCCTTTGGGGGCGGTACTAAGGAGGACCCTGATTCCGCTTTTTTTCGCCAAGTTAACAGCAACAGTCAGCAGCACCGAACCCAGCCATCCCATCTATCCTTGACTTCATCGCCAGGGGAACAGCGTCGTTGATATCGCGCCAGGGGCACCAGTTGGCCGTCAATGGCGCCGCCGATCCGACGTTCACAGGACAGAAGCCAGCGGTGCCACATCGCCAACTGCCCTCCGCCTGGCACGACTCAGCAGACAATCCTCGCCAGGTTAAGATCCCACTCGTGCCCCTTAATAGCTGTATGTTGGAGACGTCATTACCCAATCATAAGCTGTGGCCGTTAACAGAGCTCACGAGATGCCCTGCAGACAAACATGTAGACTAGACAGAGCCCGATGCATTTTCCGCCGTCGCCCTGCGCTGCACATGTCTGGGCTTGAATGAACTCCAGCGGTGACCGCACGCTCTCGCGGTACTCCGTCGCAAGATCACCATCGCTTCCGTCAGCTCCATTTGTGGGCGGGCTGGCGGCGGCGGCGGCGGCGGGTTGGTTCGCCCTTTATCGGCCCGGAGAAGGTGCTCATCCGATGACTTCAATTTAAAATGTCAAGCCTGATCGGCCGTGCTTCGCATTTGTCGGACATCTGGCTTGACCGTCCCCGACTCCGGCATTACGGTAAACACTCGGCCCCGCCACACCCGGGCCCCGCTCTCCGGCGCCGTCCCGGTTTCTGCATGGATGGCCACGACACGCATACATCCTGGAGCAATGCCAATACGCGGCCACATCTTCCGAACTGGATTCACTGAATCACTGACTGGGCTGACGAGGCTACCTCACATGGCTGTTCAGCTGTGGACAGAAGGGTCCGGCCCGAGTCAACACCCTGCCGCCCCCAAGTTGACTGCTCATCTGTGGCATTTGTTCCGCCTCCTCTAGGCCCAACCCAGTTTATTCCCGTGTCGGCCCGACTTGCGAGTCTACAGCTCCAATTCATCAGCCTCTCTATCACGCATCTAACAGGATACAACCCCCCCTCCTCGGAGGCCAGATATCCTCACGTTCATCCATGACGCCCCCTGAAGGATCGATCGCACGGCGAAAAAGGGGGTTTCGAGAATGTAATAGGGGGGCCAAATGGCTTTGCTTATCTCACATGGGTAGTTCAACGGCGGAGAACCTCGAGGTAGGGAAAAGCCGGGCTGATTCCCACGCCCCGAACACGAGGCGAAATGGTGCAGCCAGCACGCAACAGCGGAAGACTGCAGCCTTGGATTGGAGAATCCCCCCATAAGGTACTAACCGCAGAGCATCGTGGTACAATCCATTCCTCTTGCTCTTCATACTTTTTCCACTTCCGACCAACTTGGCAAAGTACCGACAGAGCCCGACAATCCTTGTCATAGATTCGGATGGACGGTTAATTGGGGGCCGCAACGTACCATGGCGGAAGCGCACTGCCCCAAAAGCCATCTCGATAAAAGCCCAGAGATGCGAGTTTGTGCGCAACTAAACGCGCAGCTGCGCCGTCGGCTAGCGTACCCTTCTGCCTCTTTCTCGTCTCTCTCTCTCTCGCGTCCATTTCCGTTGCGGCGCAGTCCCCCACTTAGACCGAACAGACCGAATGGGCCTATGGTTTCGCGCGCTCGCGCGCATGTGTGTGCATAATTCCAAGCCGCATAACCGTTGGTGGAACATGCAAAGCTGCAATTTGCGCGCGCGTTGTTTCTCAACTCGTTCAGTGTCATCACTCTATCCAGCCAAGCCAGCTGCAACAACGGCCGGTGTCCAACGCGGACTAGTGCTGACAGCGCCATGCTGAAGCATCTCGGTCTCTGCTCGGGAACGCTGGGCCACAACCAACGGAACGCTGTCGTTCGCAAAGTGACAAAAGGGAGGAAATCAGGTTTCCCCGGGGTTGGGGGCCAGACGCCAAGCGCACGAGTTCTCCCTTCCTCGAGTTCTTTTCCAATTGCACCCCCTACCCCCCCTCTCTGCCCTACGAGAGGCACACGGTAAAATGTAGGATTGAAGGAATGGCATCCGCTGCTTGGGACGGACTGGGGAGGGTTGGCAACGGGTACGCTACCTGAAAGATAAGACTGGACCGACCAAACCAGACCGAAAGCTGGGCCTTGGAGCGGTAAAGGGACCCGAAGCATTATGCATCTTCTTCTCACGCACCCCCCCATGCAGGAGAGTCAAAAGGTGCCACCTGTCAGTCTTCCACCCGACCCCTTCCACAAGCCCCAAAGGTGTCCCGCCCTATCGACCCTCATGGCGGATGTATCGACTAGCGCCAGGGCGAGCCATTGAGCCGCACGGCTCAGGGTTTGCGGGCTGCCCCGGTTCCCAGTCGCTGGAAAACCTGACACGATGGGATTTGTGGGTGGGAGCGGTCGGTTAGCGGTCGGTCGTGTAAGTGAGTGCGGCCCTCTGCCGCCGCCGCCGCCAGACACAGGGCCGCCTCCAGAGCTTCCACTTGAGACGTGTCGAGCGCCAGATGAACTCAATGAGGCGGGAATAGACGCTTCATTGGAGTCTCCGGCGGTTACTGTCCCTCTGGCGCGCTTAAGTTGTTTCCTGACATCCTTAGGCGTCTCAATTCTAGGAATCAGCTGGGTAGCAAAAGGGTCGTCTCCGAATTGGGAGACCTGTCAGAAAAGCTGCCATTTGTGGTCTCCATAGGCGAAGAGCAGGACTCGGCGTATCTGTCCAGCCCTGTATACAGGCAGAGCCATTAAGTCGGGGCAGTCTGTACACAGACGGAGACCCCATGATTGCACGGCAGGAGTGACTTGATACCAATACATTGTGATTTTGATGTAGAGGAGATCGTGGTATATCATTAAGAGTGCCCTATGCCCGTCCATATGTGTAAATTCTATTCCTTGGTATGTGACATAATTGTCATTCTGCTACCCTTCCCCATCATACTCCGCCAAGACAGAAAAGCCCAAACTCCCACGAATACACCTTCGCAAGATGTTGATAGAGCATAAAGTAAAGAGAGAAAGCAGGTGGAAAGGTATCTAATATAGAAAAATCAAACACAAAAACCGAAGCCCCAAGCGACTAACATGTCAAGTGGGCATATCTACAAAGCAACGTATGAATATTGAACAAGGTCCGCAAAAGAGATTGTGTGTTGGTGCCAGTCACTCCTCGTCCTCTCCCTCAGCGTCTTCATCGGAGCCAGTAGCTACGATGATCTCCTTGAGGCAGGATGAGGTATTACTACTACTGTTTACCCCTTTTCCATTGCCCGAAGAGGGGCCAACCTCCCCCTTGAGTGGGTTGATGAGCTCCCAACCGCCAGGGGCCTTGGTCTGCCGGACGACGTAGACATCGCGGCTCGACGCCCACTGTGTCAGAGTTGGGTCGTTTTCACCGCCGAAGTAGACCATCGGCTCCTTGCCGTCGGCTGCGCGCTCGAGGTGACGCGCGACGTGCTCCATGCGCTCGTCCCAGGCTTGCGGTCCGTTGAACTCGTGCTCGCAGTCGTTGGCGGGGCAGCGCATGTACTGTGGCAAATCGCAGCGCGTCTGTTCGGCGTCTGCTTGGAGAGTTTTGAGGTGGTCATCCCAATCGGGAGTCGGTTTCTTCTGCTTCTGGGCCTTTCGGACGAGAGGGGGGACGTGCATGCGACGGACGTGCTGGGTGTAAAGATCTTTGCGGTTGAAGATGGCGCCGTTGGGCAAGGGAGGCGGTGTCGGCGCGACGGAACCAGAGGAAGAAGAGGAGGAACGTCGGTTGGTTGGAGGATTGGTGGTCTTGGAGCAGCCATCTTGAATACAAAGCCAGTATTGGAGGGCCAGGTGCTGGGAGCTTACGTGGCGTTTCCATTCGTTCTTGCTAGCAAAGGTGGATGGGCAACCGGCATAGTTGAAAACGCATACGAAGGGGCGGGTGTGGTGTTGCTTCATGTGCTTCTGGTAAGTGTTCTCGTCGGAAAAGGGGGTTTTGCACTCGGTGCAAAGAATCTTGGGGTTCCGCGTGGAGGCGATGGTCGGGTTGATTGGAGTTGGGAGCAGGCCACCGGCGTTGCCGCTGACCCTCGTCCTCTTTCTTTCCTGAAGTGGGCCATAGTTGTGCACCCGAGGTCTGATATTCGCGTTGCGAGAGCGCTTTCGTGTATGCTGCTTAGGCTTATAGTCCGAATCTTTGTCGTCTTCGAGGGAAACGCCGAACTCAATCTTGGATTTAAAGGGGTCCGGATCGCTTAGTTCAGGGTCGGGGTAGTTTGTTCCGCACGAAGACTCAACCATGGGGAGCTCCTGCTTGATGATGGCTCCAGGGGCATCAGGTGTAAGTTGACGTGACGAGAAAGCAGATTGCTGGGGGATGCCCGACTCGTCAGAGTCCGAGGAACAGAAGCTGAAGGTTCGGCTGTTGCTGAAAGTGGCTGGAACAACCTCGTCCTCGAACACGGCTTGAGAGATGTTTACCTCATGAGGATTGACGAAGACGTTTGCCTGCATACCAAGGCCAAGCAAAGTGTGGGATTGGTACTGTTGGGATTCCCAATCGCCAGTGTATTGCTTATTTTGCATGAAAGGAGAAGTGGCAGAACAGTCCGGGGGAGTTGCCGGGAGAACATCGCTTTCCGTGGGAGGACTGTTAGAGTCGCTGCTGGACAGTGTCTGCTGGGAACAGGGAGAGCCGTGCCTTCGCTTTGAAGCTGGAGGTAGCGCGGTGGTTTCCTGAGTCGGGCGGGCTAGGTTGTGCAAGGCCTGGGCATATTCAGGGACGAAGAAGGCTGTTCGTGGCCCGTCGATGTATTGCTGAATCTGATGGGTCTGGTTCACTGGCCATGGCGTCTGGTATTGCGTCTGGGAGTAGGATCCCAGACTTGGGTCGACTGGAGTGGAGGAGTTTGAAGTTGGTAACGACTCGAAGTAGGACATGGGCAGCTGGCTGAAGTTCTGTTGCCCGTAGTATAGTTGCTCGTGAGAAGGATGCCCCCCTTGGGCATGTTCGTAGAAATAGGCCATGTCGCGTCTTTCTTCCAGTTGAGGTCTTTAATCTAAGGAAGCGACTATCTTTTGAGAAGAGCCACGGAAGTAAGTATTGAAAGTTTCTGAATGAGCCCGGAGTCACAGATAGTCGGACAAAACAGCAGCGAAGCCGGGTATGCAGCCTGGCGAACGGGTCTGTCTCAAGCAGGCTATAAGGAAATTGCCTTGGGACAGGTTTGGAAGGTTTGGGCAATTGGTATAAATGACGGCGTGACAATAGAGTGATATAAGAGAGCAGATACCCTAGGTATGCTAAAGAACAAAAGGTTGTTGTCTTCACATCTGGGTTGAATAGTAAGAGACACGGCATCGACATCAGAAACCTACCAGTGTGGCGATGCTAGGTGTATATAAGTCCATTAGGTAAAGCGGAAGACCGGTGACACTGGAGTGCGCCAGGGCAGTTGGTTGGGCTCTCCAGGAGCAGAGCGCTTTGGGGGAAGGAGCAGAACCCCCATCACGCAGATACGTACTGCGCAGAGCCTCATGGTGGGGACAAACAAGCTAGCAGCAGATGAGAGGGCAGAATGAGAGGCGTGAAGGAAGAGGCAAAGATGTGCGGTGGTGGACCATCATCATCAGGCGCTGCGAGGAGCATATGCACACCCCTGACGCCCAAGGACTGCGGCAGGGTATGTGTGGTGTGGGCTGGCCCACCTAGTTTCTGGTGGCTGCAGATGGGTTGTAGCTGGTCGTCTCGTTGGCGAACGGTACGCGGATCACACCATCTTGACCACCAACAGAACAGACGGAGGGCCAGTGATGGACGGTAGTGGACAAGAGGAGCCGCCAGGGCTGTGTCTTGGTCTGCCCTTGCGACTCCACGGCTGACGGGACGGGTAGCTTGTCTCTACTGGGTTGGTACCAGGCACATCTTTTGTCGTATCCAGGCAGATACGGATGCCTTGCCCTCTGGTTGCCTCGTCGAGAGCGAATCAAAAGCTGCCCCAAGTGGACAACCCCAGACTTGCCAGCCTCTGTGCATCTATGCGCAATGTCAGTCAGTGCATGTCAACTCAAATCAGTCCGACGGTGAAGCGTCCATCAAGACTTGTATATTCTTGACTGACACTGCCGCTGTATCCAGGGTGTGCCCGAGGATGCATTGCCAACGTCACCGGCGATCATTATTGTGAGTGTCGGTCAACCGTTATCTAGTTTTATAGTTGCGGGCTTGGGAAGATGTTCTCTACTGCGCAAGGAGTATATCCATTTCGGTGGCCCTAAACCATGGAGGGTGGCCCCGTCCAAGGAGTTAGACGAGATGTCCGCCCAACGTTCAGCGTAACGTCCGACCTCTTGATACCGCGAGCGGGTAGATAAGCCCCGGGCTTTTCTCGGATGGCGCCTTAGGGTGTCGATACTGAAGACAGGCTCAGAACATGTCTACCGGCTGCTCCGCTAAGGAATGAAGATTCGATAGGGAAGCCACGGGTTGACTCCAGGGGCGGAGTCTATCTGTCAGTCTGCTGCCTGTCAGTCAGTCAGTCGAAACTCGCGACTGCTCCGCAGTGCTGATGCCACTGAAGAACAAAACCCCGGCCAAGGCACTTCGAGTGTGGATTCCAAAGCCGCTCAAACGCCTTGAAGAAAGTCGCAAGGGAGGGTGCCTTGTCAGCGAGCAAAAAGCAAAGATGGTCGCTGGGGGTCGAGATACAGTAGTCGGTGACGAAGGGAAAGTCAAGGAGAGGAACAGGAGACGCGGTGGAGATCAGAAGTTGGGACGGGGCATTCTGGACGAAACGCGATTCTGTAATACCAGCCAGCCCTTGTCTTTGAACGGGCGTTTGTGAGTGTGCCAGCGGAGAGTCAAGGTCTCTGTGACCGCGTGGGCTGGCAAGGGGAGGAGGAGTGGAGTTTGGAGGAGTCGAGGGTGGAGGGCGGAAGTTTGGGGACGGAGAGGGTGAGAGAGCGAGAAAGACAAGAAGAGACAGCATCGCGCACTTGCGCTAAGCAAGCATGCAGCTCGACGTGGAGATGCGATTGGCTTCTTTCCGCCTCCCCCACGAGGCGCACTCCCAACAAGGCAGCCACAGGCTACCTGGCGCAGTCTCATCGGAAGAGGGCCATTGCTGACTTGACAAGGCGGCTCAGGTAATTTAGTGGGCAGGTGCTGTAAAAGGACCGGGCATGACAAAAAGAACCCGGCATGGGATGGGACCACGCGGGAGACGGGAGACGGAAGGCTAAAAACGCGAGGTGATGATCCAGTCAAATACAGTACGGTCCCCACCCCGTCCGGTCGAAGGATGGTATGGAAGGCTTCCCTCCCCGTTCAGCGGGAGGAGCGTACTAGCGGATGCGGTGGATGCGGTGGATGTGGAATTGACGGGAAGGCGCCAATCTCGTACCCGCCGCAGCAACGCCCATCAGTGCCATACTACCTACGTAGGTAGCACCTCCCAGCTCGATTCTAAAAAAGGTTGCCTGGATTGCTGGTTCCCTAGGGCGGGTCAACCACATGGCACTGTCGTTCCTTTCTATGTAGGACGGGCAGAAGTCGCCAGCCACCCGGGGCAGCAAACCAAACCCGACCCAGGCATTACTGCGCTATACTGTACTTCACAGCCTGGGATGAACCTGTGATATTCCCACTTCAGCTTGCCAGCCGGGCCGCCCATAAGTACTGCATAGTAGTAGGTACTGCGGTGCTTTTTGTGTAACCCTCCCGTCACGCTTCGACTCTACAACGTCTCCACTTCACTACCTAAACCAAGTACTACTATGGTATGTACTACGGTACCTACCTACCCAAGGTCCGTCCCGCAAGACGCCGTGCTTGCTCCAAAGTCCCACGTTCCCTGCCCCGCTTCCCCTTGCTCAGTCCCCTTTGAGGCAATCTGTTCGGCTGCTGGGGGCTGAGGGTCCAGTCTGCGATACCGACCCTTGTTGGTCTTCGAAATCACCCGCGGCCGCCACAGATATTTTGTCTGGGGATAACACAGAAAAATCGGACGAACTAACAGATGGACGACCCTACGCGGGACCTAGCTACCGCCAGAGATACGCTATCTGAGTCAATACCCTGGTCCTCGAACAAACGACTCCTGTCAGGGACCCCCCATTCTAGACTCCTCAGTGGCTGCACTTCAAACAACGCTCCCCGATCTGTACTAAATGTGACAAATGGAACACACCATTATCCGAAGCCTCAGCCTGTTCGCTGTCACTCGTCAACAAGCTGCATATACATGGTTGGGCTGACCACGACCCCGTTGCCCGGGCGCCATCAACCTACCTCTCATCATGTTTGATCGGACCTCGGACTATCAACCCTCTTTTCGGATGCTGCCATGCAGACCTTCACTGCAACGATGGCGTGAAGCCATTGATTTCCACATCTGCGAGCCTCTGTCCCTCTTAGCGCAAAGACTTCTTGGCATCATGGCTAGCCCGGAAGGCCCACTTACCCATCATTCCTCCGCCGCTCGTTCACACTCCTCCCGTCTTTAACTCCTGGTCGATTGGGTTGCCCGTCTCCGTACATGGAGTACCGAACACGCGCAATTGCTCGCGCACGCTACGCTGCCACGTTGTTTATCTCACGATGGACCTGGTTGTCCGGCCCCCGCAGACACAGAGGAGCCAGCACTCAAGGACCACTCACCAACTTTTTACTGGATAGCATGCGAGGCGTCTGGGAATAGAGAACCCTGGCTTTCTCGGGCTTGCCTGTCGATCAGGGGGACTTCGACCAACATCACCGACGATAACCCGTCTGCGCAATTGCGCGCTACAGTCCAACAGAAGCCGCGTTGCTCGCATCCGATTCCCCCGTGCAAGGATGACTCGCTGTTTTGCATGCAATATCTCACTGACAAGGAATCTTGCCGCAATACCTCATGAGTGGCGGGCGTGTCGTTCATTCAGCAGTTGACAATTGCCGAACGGCTGCTTGGTCTTGCCTACTTGGACAATTCTTGCCCTAGTGAGCCAGGGAAGAATAAAGCACAGGGTCGTTGCCGCCCTCGCGGCAGGCAATGTCGGACTTTGAGAGTCACCCCATGCTAGCAGCTAATCTCTGCTCTCGAGCTTGTTTCCGGGCTAGAGCTGCTCCTTTCAGACCCCATGTTCGGGGACAAGGATGAGAGCCCATTGGAACGGCCAAGCTAGAGCTGAAAAAGAAGATTACTCAACGGCAAGCAGCAATCCCACCCCGAACCACAGCTATTTCGATCTCTTGATGCTTTCCTATCCAAGGTCTAACTCCGCTTAGCCCCTGGTTTCCGGACCCTTGTAGCTGGGTCCGGTTCAAGCACGTGGCACACACGTTGATACTGTTCGTATGGTGAAGATGGGATGAGTATGCTGAGCTATACTCTCAGTCTTGTGTCGCATGGCTTACCAACAATCTCACGGAGGTCTGCAATCTCTAGCAGGGATGCAAACCCACAAATCTCTTAGATCTTAAGCTACGGATGCATGTCTTGATTTGGCGACACCAGCAATGTCGACTACGTGCGTTTTATTGAATGCTCAAGTTGCGCAATTTTCGATGAGACACACTTGGTGCTTGTGCGGGTCGCGCGGCAAGTTTATTCTTATACGCGCAACTGCGCGCACGAGATCAATGACATCCACCATTGTCGATAGTGCAAAGCAAACACTCTGTTTCCTAAGCCCCTCTTGCCAGCCAGGCGTTGGGATTCCGAGCCGTGCGTCCGCGATCCTTCAGCCCCTTGCCTCTAGAATCGGTAGATCGGGAATGGAACAGATCTTGGATTCCTCAGCCATCTCACCTTCCCCCTAGTAAGGCCGGCTCGCGTGGGATGGGCGGGCCATTGGGCGGTCCCTCTGGTCTCATGGGACACTGCAGGCATTCCCGGAAAGAAACCGGCGTGAGCACCTAATGGAGATAACACGCCCGTCTGTGCCGATTCCGACTCTTCCATAACGGCATTCGCATCGATCGGGTGCGAATGTTCGTTGTATTCCGTCTCCGAAACCCTTCATTCCAAATACAGGTCGAAAGCCATCTTGGCATCCGGGACACCCGAAATTGATGTTGGGGATCTTTCATCGAAGCTTGGAGACACAGCATACTCATGGCAACCTATGCATGGTATCACTGACATGAATGGGGCACAGGTAGTTCTCTCTGTGGCCAAAGAGGGAAGACATGTTTACATGACAGCACACGGTGTGTGGTCTCTTGATACACCACATAACGGGGCGCCAACCTGTGCTGAAACATTCGACATTGCTGTATGTTGGTTGCAGATCTGCGCGATTCGTAAGAGGCTTTACAGGCAGCCACAATATGGCCGGCCTGGTGAGCGGTCTATTGCGAGACTGATTCGAAGGAGCATGTCGGCACTCCGTATCCAACACAATAACGGTATCCCGTCTCAAGGCTGGAAGCTGTTGGCTAGGGTTCAAATCGACCTAGAACATAATCTCAGGACGCCTGGCACTCGTCCTCGTTTCGCCTGACGACATCCTGACGGCCCCCCTCCATTACCATGGGTTCTGAATCTCTGCGCATCCACCTCCATCACCACCACCACCCCAGCACTCTGCTTCAGCCGAAACATGAGCCACCGTGACTGCTCAGCCGCACCAGACCACACGCGATTCTCGCTGACGTTTCCAGCGTGCATTTCCCTCCCTTTCCCTAGACAACCCTTCCACTCCCACGCCTTAAGCCACCCCGAAGCATGGGGATGCCCACACCCCCACAACAACCCACGGAGGCAAGCCCGGTAACGTCAAGACAACTGGGGAAATGATAAGGAAACATGCATATTCATACCCCTTAAGCATATCTCGTGCAAATCATCGCAACGCCATGCCGAATCCTTTTGCTACTTACTTCCCCTGCCGGCACCGCCAGGTCCAGCCCTGCCTTGTTCCGCCTTCCCATCACCACCACACCCCCTCTTCCCCGGCTCTGTACTTTTAACAGACACCACCCCCCCTCCAGGGAAATGGGTTGAAAGCTCTCAGACTGCGGATCAGAACCCTGTTGGTCTGCTTCCGCCGAGGGGGCTGACGCTACCGGCCCCCAACACACGGGTTTCAGGGAAGCTGGGAAAGAATGATGGGTAGCACATACCAAGGCGGCTACGGAAGTAAGTATATTAGGCGTTCGGGTGGTGGCAACGGGGTGGAGTAACGTGTGATGGCTCCTACTGCCAGCCATCCGCCCGAGTGCTTGCTCGAGGCGGCTTTCGAGGAGGGAAAGGCAAAGCCTACTTACCCAAACCCCAGGTCTCGGGAGGGTGCCGTCGAAGAATAGACGTGCCCAAAGGACGGACGCGGCTACGGTTCCTATCCTGTGACTGGTTTCCAATCCCTCTTCTGAACCCCTGAGCCTGGGAACCTCCGCCCTGCGGCGGTGTGACGGCGGGGGGCTGGGAGCCTTGCGGCCTCGTGGCATGTGGATGGGGCCCAGAAGTGAGCGAACGTGCCGTGACAGGGGCTTTTTCTTACACGCCATGTTTGTCGAGCACAAGGGGACAACGAGTTGCCGGCCGGGGCATGTTGATTCGGGAGAGAAAAGGCTTGCAAAGATTTGACAAATGCCTACACGGTGTGGATCAAACACTACCTAGGTAGCCGCCGCGTAGGTAATCAGTATTAGCAGACGCTGCCAGAGACGCCGGCTTCTTTCTGCTTACTATAGCAAAAGGTATATCGGATCATTGGAATACAGACAAGGATCCGTTGCAACTTCTCTAGCCTGGCCAAAGGCACAAAGAGGGTGGGAATCGTCATTTGTTTCGCGAGGCATGCCTGTTACCTAGCATCACTCCCATGTCCATCATAACAAACCATCAGTGCATCCAATGGCACTATGGTGGATATCATCGTCATCATACCCATCTTACATTACAACGCTCTACTCTTGGTTCTTGGTAGAACGATCGGCTTCCTTTTCACTCCGAATCAAGTCATATTTGACTTCACAGCCACGACACCATACGTGAGCGCAGTTGATGCAGCTGGCGTGCACCTTATAATCAGCGGTCCAGGTACAGCAGCACTATAAAGAGAACCTATTAGCAGGCATTCACCGCGCCTTATCATGATGAACTAGGGTCACTCACGCAGTGCCACATGTACATTCGTATACGCTTAGGGTCATGTTGTTCGTCATCGTCGTCGAGGCGCCTCTTCCTCCTCTGGCCGCTTACAGCCTTAGGAGTATCCTCGGGCTTTCGCGAGATAACAGCGACTGGGCTCTCATCGGCCGAATCATCGTCGCTTGAGTCACTCAGAGACCCGGAGAGGTCGATCTCGGGAAGTTCGCGATCGACAGCTACCCAGTCAGAGTGGTCTTTCTTGGGTAGACTGTGCCGACCTGCGTAGTGGTTGTCGATGTGGTTGAATCTCTCAGCCCAAGCGTTGGTTCCCTTTTTCGCGATTTCGACAATCTTGACGCAGAAACCGCACCAGAACCTTGGCTCGCCGTTGCGTCCAACGCGGCACTTGTCGAGGGCCTTGTCGACTTCCGCGACGTCGTCCATCTTGTGTTCCTTTGCAAGATGGTTCCGGAAAGTCTCCCGGCGGTGGCAGACCTTCCCGCAACTCTCACTTTCTTTATCGGCCCGCTTTTCGTGGCACTTCCACATCTCCACCTGGAAGTGCTGGCTGTTCTCGTGGCGCTTCCAGTCGTTCTTGCTGCCGAATTTTTTCTTACAGTTTGAGAATGTGCAACCATACGGCTTCTCATGGCGCTTCATATGCTTCCTGTCTTTGTGTTAACGCTATCTTTGGTCAAGGCGTGGCGGAGATTGCATACTTGAGCTCGCATTTTCGGCTGAAGCCCTTGTCACAGCTAGCATGTGGGCATCGATGAGGGCCGCTGGCACTGATGTTCGGAGTTGGTACGCGTTTCTGAGGAGCGGCTTCCGTTTGGGACTTCAAGAATGTCTCGATGATATTCTTAGGCACCTGCGAAAGGATATCGAACATGGCTTGTTGGCTCAGATCTTTGTTCTGGCGAACCGAAGGATACTGGTTCGTTGGCTGCTCCTCTTGGTCGACGGGTCGTTCCTTTGCACTGGATCCGCCTGTGGATCGATGACATGGAACTTTGGCAGCGTCATCGCAGTCCATGCTATCCGTTAGAGGACTATGAAAAGTCTCACTCTGGGTTCTATTCAGGCTAGTGGCATCTCGTTCGCAGCCGACGCTCAAGTTGATAGAGGACCGCTGAGGCTGGTTAGCACGAAGTCCATTGGAGTTTTCGTGCTTCGGTCCACCAATAACGGCCTTTGGAGATGGAGCGATCGTGATCTCTTTGGGCTGTACGAATTCATGGCGTGTGGGTTCACGAACCGGATCAGGTAATTCGTTCTGTAACTGTACCTTAGAACCAGCCATATCTACGTCCGATGCTGAACCATCGGGAGTTGTTAGAGATGGGTCGAGGATGAGGTCCATGGATGCTGGCTGTTCTTCTTGCGGGGATAGCTGAATATCCTCAAAGGCCGGCGGCCGACCACCCCAGGCCATGGAGCCTGCGTAGGACTTGAAAAGTTCCGAGCCTACACCTTCGAGAGCATCTTGCGCATTCTGTTGGAATGAATCGTCCTGGGGTCTCTGGAGCGATGACCTATGCTGATGTTAGATGTCACATCCAACGACAGTATGACAATCATACTTACTGCAGCGAATATTCGCTAAGATCATCCTCAGGGCTGACATCCTGACGATGCACACGCTTCAGGTGCTGTCTAAAGTTGTCCGCCCGGGGCCAAATCTTGTCCTTGTTCTGACATTGGCCAATCCGGCAACGAAATCGAGGGCCTGCGTTAAAGACATCAGGGTGAACACTGCCCTTGTGTCGGTCAAGGTCGTTCAAGGTGCCGAATCCCTCCTTCCGGGAACATCCGGCGACATCGCATCTGTACGCTTTGCGGTGCCGCTGGTTATGTTTGCTTGGGGACATGTCAGCGGGGTTGTCCGATATTAGCGCTGTCAGTTCACAAACTCACTTCAATTCTGACTTAGTCTTGCAAAGGGCTTGGCAGCCAGGGCAAATCAATCTGTTCCCCATAGCACCAAGATGGGATACGGGAACGGGCGTTGCAGCTATGTTGTCCCAGCCCCATCGGTGGCGGTTAGACCAAAGGGGTGATAGTCTATTATCTGCCCCGAAAGACTCTGGGTATCCTGGCTTCGGTCCACATCGTTGAAGACGGATGTGTTTTCGATGCTGTGTTTCGTCCTACTCTCATAACCGGAGTCAGAAGGCGGGAACCCTGGGGGACGGTATCACATTCCGAGGGCAGCGTGCTCCGCCAGCCCTGGAAGCCACTGGTGCTTCGTTGCTGACTATTTGGCGTAAGTGCTTGTCGGCCTTGCTGAGACCCGGCAAAAATCCCCGGAGGAACCCATGGCTGCTCGCCGCCATAAAATTCGATCAAGCTCCATGGTATTGGTGTCTTCTGATGGAAGCTCTGGCTCGAAGATGTTGGCATGTTGGCCACGGCCTCTGTGCCTTGAAGGGAAACCATCTGGCCTTGCTTTGCGGTATCCATCTCCACCGTCTGGGGCAAGTTCGCCATGAATGAGAGGTTGTCGTCGTAGCGAAGAATCGCGCCAGGGGTATCGACTCGATATATTAGCTGCAACGGGCAACTAATGACACGTTAGATCGCGGCATACAGAAAGGGCGACTCTGTGGGCTTTCGCAATCGTGGCCGTAGGCACTGGCCCGATTTTACATAACAAAATTGAGAATGGTGCGTGTAGTGGGAGACGCGGAAGAGAATAAGGGTAACCAACTCGAGTTCGAATTCAGGCAGGCAGTACTGTTTTCCCCTCTTATTACAGAAGCTCGAAGTCGGTGTAATCGGGGAGAACCCGGCTGTCTAGATGGAGTTTTTATCAAAGCGAGACAGAGTCCGGATGGCCGAGTCAGGATGAAGTTGGACACAGTTCAGTTGCCGGTCCGCAGTGGGTCGGTCGGGGGTCGGAAGAGGACGACTGAGTCCCGGAACTAGAAAGACATGGGTGGCCGGGCGAACGAACAGGCGAGGTTTCGCACGACGAAGACTGCTGGCTAGAGATGGACAAAATAGAAGAAAACCAAAGGTTTAGTCAGGCGGCATAGGCATGGACGGAGGGGGACTTGTAGTCATTCGGACGGGAGGAAACAGTGAGGGATGAGCACGAAAGGGGATGAGGTCGAGGGTGAGGATGAGGACCCGATGTGACTAATGCGAGGGAAGGTGAGGAGCAGATGAGGCAACTGTGAGGACGAGGGCGCAGTCAATTCGCTAGTCCGCCTTGCTTTTGGGCGACTCTCGGTGAGTAGCACACGTCGTCGTATGGCCCTGGCCAATCAGCATTCGGAAACACACTAGGCAGCGACACAAGGCAACCAGCGAGGCAATCAGGCGCCCGGGGAATGGTTCGCATTTTCCCACTTTCCAACACCGACAGTCCAGACCATTGAACAATCACTCCAGCACAAACTGGCCTCGGCCGTCGTCCCGTTGCGCAACCTACCACTGAAGACACCCCGTAAAAGGACAAGCATGAACAGCTCAAAGAACGGCCCAGGACATTCAAGTCACCCATCTGCCAAGAAGCAAGACTTCGAAGCCACATTGCTCAACTAATTTCAAAAGTGCTGTCTGTGTACATGGGCGTTGGCCGATTGAACCACTCGGAAACCACGCCAACTTACTTGCATGTTTCTGAGCCGACGTCCCTCTCGAGGTACCCCGAGACAGCCTGGTCGAGGGCTTCCAACCATGATACCCAGCCATGGCCAGAGGAGGAAGGTTTGTGTCATGTGCTCATGCTCACTATTCCTACGGTAAACGTCGTCTCTATATGTCTCAGCCGGCACAAGCAAGCCGCTCGTCTTCGGATTCTTGACCGCTAGCGCCTACCGGACCTTCCGCCAGGAAGAGTCCTCAGAGGCGAGTGAGACCATGGCGGCTGGAGGTCTACATCGTTATTGAGAATGTCTCACAAGAAGGCTTTCAGAGCCATGGCTTTCCGCGCAAGTGCGCAATCGTCTTGTTCTCTCGTTTCGTCACATTGTCTGCAGAGCACTTATATCGACCCCAAGCAACAGAGCGAGGCCCGCATACACGAGTTTGCCATGATCCCACCTACCAGCAAATGAACTAGGTTTCTATGGGTGAAACAAAGACCCGACATCATGTCTGCCCGTATTCTGCTTGTTGTGCAAGCCCGCACAGTACCTTGTCATATCACTTCTCATAAGAGGGAACAACCCGATATCCAACGGACAAGTCTTGATTGAACAAACGACCATCGCTCGACATATGATGTGTCATGTTTTCCAATGCCATCTTCCGGTGGTGCCTTCATCCCTAGGTGAGAACCCTTCCGGCACTTGCAGAATCACTTCCGTTGGCCTCCTTTCCCGTCTAACCTTCTAATGCTCGAGGAAATCTGCATAGGTTGACTACTCGGATGTTCTGGCAAACGGGGCCTTGTCCCCCGTTGTACACAGTATTACGTGCGGGACTTCCTTTTTTGCCACAACACTTGCCCTCACCAGATGGGCGTTCAACTCCGCCCTGCACTGCAGTATGCCTACTCTACGTATCCAACAGCACGATATCCGAGAGTTTCTGGACAGTCAGGGGACTGTTCGGCCGTATCTTCAGTTTGTATTTGACCCGTCTGATGTGCACATATTCGATGTTTGCTCTACGCCAAGGAGCGAGCCTACTCAGCTAGGTAAACCCGCCTATCGGGCCGCTCCGCAGAATGCAGATGACTTGGGTCCCAAGCTGATGGTCTTGATAATTGGGTGGTAGAGGCTGCATCTTCTCCACTGTCAATAGAATTTGACGTCCATCGTGTCACATGGCCTGCAAATTGCAGACGAACCCGATGAGAGAACAGGATGAGGCCGGTCGTCTCAAGCCGACAAGATCTTAGAGGTCCAGACGGACAATTCCATCTGTTATCAAATGTACAGCACCTTGATGACCTGGCCGCGCAAGGATTTGCACTGCACTAGCCCTTTTTGTGGCACAACCCTCCCGAAGAAACACATAACATTCATCACCTTTGCACGGCGATGCCATGCTGAGGCGGTCAGGTTAATGGACCTTTTTAAATGTCCAGATCAACAGGTCAGTGTTCCTAGGAGCAGTAGTTGACTTCGTCTGCACAACCATACTATGGCTGAAGTCCACCGGCCAGTACTCAAAGGCTAGCACACTACTCTCGTCATACATATTGTGTATTGCCATTTCTTTCTCGAAACAGCAAGCCAATCTTGAGGTATCTCAAGGAGAGGGATGAGAGGGTTCCTACATCGCTATCCCTCATCCGAGCAAGTGATCTGCAGCCACTTCCTCCGGGGCTGCACAGTTAAGTCCCCTCCCCGTCCGACGCTAAGCTTCGTATCGTAGCTGTTCAAGCCTGCACGAGGCAGCTATTGAGCGAAGTTGCCCCCCGCATGATATCCCGGCTTGCATGGCAACCTCCGCGAATCAGCGTCTCTTCGATGCACGAAACCAACGAGTTAGATAGGGACGTACACTGCGTCCATATAAACGGATATATTGGCGGCCTCGAGCTGCCCTTTTTGTTCAGCTGCAGACTAGTGTTAGAGAATTCCATCATGAAAACTGCAGCCTGTGAACGATGACTTGAAGCGGGATGTCTATAAAAGGGTGGCGAAAGCTCAGGAATATCTACTCCGTTATCTGTGGGATTCACTCCTAGACATCAATTGGCAATGGTTGCACCAGCAGGCATATAACATCACATTCTATACTCTTGCTGTTATCAACACATATTTGGAAAGCGAGAAGAGCCCTTCGAGGCGGGGATTATCCACAAAACTGGGTGAACGTTGCAACAGTATGTCTCCAAATAGTGTCAAAGTCTTTTGACTGCCGGAAGTCCCGAGCTGACCACAGGAAGAAAGCTACTCTCACAATCCTCCACCAACCCGTTCCAGTGCTTCCTTGAACCCACCCTTACAAGATGTGTGACTGGGAGGAATTCCTCTTCACCTGCAACCACTCGATTGTCCGGCTGAAGTCGTATTGCCACTTCGCCCGCAACGACCCGAACCACCAATGCTTCGGCGTGAAGGTTCTCCGCAACTCGTGGCAACAAAGCGTCCCATGCAATAACTGCATCTCGGTCTGGCAGGACCAGGAACGCTCTCATTTCGTCGCCAGGTTCAACCGAGAAGAGTGCATTGGCGATCAGAGCCGCCGTCGTTGAGGAGGGATTGGCCTCAACGACAATGGTGATGGTATATGTCTCTGTTGGGAGCAAATTTGGGCATCCATATGCACATGGCACTTGAAAGTTTGAACAGTGGTTTATAGGTAGGCGCAGGATGACCGACGTGCCAGGTTGTATAGTGGTAGGGACTTTTTATGGGCTGTGTTGCATCAAAGAGCGGGGCAGATCTTGGAATATTGGCAGATTGATATTATGATCAGTCTCTGTGCACAGCTCGCGGATGTATCTAGGTCCGGGGGACTGTAGTGTGTTCATGTTCTAGCAGGATGATGAACAGACGAAGACGCTGTGGTACATGTATCTCAATTCTCGTAGGAACTAACCAATAGATATATACGCTGATACTGTGATGAAGGTACTACGGAGTGACTTGAGAAGTGGTTCAGTTGTGCCGTTTCTCATCGGGTCTCAATATGTGACAAGATACGGGAGATACCAAGGGGCTCGGTTGAGTGAAGTTATAGACTTTATTGGCTCAACTCGGCGCGATGAACAATGTAGGGCTTCTTTACCTAAGTATCTCCGTGTAAGAGAATGGTTCATTGGGGTGATGATACTCTCAGCGTATCCATGAGCTGTTCTCTCGCAAGCAGGATCCAAGCTCACTTTGCAAAGTGTCTGGTCAGAGACTAGATTTAAGCCGCAGAATCGAGGGCCGGTTCCTCCTCTGAAACGGGTAGATTTTCATAGGAATAGCGTCAACATAGAATCTTCTCTTATCGGGTCCCAAGTCTTGAAGTTTTCGTGACTCCATGTAGCAGAGTAGATAGCTGGATGGCAAATACGGCAACCGACATGTACAAACATCCTTCGTACGACCGGAAAACCAAAAGGCTGCGCTCCACATTAACGGTTTTTGGACCACTGTATGTTTTGCGTAATCCTGAAGATAATTCGACAAAAAAGAAAAGGAGAAGGGGGTCTCAAGAGCTGAGACGCAGACTGTTTTCATAAAGGATTTCTTGTAGAGCAAAGCCAGAGGAATGAGGCTGATTACGCAAGACACGCTATTTTTCACCTATTCCAGCTCGAAGAAAAGCCTTGAGTCGATCCCAGTGAAAAGATTCCTTTACATAATGGAACTGAGACCCTCAATATTGCAACTGAAGCCTCCGACTCATTCTGGTAGTTGTGGAAAGCTGAGGCCGGCGGTCTGGCGAGCACCAGGTCTGGACCCGTGCAGGAACGTAATGCAGCATTGTTGGTATCGCATCTGAGCAATGGCTGTGACGCACGGCCTAAGGCGTTGAGGGTGGCCAAACGAGACATAGTTTTTGGATAAGCTTTGAAGTGACATAGCCTGCACAACGTACAACAGCGGTCAAAAGGACTTGACGTGTAACCGCAACGCCATCGTAGAATTCAAGAGCAGTGTTTTCCCAAAGAGGAACTGGATAAGGAGGTTCCGGAGGATTTGAAGAGAACTCGCGAGCTTTGGCGTGGTGCCAGTGGCTCATAATGGGCTTATGATATTTTTTACGTCTACACTTGACACTTGATCACAGCAACGTTCCACGCTCGGATGAGAGCCATCTTTGACCTCCTGTTATCCTCTGCGCCCTTAATGCTCCCACTTGCGTTCCGTTCTTTCAGAGCCAGGCCTCTCTTCCTCTTACCCTTCACTCTGTGTTTGTAGCTCCGGCAACACGGCCTACGACGTTGTACCGCTTGGAGAAGAAGGTAATCCAGTCGTTGAGGACGCCCTTTTCCTTATCGGGGAGATCTTGCCACTCGGAGCTGACATCCTCGGCCTTTGTTGAGGTCATCCCGAGGGCGCGGGAAGCATCCTTTCCAGCGAAGACTCCTTGAGCGTCAATTTCGGGTCCTTTCGTGGCTTTAGCAAGCAGTTTTCCGACTCACCATTGTAAGAACCTCCTGGTTGGTATGCCTTGTTGCCCGTCACGTCATAGACGATACCCTAGGTCAATATTGTAAGAACCGGTCGTAATTGCCCAAAAACTCTATCTTACCTTGATAGCAACGTACGTCTTTCCATTGGGGTCTGAGCCTATGATGTTGTTAGCCTCATCGGCATTAAGCGGGTGAGATGTCTAGAAAGAAACATTTGCATGTGATTAGGATAGTATGGGGATGGTATAGGGGTAGTATAGAACCCAACAACTGAACTCAGTTTTGAATCATTAGACATTCTTCCCAAAGAATAAAACAATCTAGATTTACTCAAATCGTAGTGACCGGGCTTCTGTTGTCGAGCACACGCCCTGGCGAATGGTAACGGTTTCTTCTGTGCACATACAGGCAACTTCGCTCAAGGCCAGATAAGAGTCACCTGGCGGCTTTCGCTCGAAGGAAAGACGCAATAGAAATATTTCTAAGATCAAAACAATAGAAACAAAAGCAACCTACCATCAGCCTTTGCCAACTCCTCAAGGGTGATGGGGTCGTCCTTGGGGGGAGCCAGGTTGACAGGGACCTTGGGTTCGAACTTTCCAGCCATTTTCTTAGGGTTCGGTGAGACAGAGACAATAAAGAGAGTATCAGTACCGAGTCGAAGTCGTTGAAATGTCGAAAAATGAGTTGCAGGGTTGAAGAAGCTTGGTTTCTCTTACAAAGACGGTGAATGGAGGGGAAGAAGCTCGACATTTGCCCCTCTGATGCCGTAGCTTCCCCACGATCCAGGTGGGGGGCTCCTGCGAGATGGCTGGGTGAGCCTCGGAGCAAATGCCGTCGTCTGATTCGCTGCGCATTGTGATGAGAGACCCACAACAGCAAGAGCTTTGGGCTCTGCGACTGTTCCGATCTTTTATTAAATTTCGTGGAATACGTCACTCGACAATCGCCCGAACCCGACCAGACACTACAGGTATTTTTGACCAAGTTTGTCCGACAACCAATTCTGAAGCTTACGGCTCTTCAACTACAATACGAGTTAGCATTCGACTGATCTCGACGATGGCAGCGTCGCGAATTGCGGCATGTCGGACCATCAACAGCCTCTGCCGCCGTCAGGCCGTTGGATCGTCCGCGGCGCCCTGGGCAACATTGCGAGCCCGTACCCTTTCGAGAACTGTTAACATATGCCAACATGCTCAAATGAGGCTGGAAAGCACTTCGAATTCATCTTACAATGGCTCCAAGAAGACCAATCCGCCAGCTCCGCCTCCACCCCCGCCACCCCAAGTACGCCAGCTTTGGAGAGCAATATCTTTCCGCTCACTGTTGACCTCCATGACACCGCGAGGAATGAAGAAGATGTTTAGGGAGAGTCCCGAAGAGCTTATCCTCGCCCTAGCGATGTAAGTTGTCTGATGTTGTTGCCAACCTCTGAACCACCCTGCTGACTAGTCTGCGCCCAAGTCTCGCTGGTTTGGCAGGTGTATCCATCTATATCGTCAAGCTTTATTTCGACTACTTCATGGCTCGGCAATTCACCAAGTACCCCAAGCCGATCGCAAAGTCTCTCCGCCGAGCGCTATACTACACCAACATCAGCCCCGACCCGAATTTAGCAAGGAAATACTACAAACAAGCTTTGGAGCAGTGCAATGAGCTCCAGCTGGATCCGTTCTCCGACGACGTCTTGGGCATAAGAATCCAAACTGCCGCTTGGCTTGAGAAGATCGGAAATTATCAGGGAGCCATCACTGTTCTAGACTCGGTACTAAGAGATTGCCTCAAGTGGGTGGAGTGGATGGAAAAGTCCATCGCAGACGGGACAGTGGACAAGTCAGGAAAGCCCCCTGCTGTCGAGGTACTAAACAAGGACCAACACCCGGCCGTTGCAGAAGATGGTGAAGAGAAGGTTGTCGAGAACTTATGGCACAAGCGTACCCGTCTGCTGGCTAAAGCCGTTGGCACCAGCACCAAACTTGGTGCTCTCTACTCCGATGAGCATGTTATGGAACCAGAGAACGCCCAGGCTCGCTTGACATGGGCTGTCGAGACTGCCTTGAAGGAATCACGTCGCCGCCATAATGAGGGTGTCAAGAAGGAAGAGGGCTCTTGGATGAGCCCAGAGGAGATTGGGGGAGCCATGGAATGTGCGTTGCCATCTATCATCCTACTTGGTAATATCACGAAGCCTCGATCGATGTCATACTGACGGTTTATCCCAGCCCTAGCTCAACACTATGAGTCCAAATCTCAATTCCATCTGGCAGTGCCGCTCTTCTTCCAGGCATTGCGTCTCTGCGATAACCCCTGCCACCGAGTTACAATTAGTAAGTTGATACCGCATCGCCTCGACAGTTTTGCTCGTTGCCCTCAAAGCGTACATGTGGACGTGGCTGACACATTACATAGTGAATAATTTGGCTGTAGCCTTCGCGCAGCATCCTCTTCAAGCTCTACTGGAGACCGTACCTAACGCCCCTGCAATTTCCAACGCAATGGTCAGCCCTGATATGCCAACGGATCGTGCCGGGTTCCTGGAAGCTGCCAAGAACTGGGCTCGCAACGCTTACTCACACTCCAAGGATATCACGGGTGACGAGCGCACAGAGGAGTGTGACGAGGCTTGTGCTGTGGCCTTGGCAAATATGGGCGACATCGCTGCCATGCTAGGAAAGAAGGAAGATGCTAGGAAACGTTTCCAACAAGCCATCGACATGAGCAATAAGATTGACTTCCCTCCCGGTGTGGCTCAGGCCAAGGCCGGACTTGAGAGGCTCTAGAACTGCCAGAGACGCCCGCTTTGGCCGCTCTAGTGCATCTTCTCTCAATTTTACAAACGCCAGGATCTTGAAGCCATACCCGAAACTGCATTAGCAACCTTTGATAGGGCAAGTGGCATCAGAGACCCCTACTATCGCGTCCACAAAGTCCCTGCATAGGGCTGGGACTAGACAACTGAAACAGGAATTTTCTTCTACTGTACTTATTCGCCGGCGGGCAGGCAGGCCCCCGCTCTCTCTCTTTGAACACCAGGGTCCTACAGCTATTAACCGAAGTCAGGCGTTGAGTTCTGACTGCCTTCCGGCATTGGCCCTTAAAACTTGACTGGGCCGGCTGTAGCGACGGAAGAATGTCATGGCGACAACCATGTGCCACTAGACCTTGTCTTCGTCTTGACCGGCAGCATGTGAGCCGTGCATCAATCTGGAGCCCATCGTATTTGTTAGAGCCACCGCCTACTTGCAACGATGGCGGATCAACTGCGGTCCTTAGGGACCGGCGGCGGTATCAATAAACTCGATTCAATCAATGGCAACCTTAAGCACTGCAATATGTCGTCAAGTATGCAGATAAGAGGATTGCGGATCAGCTGCAATCATTGTTGACAAAATGTGCCTAATCTGTTACCGTGGGACTGGGCTTGAAAATCAGATGAGGAACAATCTCTATTCCGCCTTATCCACGATGTTAGATTTCGGTCTGGGACCAGGAATGCTATGAAGGACTCAAGGCTTCCGAGAGCATGACTCTCCACACCCCCAAGAAACCCCTTTTCATGATTCATCCTCAAAAGCTTGGGCCGCGTCGCCCAGAAAACCATTTGGACCCCAAATCTGTCGTCGCCAATCGCGTGGCCGGGTAATAGCGGCTCGGCGTGCCAGCGGACGCATATTGACGGGTTCAGTCCCCTGCATGCTCACCCCGGCATCGCCATCACTGCAAGCCAGCGGGAAATTGCCTTTTTCGGAAAATAGTTACTCTTCAGTGGGGAGGAGCCCAGCTGGGCGAGTGGAAACCCGCCAACCACCGCTCAGCCTATTGGACGAGCTTGAGGATGGATACCCGAATCCCGATGCGAACTTGCAAAGATTCCTTCTGCCTAGATGGCTGTGGAAAGGGTATCATGTGGTGCCCACAGAGCCAGGTACTTCTCCAATACCTTCAGACAAACCGGCGACTAATCCGGCACCGTTCATTGCAACCTGTGGGGTACGGGACTTATAGGGCCCTCACGCTACCTTTGGATCAATGGCCGTTAGTTCGACCTGATCGAACCAGAGACTCCCGTCAGTGGCTGACCTCAAAAAGGCACAGTGGCATATTCCAAATACTTAGACCTGGAGGTCCCGAGTAAAGATGCGCTGTCATACCCTCACTCACTAACACAGAGAGAGGCGGTCAGTGAGGTGGACTTCTCATTGCGGCGTTACATTCTCGCGCGCGAAGATTGTATGCTAAGAAGTACTGTCACTCTGCAATCTGACGAAGCTCAACGAGCTTCGGTTCAGATGAAGACAACCTGCCGAATTCTCTTACTTGTATATTTGGGCTGAACGAAAGTATACGTTTGAAACCTCTATCACGACGTAGTCTTCGACCTTGTCAAAGCAAACCCGACTTGCGCCTGGAAGCGCACAAGGGCTTCAAGCACGTGCAAAACAAATGTTGCGGGCAACGGAGGTACCTCCGATCCTCTCCGCCGTTGCTCTTGAGGGTAACCCTCGCATGCACATGGGCTCCGGCCATTTCCACGGGCGCATGGTCTCTGGAGTGGGCCTTCACAAACTGCAGCTTGCGGAATTGCGGGAGGCAACGCCGGTGTCCGTCAACCTGAGGCATTTGTGAATACAGTGTCCTACCGTTACGGCCGAGCTAACCGCGATGTTACGTTTCTAAGTGCTGATAGTCTATTACCTTATCGGATCTCCGCTTGCACGAGACTCATACATGCCACACGAAGAAGGAGAGCTTAATCCAATTGCTACCAGCTGGATACCCCGGTCACTCCTCCCTTCTTGCCCCGAAGTACGCCTTGGATTTACCAGGCGAGGTTTTGCAATCTTCGTGATGTTCGCTACCATGACATTGTTCTCCAGCTCCAATCAGGCTACACTGCAACGTCGCTCTGGTTCAGCGGCCAGCACCGCCTCCCAGTAGTCCGTCAATTGGCATATACGGGGTGCAAGAATGGTGGGCAGCTGAAATGGACCGTTTCTTACCCCCACAGCCATATATGTTCCTGCACGAAGTGACCGAAGCGGCGGGAAGATCTACTCCGACGTTTCAAACGGAGTTCCGCTAACTAGTGGCGTCTAGACTCACAGAGCCTTGCCTATTCACGCTGCGGGCAAACCTGGGCCAAAGGGACATCCCGGTCGCCAAATGAATGCAACAATGACAGGATGAAGGCTTGATATTTCGGCTATCATCACCTGTTTGATTTTCGAGGCAACATAGGAATGAAAGACAAAGTGACGGGAGAAGCCGTCTCGAAAGACTGGGTACATATGCCGTCCGTGGTGCCTGCCGCGACCCAAATTCCCCAGTCTGGCAATAAGGGGGGCTGTCAGCTTTAAAATAGATTCAACTCGGTCGACCCATGGCTTCAGGTGCTCTGACAACGAACCCAACTACTCGGGACAGGGCCTAGGGTCTAGAAGAGGGAACACCCTAACTGCGGGACGGGACCGAACGGGCCAGTGAAAAGGCGTGATCCTTTCATTCACCGAGATTTATGGACTACGGTGATTGCTGGTTCTACTAGCGGAGCGAGATTTCACCCAGTCCTCTTCGTACTACGGGGGCCGCGATGTCTAAATCCCCTGTACGCAGTTGCTTGGGTTAAGTAAGGCATGGTCCCATGGTGTATGGGGACGCTGGCAGCGCTAGCAGCTGCAGCAGTATGACAAAAACAACCCAAGCTTCTGATTGGGGCGCTCGTAACGGCGGGGAGAGCTGATGTTCAAAAAACACCACAATTGAGACAACCCCAAACCCAGCCATTGAGAACCCCGCCGAAGCTATCGAGATGGGAAGCGAAGAACGACATCGGGAGAGGTTCGAACAGGGACAATTATGGCTGCCTGATCTAGGGGATATTGACCGGCCACAGCGGGACTTACGAAGCAGAAAGAAGCTACGCAGAACCGGGGGATTTCGCACATGCGGGCGGTGCAACAATGATTTTTTCCTTGACCTGCTATTTCTGGTACAGCAATAGATTTTTGTCTCCAGAGATGAGGTGATTGAGGACGGTTTCCGGTGTTCCGGTGTGGAGTTCCACTCCGGGGAGCGGGCTGCGGCGGCAGGATTCGGCTCCGGGGCGGAACAGGATTGCTGATCGGCGGTCGCCTAGGCTTAAGGTTATTTGACGGAGGCAACAATACAATCGACACCACGAGACACATCTGCTCGGTGTGCGAGCACCTGTGGATCAATTCGAATGGCAGAGAACCATGACAGCAGCGCCATTAAGCCACTGAGGGCAACTATGGATGTCACCTCAATACCTAACGGGCGTGCGTCATCTCGCTTACACCGAGGCCTCTCAGGGCTTGCAGATAAAACGGCGCGAGAAGCAAAACGGCACGGCTCGAAAACGGTTGCCGATTGGAGGAAATATCCATCCACCTGGTCGAACGTTGCAACCCGAACGGTGGGCCCACTAGTGCGGCGGAATTCCACCTCGCAGAACAAACAGCACACATGCCACGCTGTCGGTTCCTTTGCATGTAATCAGACAGACACGGCACCTGGTCGCCGCCTGCAAGCCTCGATTCTTCTCTTTGAGCAACAGTCGACATGTCCATCAAAACACGGAGTGTCGTCTATGTACAGATGAACCTCCCCATTCCGTGGATACGATTACAACGGCGGCTATCGCTTGAGCCCCGAAAGCATTTAGCTGTGGCTCTGACAGAAAGGCTCTGTAAACTTAGCGTACAAGCACACCTGATCCTATCTCCAAACACCCATCCAGATCACTGCATAAATGGGGCCACCGCTTATCAGATGGAATTCCGTGCCGCTGCTGCAAGCACAGGGAATAGAATGTACCTATAGGATCTAATTTCCTATCCTTCCGATTCACACACGAGGACGAATGACAAGGCAAACTCAGTCTTTCCGTGTGTCCTTTTGGGCCGAACACTGAAGAACCAGCCCCCATGGTCTAGCCCAACATCGCCTGCGCGTCCACGTCAATCATCCCCGGATTCAGAAGCCACTGGCACAAGAATTTTGGGGAAGTTGGAGAAAATCCCAATCTCATGTTTTCTCTCTTGCACATTTCACACCACCTCCTCACGGGCTGCGGCAAGACAACTAGCTCCAAACCGAAGCACACGCAAGCACAGGCCTGCTGGGTGTCGCAACACCAAGACCAGGGTTTCTTGACTTGCTATTAAATCTGCCATTCACCAAATCAGAATGAGACATTCAGCCATCCCAGGCAAAGACTGAGTTGGGCTCGCGTGCGGGGCCAGACCTGCGTCCCCCGCTTTCCCCCCCTCCGGGGTGCTGAGAACCCTTCCTACCTCGCGGTATGCCCGGCCTATGGCCGAGTCAAAGTCTGTTCGGAAACCCTCCGACGACGACGATTAACATCAGCTGACATGCCCGCCGCAGGAGTCTTGATGTGAGGAATCTGTTCGCCTCCAAAAAAGGAATCATGGAGGCTTCTATTGTTGGTATTGCGGAGTACCTTAGCTTTGGGCTACCGGGCTGGGCCAGCCTCGCAAGGCAACGCTCCCCCTGCCACATGCACTGGTGCGGTGATCGTGCCGCAGCCCTGCATGCCGTTCATTACTGGTGTGGTCCGTAACATAACTTCATACGAATTGGCCAACAGATACGTAGACCTCTTTGCTTGAGGGGCGCCGGGAAACCGTCTTACAGAGTTGGGGAAACGCACGATGGCTAGGCCATGCGAGGACGCGCATCAAAAGTCATTACTGTCGTCATACGGCACCAGAACAGCTTCTGCTGGGAACTGGTTCCGAGACGGGCCGGCAATGACTGACTATCTGTCAGCGACGATATCCGGCATCGGGACAAGTGTAGCCGTTACTGTCAGTTGCTCGCTCGACTTGTCATCAACGAAAACATGTCCCCATCCAACTTCGGGGTGCTGCCTACTCCTCCATTTAATGAGATGATACCATCAGGAAATTTGACGCACTACTATGTAGGCTTCTTGTCTTCCAGTAACCCGAAAAATGCGAAGGAGGTACGACATGCATCAGGTGCTGCCATTCTATGCATACGCCCTTGCCATGCTGCCCCCACAGCTTGCATCCGAATTGGGCTCCGCCCTTCTTCTGCCAGAAGTCTACCAAGATTGAAGCTTCACTGCTGGGAAGCGACCCAAAAAGGCGGGATTGCAACTGCTGCGCTTAGCGGCACCACCCCCTCGTCTTTCGCACCCCTCCCTTGGCGATGTACGAGTTTCGGGCAATGAGAAGCCATGCTTGGCTTTTTGGCGATAATGATGACTTTGCCGCTTTGCTTCCGCGATTCGACAGTCATCTCAGGCAAAACCGCCTATCTACAAAGATCTGCGAGACAAGGGCCAACCGACGGCCAACCGTTTTGCCGTTGTCTAACATCGCAGCAAACAAAATACGTCTGCCCGTCCAGCGAAGAAACGAGTCTAGTACACCTTGGGATCACGGACAGAAAAGGTCGCCTCCATCACTTAGACTATACCGAAGAGGCGAGACTGTCGATGTTCGCCTCCAGAATCTTCCCGTGCTTTGAGGGTGGGAATGATCAAACCACAAGAAAATGGAGATGGGCCCGGCTGCGGCGATGCTTTCATAAACCTACCGTCCGAGGTTCTGAGTGGTCAGGAGTGAGAGAAGATGATGGTTGGTCACAGAGAGTTATCCCATCTTGCCCTTCGAGGCGTCGTGGGCGAGAAGGCTCAGCATCATGCAACGGCGGCAGGCCCAAAGCTTAACGGCGCCGCGTCGGCTTACCGCAACAACCTCGACCCCTCACCTCCGTCTTTGCCCACCGTCTTCCGTCTTGCCCCCCGTCACATCTGGTTCTGTCTTGCCAGGGGCCCTTGCAATATCTCAGCCCGTTGAAAGCGGGACTTCACGCGCGAAATGCAGAGAAGACAGCAGCGGTCTCCAATTCCATCCCTGCCCGCACCACCACCCCATGCGGTATGTGCAAGCTCTCGGCCAGCCCCAAAAAGACAGCGGAGGCGATTCTTGCTGTGCTCTTCGCTTCCCCATCACGCAACCTTGAATGCCACCAGGGACCAGGAACAAGAGGGTGGACGGGGGCCCGCCATGCACCTAAGCAGCCCAGGAGGTGCGCTATCTGGGGTCCAATCCCACCGGGGTCCCACTGGGTGGTTGCATTGCTGGTGTCTACGTTCGTGGTCCTGAAGGGATCTGCCAGAATGTTGCTTACCTACGTACTTACGAACCACAGGACACAGCTTTTGCACATGTGCATATGGGTTCCACCCTGCCGCTTCCCTTTCCGTACCGATACCTTGGCTGGGGTGTATGCCTTCGTGGTGCTTCTTTCCCATACGCTGCCCATACGCTGCGTGCCTTATATAATTCCTCCCAGCCCTTTGCAAATCCTCGTGGCGTAGCTTATGTTGCCTTACACATCACTCTTCAGACACACATCCAGACTGACGCGCTACCCCCTTGCTTCAGTATATATCATCCCAAACCCCGTCCAGACTTGGAACCTTGCGCATCCCAAGCCGACATCAAGCCAGCCTGCTCTCGCCCACTACCCATATCAACTTACCGTCCACAATTCTATCCCCTCTGGCACTCAATTGTCACACATGGATCACTCACTGCCGCTCAACATGTACGACGACGTGGATACCTTCTTGGATATGGACGCTCCTTACATCTACGACGAACCTGAACAATATCTGGATACCGCCAGCTCATCCGAGTCGACAAGTCCCGTCATGTCAAGTGTAAGTCGACTCTTGTCGCACCCCGAGAGCGTCAATTGACTCACGCTTGGCCCAGTTTGACATGACCCTCGTGAACGACTTCAATGGCATGGATCAAGGCATCTATCCCAGTCCCATGAGCTCGTCTCGCGACACAGCGTCACCGCAACCCACTCTAGACGATAAGGCAGCCCCGGCCAAAGCCCCGGCCAAGAGGAAGCGCGAGAACCGTTACAAGAATGCGCCGCCGTCGGTCCTTTCGGTAAGTCCAAGTTTTCCCTAAGACGGCGCTGGTTGTACGACCCTCTAGCGGTAAACTAACACATTCCGTTCCTTATAGCGTCGCCGGGCACAGAACAGGGCCTCACAACGGGCTTATCGCGAGCGTAAGGACCAGCGCATAAAGGACCTCGAGGTCATGCTCTCCGAGCAGAAACAGAAAAACGATTCCCTCAGCCAGGCCTACTCGTCCCTTCACGCCGAGTACCTCAAGCTTCGGGGCGAGCAGGCGAGGTCGCAACAGCTTCCGCGACAACACACCGCGCCGCCAATGACTTACGACGCATCCACCGCTGCCCACATGGGGATGCCCACGCACGCGGGAACGATGAATTTTGCCGACAACATGTTCATGTTTCAGGATATGCAGAATTACACACTCTGAGCGGGGTATCAGCCTCTTGATGAGAAAGCAATGGTGATGGGCGGCAGGGAAAACGCAAAAGCCGTGGACTTCCTTCTGCTTCTGTTTTCCTTTCCTTTCCTTTTTCTTTTCCCTCTCCCACCAGATGAGTGTTACTACTGTTACCGGGATCCTGGGAGGGCAACCGAAGTTATGACGGTTATGCAAACAAGCGAATGGAAAACGACCGATTGGGTTCTATGGCTAAAGGTGGTTCAGCTGATTTTTCTGTTCTGGTTCTTTGGGGTTCTGTCTCTTCTGCTTTCCGGTCTTGGCGTGCTTGGGTCTATTGGCTGGCTCTATTACTAGATGGCGAACATGGGCTGGCAGGCCTCGGGCCTTTCTTGTTATCCTGGCGTTCTTTGAAATGGAGTTTTCATGTTTCTCTGTCACTTGAATGGAGGCTTCTCCTCGAGAAGGAAATCGGCGCGTTCCATTGCCACGATGTGTGAATGCGGGGGTTCGGTCTTGTCTATGGGACACTCTTTGGGGTTCGGAAGATGGAAAACCTTTAGGGAATAGTCGAGAAAAGAATAGTATTGACATGTGAGAATTCCATCTTTCTGAACACTGCCAATTCGAGAATCTCAAGCGCTTTCACACTGCCAAAGTTTGGGACTAGCTTTGTAAAAGCCGACCCCGCAACCCTATGATGGGCTCCAGGTCTGGACGTCCGAAGTGGTGAACAAGGGTGGGGTTCGGTCATTGCTTTTGCGTCCTGATAACCTTGTTTCTTAGACGAGGTTATAAATATCACCATGTCACGAAGGGAGAGTAGGGATCCGGTTCCCGAGGGGGACGATGTGGTTCGATGGGCTGAGCTTGCCAAAAAAGATGGCAGGTTGGCCGTCTTCCAGATCGAGCGAAGAGACGTGTGCGACAATGCCATTACGGAACCAGCCAAGTTCGTATAGAGTTCTCCCAAGCTTTCGGGGGGCTGTGGCCTCAGGTGGGTAGGGGGCTTGCCGTGACAGATTCGTCGACCGAAAAGGCTTGGCATCTCTGTACCAGATCTGGCTTCACCGACAGAGAAGTGTGTGTATGCGGTTTCTCGGTAACCCTGCCATCAGCCCTGTAGGAGTTTAGGTCATGGGGAGGTTACTCAGCACCTACTCACGTCAGCACCCTGTTTGACGTTACCCACGAGGATGGACATTTTCAGTGTCGTGTTTTGGGGTCCATTGATCTGGGTTCCGGGGCTGATTCCAGGGTCTTGGAGTTTTGGGGGCTACTCACATATTGTACCCGTCATGATCTTCTTAAAGTTATGGGACTCGGTGATCTACTGGGTTGCGTGCGCGGCTATGGAGCTTGGAAGCCTAAGCCTCCCGTGATGCGGATGCCTAGGGATGAAGATCACGGAAACAAGCTTTTCTAAGATTGAAATGACAGTTTACAACCGCCGCTTGTAGTGAAACGTGTGGCTGTGGAGGGTAGACGCGGCTAGGCTTCCGTGCGCCGTTACGCTCATGAACTCGTGGCGATACTTGAGATAATCCGAGAAAGCATGGTTTACAGGATGGTGTTGGTGTGTGCTTACCTTGACACTTTTAGAATGAACAGTAGGATATATTTACAATGTGGCGCGTGGTGCCCGTGCTAGTTCAGCTTGACAGGACAATGAAACTATGTTTGTGTAGGGAATGAAGGTTTTGGGCACGAATACTGGAACGACATGGGAGTCGGCTGCTGCCGACTAGTCGGTTATCGGAATATCAAGTCTGATGTTTCGTGGCTTGCGTAACCCTCTTGCCATGCTGAGAGAACACGCAGCTCATGCTATGAATATTGCGTTATGGCCGGTCCTCTCCGCGTAGATGATGTCATTCTAGGATTTCTCCCATCAAGGCAAATCGGGGTTTCTGCACCGTTTCAATCCAATTGAGAAAACAACCAAATACGGCATGTTACGTTGCTCATAGTGGTTTGTCTGCCTTGTGCTGTGCCGCACATGCGCTGCGGGCTCTTAGCATCTCGGTGTCCCCGAGGATGAGGTGACAAACTCGGGCCGGTTAAAGCTGACGGCACCCTTACCAAAGCGAGATAGCACCGGGCTTCCGCTATCTTCACTGCCACACCAGCCTCGACACGAAAATACGATAACAGATGACCCTTCTCTCCTGAACAACCCCGATTGAGAAAGGGCCTGCTGCATGTGCGTGTGCAACACGAGGTGCGGCTGCATTCCGACGACCCAAGAGGCCTCTATCTGAGAGCGAGCAGTAGGCGCGACTACCCCCAAGCCATTTGTTTCTATCACAAGCCAGAAGCCTACTTCGATAGTGTTTGTTACATGTCCCGTGTTGCTCAGAGCTGCATGTTCAAAAGCCTACCTGACACTCATTGACCCGCCATGCCCTGTTTGCAAATTTGAGAGCATATCAATATTAGAGAATTGCCTCGGTTCTAGAAGAGTCGAATATAAACAGGCTCAGGATGCTGATACGCCAATGAAATCTTGAGCGACACTGTTCCTGGCCTTGGAGATCGTCAGGGCCGCATTAAAGTGCCACAGGCCTAGAGAACCCCGTCTCTCCGGCGGCCTCTGCGGCCTGCGACGTGACAGGATGATGGCATGTCAGCTTTTCTACGAAAACAACCATGAAACTTGGTAGGGTTACGATACATGGTGGTTGATATGGTCCCGTGAAGGCTGTACGTATCGTATTTAGCGACTGTCGAGAGTATCCATGAGCCGGTCTCTACGCCAAACAAACATCTTCATCTGCTATAGAACTCCATTCTTTGCTCTGTATTCACAGTGGTTATTTTTGGGGCCAACACTCAATAATAATGTACCTCGACTTCGGTAATCACGTGTTGAGTGATAGCAGAGGCATTTCTTTCACAACTACGTTGCTCTAGTTCACGTGGTCATGACGTGCAAGTGGCTATATGAACCAAGGCAGCACCAGCAAGTAGACTGCTAGAATATGAACAACTCTACTTGCGATGATTAAATCCGCAGAGAATGTTTGTGGACAAAATATGAATATGAAGGCCACTTCGGCCACTCTGTGGTCAGTAGACAAAGAGGGTGTTCTCCTCATTATAGATGCCACCCCGATAATTAAGAGAATGGAAACAAGGTGAGAAAGGAAAAGGTTTCTATTGAATTCGGCATCATGGAGTGATTATTGATGAGCTACAGATTGAACCAGCTTTCTTCGGCGACAATTTGCTGGGTACCTCGCACAAGTCTATGTGCATCCTCAAGACTCATTGACCACAAGAGATCAAGATGGACGTTGCTTTATTATCAGTAGCGTCGAAAACTTTACATCAAAATACCAAATATTGAAATTGGTAGTAGGTGCGGTAAGATTGGATGATAGAGTAAACTCGTTACTTGGGAAACGACTGCGAGGCTCTATGCTTCACCAGCCAAACTGGACTTCGTCTTCCAGCAACAAGATGTTCATTTATGCAATTACTTCAGAATCACGACTTCCGCTCAACATCTTAGACAAGAATGGGGATAACGTTTCAAAGACGATGTCACAAAACATAGGCTGACAGCTCAACAAGGAGAGTTGGCCTAGTTCTGATAGTGATCAAGTTGCTGACAACAGCTCTGCCCGGAAGACGTCTGTGGCACGCTTGTCAGCGCTTTGTTGATTGGGTTATCTGCCCTGGTAGCGACAGTGACATCAAGCCAACCCCAAGAACGATATCGTGGTCTTTTTCTCGTTGCGGGTTGGGTAACGTATTCGCTTACTTTATCCTCGATAGTGCCAATTAAATCGCTCCGGACCAACGGGTCTCTGGAGCTGTCTGTCAATGGCTGCTCCATATTTAATATCTTATTGGTCTTAGATCACTCGAAGCTATAGGCTTCGAACTGCTGGCTAGATCGACCTGATCATAGTTATTGGATGTCCGTTCAGAGGCTCCTGACGCCGGGAATCAATCACCCCTAGGCACACCTGTTTCTAGCCTCCAGGGTTACCAATGCAGCTATCATACACTTTCCAGGTAGAAACGAGACCTGAAGCGGGAATATTACAGACGCACTCGAGCCTCCTTTGACCTTTGTCCCGCGTTACTTTCTTGCCAATTTCAAATGAGGCAAAGGGAGTTCAAGGTCTCCAGATCTAGAAGCCCACGCTCTAAGTCAGCTGCTAGTAGCTGCTGAAGACATTTTTGCCATGTGATCCCTCTGGCGAAGCAGGCTACGGGTGACGCTAGAGTCGACATCATTCAATTCTATCACCGCGAAGAGAGACAAGTGGCATGAATGCTATGTGCATGCGATGAGACATGCAAGTGGAGACGCGGAGCCATCGCTCCGAAGTTCGTGAAAGAGATCCAGCCATAGATCATTGTGTTTGCTCATCTGAGTTATCTTAGGTTGTTTGAGAAGGAGGTCCTGAGTATCGATATCAATGGAGCGACTGGACGAATGGGACGTTGGGCAGAAGTACCAGTCACGGACCGATAGTGGCAACGTGTCCTCAACACATGCTAACAAGGAATAATCACTCATGGTGTTGGGTCAAGGTCCCTGACTAGAGTCTCATCCATCTTCTTCAACAGGCGGCCATGAGGTAAGTTGATCTAGAATGTTCTAGACTACATCATATCAACGATAGATCGGTGTCTTGTTCGGTCGTCACCATTCTATGTTATCAAACAATACGGGTGAAGATTGCGCAAGCTAAGCTTAAGTCCACGCCATTCGTTGCCGGAAACTTCAGTCAACTCAAGAGTCGTGTATTGTGGAACTCGAGCGAAGTTTCGATGACTCAATTGCATGGCGATGTAGCTACGTATAGCCAATTACTGACAACTCAAGAGCCTGTGGCGAATTGTCGTGATAGCAGAAGATAGTAGGAAGCCTGACTCACTCGATAGATCATCAGCACCGACGGGTCGAGACCGATCGATACGAAGAAAAGGGGATAGGTGAAGGGGCCTCGGTTGGCATGATGGTCACGGGACTCGTGAGGGAACCGAGACCCACTGGTTGCTTGCAGCGTGTTCTGTCAATATCGCAGACCCCGCTGTGAAGGAGGCGGTTCACAATGACGAACGCCCCCTAATCCGGGTTGCCTTTCTCACTTTCATGACTCTTGCTGTAGTGAATTGTGGAATCATCCATCCCGCCATCACTGGTGTAACATGGATTCCACGATTGATGATAGCATATCTGCGTTATCGGGGTCCTAGTTCCGAGAGCCCCGAATTTGATAGCAGATCGGACCAGAGAGAGCCAAGAGGACTGATGCTCGAGCCTGCTTACGGAGCCGGAGGTCGTTCGAGCTGATCGGGAAACGGTCGTCGGCCGACGAATGAGATGGCAGCCTCAAGAGGAATGCGGCAGGCCAAATGGGACACACGTCAAGCGCGCTGTCAGGACAGCCGGCCTGCAGAGTAGATCGGAGGGGGAGGGGCACAGACGGCGGGGACCCGATTCGCGCGAGTCAGGGGGGCTTCAGCGACCTTTCTCCGCTGTCGTTGTGGGCACTTCCGATGTCTGCGCCGTATCAAAGCAGGACGAAGGCGGGCAGTCAATGAGTCTGCTATAGAGAGTGTCTAGAATTGGAAGCAAGCCGATGGTGACTTGGAGGTGAACGTCAGTCGGAGATGGCATTGCGAGATCGGTCGAATGGCGGACGTCCGCTTCGAGAGAGCTCCAGAAAGCTCTGTGACTGAGCCGAGTGGGGCCCATTGGTCAATTGACTCCCGAACTGACGAGCTTGACCGATCCAGGGGTTTCGGAGACCGAGATTGAAACGCGGAATTCCAGTCATACGGGCCTTCTCCCAAGAGATGCATGGGCATTTCAGACTTGTTGGGGCGGGAATTCTTTGGGCACGGTCCAGAAACGGGGCGGGCAGTGGCCAGCTGACGATGGAAAGGACCCATCAGAGAGACCCCGTTCCCCATCGAGTTGAAGTTGGCATTGCCGCCACGCAGCTTCGTGTGGTGCTGTTACTGTATGCCTTAGGTTGGATGGGCGAGCAGGACGGAAAGAGCGGTAGTCGCCGAACATGAGCATGATCATGTGTCACATTGCTGCGGGTTGCCGCAATGGAGTCGTTGTAAAGCCCCATGCTCAGGCCAGAACGGTAGAGGTGCCACATGGCCCAAACCGAAGCATCGAAAGAAGCAACAGCCTTAGCCATGCCCAGCGGTTCTTGGGTCATCCGATGTCGGGAATACGCCGTAGGAATGTCCCGGTTGGTGTTTGGCACTTACTCTTCAAGTGATGTCAACGGACAAGGCTATTCAAACGGGTGGTGGCAGCAGCGACAAACGACGACGACAGGGACGAAGAAAAGGGAGCAAGCTGGGATGACACGACACTGACGATGGGCAGTTTTCTCAAGAGTCACGGCGTCGAAGTGGCTCGATGGCTCGTCGGAGCATGGGTTCGCGGGTACTGGTCGCGTGGTGCGCCGGTACTTGGGTCGCCGCTGCGGTGTAGTGGCTTGGGCAATGTAACGGGCTAGCGGCGGTTGGTACTCTGTGTATCCACTACCCCGCAATCTGACCACCCGGCCCAGCTGCGCGCTGGTACCTGAGACCCCGGATCCCGGGTGGGTCCCCTTTGCGTCACTGTGCTCCCGTGGTCAAACGTATGGGACTCTGCAGAGGAAGGAACGGAACAGCTGAGGAAAGACCATCTGGTTTCTTCTGAGGGGTTCACTAGGGAAGACTCAATTGATCCTCTGGCAGAAAGACTGGCATGCCAAAGAACGAGCGAGACACCAATGGAGAGGCAAAGCAAGAAGCTGTGTGCTCTGGAGGGGGAGAGAGAGAGAGAGAAAGGGAACACACAAGGGGAGCCGACCGCTAGCCAGCATAGGAGACAGCTCAGTGCAATGCCGCCAGACAGACACAAAAAGGTGGCATAATGAAGGTTTGGTCTGGCGTCAGTCCACGTCCGTCTCCACTCCCCGGGGGCCAGTCCAAGTCCACACCGGCCGGTCCCCCGTCCCACCCCCTTCCTGCATCGTTGCTGCTGCTGCTTCCCTTGCAACAAGCCCCTCCGCTGCATCAGGTCACGCGATCCAGCTTTCTCTGCCACTCTACCTACTCTACCACAGGACCCAGGCTTTCCGGACCTGCGAGATGCAACCCGCCCATGCCTTGCACCTCATTGGACAAGCTGTCTGATGATCGCGTGATGTGATAGGCTGCCAACTCTCTCGAGCCTTCGACCTTTAAAAGCATCCCGCGTAGCTCTACTCGCCTACATATCTTCCCCCCTCTCCCCTCTCCATCCTCACATCACATCAACGATTCATCAACGAGCTTCTCTTTTCAATCCATCGAACCAACTCTTCAAAGGCGATTCCTTCCTCGGCGAACATCAACGACACACGCTCGACTGACACATCAATCCGGTCTGACTGAGCCTATCTAACCACCACTTGCACACGTACAACCAAACTTACCAACAACCAATTCCTCCAAGAGTATGTTTCTCCCACTAACCCTCCTGCTCCCCCGACCCTTTAACTTGCCCCCGCATCACAACCCCCTTCGTGTGACGTCTCCCTTCATCACTTCCGTCCCTTGCTCCAGGTCCTAGCCCCCAATGAGGACGCCGATCCTTCATATCATTACCACCCGTGCTCGAATTCATCTCGTCGACATGTCAATTAGCTGTTCGATACTTACATGAACTTATTCGACTAACATCACGCCAGTGACTCGTTCCCACAAGTACAACGACCGTGACCACGCCGGCCTGGCCGATGGAACCGCTTCTCCCCAGGAGCACTTGCCTCGCTTCTTCGCAAAGCACGGCCACGAGGGTGTCGACCCCAAAAAGGTGAAGAAGAACGGCGCTGGCAGAAGTAATTGGTATGTTCGGACCTCCTGTCTACCCCACTTACACGCATCTCTTTCTTGGCGATGTCAGAGCACCGCCATATCCCCCCAAAGACAACACCTCATGCATTCATTTAATATAAAGTTCCGTTGGCTGACATGGCTGCTCGCCTCACAGGGGCAACGCTGGCGAGGAGGTCATTGATGAGGACTTCCACTTTACCAACGCCCGCCGCCGCACCAACAGCAGTGGCTTCGCCGACAACATCGCGGCTTTCAAGACCAAGTTCGATGTCAACGAGCCCGAGCCCGTCTTCGAAGAGTCCGTTCACGGCCCGGCTGAGGAGGACGGCGAGGACCTCACCAAGACCGAGTCATCCGAGAGCGGCCGCTCTTCGGCCTACGGTGACGACAAAGTCACTAAGCACTAATCCCTGACATCTAATTTACACATTACGATGTCTCTCGCTCGTGTGCACTCCCTCTCATAACCGCTGTTTCCGGCACGGCAGTCAAAACGTTGTCTTTTTTCACAACTTGCTACCAACAAACAACTCAAACACAACATATTGCATTGGAGGACAGGTTTTACTGGCTTCTGGTTTTATTTCGAACGGATTCGGCGACATATGGCTTTGTATTACGAGGAAATCGGAGGGGGTCAAATCAGGATCCTCACCCAAAGATTGACTGCCTCGGCGGCGGATGATAGCATGCATCACGAACATTATGACCTGGCGACGAAAAGTGTCGCCCTTGTACTATCAACTCAAACGGCCAATGATCTTCAGAATAGATTCATGCCTTGTATGCTCTGTTCCTCGCTGCCTTGTGAAGTTTCGCTTGCAATCCTGTGCTGTCTCTGATTATAATGTTTCGATTTTCTAACTACTGCACCGAGCCTTCTTGTTGATTCGGATCGAGTCCTGTTCAGGCGGTAATCCCTCATGGCCGAAGTATCATGGCGAACACCAACATTTACTTTTGGCCCGGCACTAACAAGGGGCCACCATTACACCGTAGCTCTTTCTCTAGGAAGCATGGACACCTGCCGATCAATCGCATCTGTGTCGACTTCAAGCAATCAATCTTGGCTTCTTTGTCAACCGCTTAAGAGCCTTTGAGCAAAGTTCACCCTTCCCGCATCTACAGCCTCCCGATTAGGCAGACTCTGCCTCATACCGACCCCTCATCTGTGGATAGCACCCAACACACTGTGTATACACCACCCTGACGAAACAAATCTGCTACCCCCGCTTTTGGTCACTTTGCAAATACGATTCTTCACCATTCGACTCCAAGTACGCAAAGCCGTTTGACAAACGGGGACTAGCCGAATGTCAACATGAAACGGGCGTATAGTATTTTCTCCTCCAACACCCTGAGCCCGTTGGTCTCCATCATAGCCAGTTCTCTCCATAGAGCAGCCGGAACTGTTGGAGCAGGAGAAGTCTCCGCCTCATCCGCTGTCTCCAGCAACGGGCTCGGGGTACCATTGGACTCGTTAGCGGGGAAGAAGAGCTCGCTCCAGGCCTGGTCAGTCCAGACAAGCTTCCCCTGCGTAATGCATCCTGTCTCGTCTGCTAGGGTACCCATGATATGGGGGTTAAGAACGAGAGTATGCTGCTTCATGCAGGTCTTGCACGTCGCAGATGGCAGGTTTGCATATAGGGGCACTCCGCAGCTGAAGAAAGACGCCACATTAGTTATCTGCATTATTTATGGCGGGAGGCTTGATGGGAAGAAGTGTGTAAATTACCACTCGATACAAAATATCATCTTTCTTCGATGGAGCTCAAGCAGGTTGGTTCCAAGGATAGTAAGACTCAGTTTGCCGGTGAAGTCGGTGGCTGGGTCGGCGCAGGCGAAGTCGTCCACCTCAGCGAGCGTAAAAAGCGGCCGGACGGGCCCATGAACGGCCTCCGCTGCATTCCAGACGCCTTTCGGGAAGGGTAAATAGACGCCCTCCTCCTTGACTCTGTTCGTAACCCATCCACGAAGCCAATTGGCATCCTGGAAGTTCGGATTGACGTCAACGATAGTGTTGTAGTTCAGGCTGATGCGGGCGGTTGAAGGCATTGGCTTGGTGTCTCTGGGAGGCACGAACTTTGGGCTCGTCAGAAGCAAAATGGTCTCGTTAGGCTTCCATAACTTGGCGGAGTTGGCCTTGTCTTCCCAGAGAGTCAGTACGCAGCTAGCGGTATCGTCACACACGCTGATTTCGATCAGCTCCGCCTCTTTCATACGCTCTTGCATTAGAATGCGTTTACGGGCGCCGATGCTCTTAATGCAGACGATGATGCGTGCTCCTCGGGTGTCATGTCCCGTCTTTAGATATTGGCGTAAAGTCATCAGACCAGGGAGTAGCTTCGACTTCTGTCCGTAGTCGTTGTACTCTAAGGGTACCCGGCAGAGTCGTTCGTTCTCTGGAGTATTAGGCAGAAACTGGATGAACTGTTTCGTGCCTACGTCTGCCGGGTTGATTGGTGTATACATTGTGACAAAGGGGATGTTGCCATGATTCGAACCAGCCGCGGTACCTGTCCAGCTGGCCCAAACGGTGACAAGCTGTCCTATAACCAGAAGAGAAACTGGAATACCGATAGGTATGAGTCTGACCTGAAATGCTGTTAGTCTCTGCAATGATCGTGTGACAACATGAATAAATACCCCTATAGCGCCTGTGTCATCTGCGACAATCAACTGATGAGTCGGGCGACTATAAGTGTTCATGGAGTCGAGCAAGGCCGGAGCGTAGTTGACTACACGGCCGGTGAAACGGATGCGATTCGGGCCCGGTTGAATGTCGCCGATACAGACCTCCTCGTAGTCCTCTGACGGATTCCACGGACGAGCAAGAGGATTGTTACCAGCATCAATCTCTGCTTGTGTAAAGCCATCATCTTTCAGTGGCCATCTTACAGTTGACGCAGCTTCTGACGAAGTCGGAAGCTCCTTCTTGTAGAAGGCCTGTATGGAGAATGTCGACATCGTGGGACGGAGGATTGTCAATGGAAAAATGAACACGTTTCGACATAGGAATATGGCCAGAAGGACAATTACCTTACCTTAATCCATTGGAGAGTGTGCTAATGATAATATTATCAATATAAATCTCTTTGGCGCTCTTGGAACAGAAGGCAGGAGCAGTAGGATGTTGAATCAGGGAAGGACCCATCCTCGTACCTGCCTCCTTACCTGCCTCCTTACCTATGATGCCAACACACTTTTCCGATGCTGCCATTTCAAAAGGCAACAACAATTTTAAGCCATAGTTACTATGATACCAGCTAACAGCATACGTTAAAACGATAAGCGTTGAAGTTGGAGATTCTTCGTTTTTGTAAGTTAGGGCAACAGGTAGACGGTATATCAAGCGGGCTTGTTGAGACATTACATAGGTACGGGAGGGTTACCCGACGAGTTCAAAAGAGCTACATGTTGTAAGAGGAAAACTTTCAGGAGAATGACGATCCACCGGTGGTTTGCTATTTTGATCATTGAGGTTGTCTCGGCGGTCCCGTTGGCACTTGACAGTTGTGGAAACGCTACACATACACCCAATCGCAGCGTCACCACAGAGCTGCCGCGAAGCTCCCTAGGTTGATTCAAAGAAACAGAAATAACTTTATCCTCGATGTACGTGTTGTTTTTGTTGTCTTACTTGGAAGCTTGGAACAAGTATGTGTATGCTTGCTCTCATTCACATAACTCAGTGTCTTCTATATGGGTTCTCCCTCGGTTATAGTGCTGGTTCTGTTCTGTCGGTTTCTTCCACGCTTAACTAGCGATCCAACGAAAATGATGCGTGTAAATACAGATATGGAACAAACAATGAATACGTATGTCACAACTCTCAACGCCCGACGCAACATCTCTGCCTCCTAGGCTGCAAATCAGACCGCTTTTGGTTGCTATTGTACTGCTGTTCAATGACTGAGAGTCTTTTGCACCCGGAAACTATGAAAATATGTAACCACATCAATCGGACTTCTTGTCAAAACCATATTAACTATGGGCTATATCTACGTCTGCCCGGGGCCTTAATCTGACACCGCGCTAGAGGAGTGTGAAACTGACGTTGATCGACGACTCCGAGTGGTAAAATCTTTGACGCTCCCAGCCTCAAGGTCTTTCATTCCATACAGACCCGAGGATTCGTGGGTCTCGAGCGCGGACTGCTTTGTGGTCATCTTACCTTTAGCGCCCCGAACAGCGGGTTGCAGCTCGGTAGTTGAGGAATCGGGAACAGTAACGTGAGATAAGCGGTTACGGCCCCGGTTACGGCCCGCTTCGCTTGAAGGAATGGTGTGTTCATCCGAATCAGAGCGTCGGGTGAGCTTCCCGAAGAGTCTTGGGAACGTCTTGATAAGAATAAGACGAAGGGCCGGCATGCAGAGGCAAATGATGCCGGTAGGAACTTCGAGACATGTCCAGAAGGCGATATCGAACTGATCCCATGTCGGATTCATAGATTTCGCGAAACGAACCAATGACTGTAGTCTCAGAATGCTGACGATGGTGACGCTGAATATCGTTAGATCGCTGTCCCAAAGTGTATGGGAGGGGGGCTTACAAAGTGCCGACGCAGAACATCAGCGTAACAGCAAGCTTCTTCCACCAGTGAAGGTTGAGGGTCCGGATTCTTGATAGGGGCAGGTAGAGCATCCAGAGATCCAGAACAATGCTGATGATGGCATTCGCCCAAGCTACCGCATTGATGTTGACACAGGTGCCTTGTTTCTCACCATCCCATCTTGTCCAGTAGAATGAGATAGGGGTACACTGAAAGATGCCGACGAGGAGGAAGGCGACAGTATTGGTGGCGTTGAAGGCAACTGTGCCCCACAAAAGCTTTCCGAGGCCGGCGCGGTCGAAGATGCGCATGTAGAAGCACAAGATTGCCATCTTGACGAGACCCATCTGAACGAAGTACACGGGCTCCAGGAGATAGAACCAGTAGCCGAAACTCTCAATTTGACTTGGCGTTAGGGTCCATATGTCCTTGCCGAGGCCGGCGGGCACGAGACCAACTAGGTTGATGATGAAGGACGGGAGAACGGCGACGTAGGCGAGAAAGGTGAACAAGTCATCGAGTCCGAGCTGTGTCGATGAAAAGAACTTGTATGTCAAGCGGGCAGCCACAACGAAAGTGCTGAGGCCCAGTAATACCCAGGTCAAACGAACATACTCGGGGCTGTGATCTCTTACGGGTCTATTACAGGTTACCTCGAAGACACCTTTGGCATCTGATTCGCTGTTAGCCCATGGTTTAAGGATCTTTGAAGGGGTCGCTACCGACGAAGGGCATCTTTGATGGAACAGGCTGATGTTATACAGCTCTGGGTCGTGGTTTCAAATTGCGAATCGGAACAGATACACGTCGCATTTGCCAACCCACATGGCGAGCCTTGGATTGCAGAAAGAATGCATGTAACCTAGGTGATGTGAGACTCACGTGCTCTTGACAAGAAACAGAACACTTACGGCGCAGGTAGGGAGCTGTGCCACAGCATCCGTTATGCTGTTGACCTTCTGGGCTGCAGCAAAAAGCATTGGTACGACCAATAGCGCAGACACCATGAAGGTGAGGGACACCGAATACCTCATGATGTCCTGTATGCGCCCGTTGCGTCAATCAACAAGTGCGGTAGGCCGTTCCAGGACTCTATATCTTGTAAGTGGGATATACGTTTCTTTAAGAGAGAAGCAAGGACAGCTGCAGACCGTTGACCTCGCTTTTGTCCTTTGCAACCACCAGGACACAAACCGAGAAGTAAAAAGGACCCCATGGTGGGCTTTGCCGGCAACATTCAAGGGTAGCCCAGAGCCATCCTTTGCGAGTGGCGGCCTAGGCCGCCTTCAAAGAACATGATGTGCCGCATGCAATAGTCAATCTCGGCGTGCGCCACCCAAGCCTAGACCAAAAAGGGCGCAAGAGGCGGCGAGTCTCTAGTTCCTCCACATGGTGGATATACGGCTAGAGGATGACGATCGACTTCTCATTGCGACCAGATCGTAGAGGGGGCACTGCTTACGGCAAGGCTGGCGGCTACCGTCTTTACCTTGGTCCAAGAGGGAACAAGAAATGGATAGAACACCTCGGCAGGCAGCTTCGTGCAGTCAACCATTGGCAGGAAACGCCACTGGGCTGGCTCCAGGCTCGGAGACGCGTGCCGGGCCCAATCATCTTATCCGCCTACTCGAAATTGAAAGGGCCGGACTGGGATAGCTGCTCAGCAACAACAAGCCACAAGCACCCCGAGTGGTATAATCTCGGCTATACTTAAGGGCACCAGACTGTTTTGTTGTTGTAGACCTTCCGGTGTAGAGCAGATGAGATTTCATGGCGGATGTAGTAGGGCTTGGTTGGTCGGAATGCGTTGGTATGGGTTGTCTGGGAAAGGGGGGAGACAATGGCAGCAATTTACCCTGCAGTGCCTCTGATTTTCCGTTACCGGCCTGATTTCGTCCTTCTGCGGATGGAAGACGCCTGGAATGAGAACGCGTGGAACCATCCATTGGGTCAGTCTGCTCATGATGTCCCTCAGCGGGCAGTGTCAAAGAAAAACAACGCGTTTCATCAGGCAAGTGTAAGTTTAGCTCTTGCGCCAATCCCTTCGAGTACGTGTAACCCCAAAAACGTGGAATCGAACAAGGTCCCAGTGAGGCAGGCATGCTTTGAAGCCATCACCAACTAACTCCATGCCTGCACGCCAGGTTTCCTGTCGTCCCATCATCAATCCGCTAAGTTCAATCGCGTGTCTTCCATGCTTCTCTGCTCCAAAAGTTGGGATGGACGAATAGACACAAGGCAACGTGGGAATGCCAGGGGGCCTTCCTCAACCTGCTAGTGCTGGTGTAGTGGTTGCCAGAATCGCTGCAGAACAGAAGCCGGAAGGCAAGGACTGATTAGCTTGCCCAAGCAATGTGCGTGAGTGGACCACTACCCAGGCCAATGATCGACAACGGATGGTCCGTGCATCCGCTTCTCACTCAAGCCAGAAGTGCACGGATCCTATTCCTTGTAGCCAGCTTATCTGCTTATCGGGTGGGCATGTGCGTCAAGGTCCCAAATTTCTAAACTTCAGCTCGCGGCAGCCTCGTGCGTTTCGGTTGACATCGGCAGATCAAGCTACACTATCGAACACCCTCAGCCTCTCAACCGCTCTGCTGATACTTCAGACTGTTGGATTCTGTCCGTTTCCTTCAGTAGTTATTTACATAGCGCGCTTCGCATTGGAACCATCAGAATGTCTGCTCTGAACGCCTTCCACGAGTCTCTTCCATGTACGTTGTTGTGGGATTCTTTCGCGCTCGCAACCTCGACTAATACCAAACGCCTATAGACATTGACGACGAACCCACAGCGGCGGAGCGCGAAGCCGCCGAGTCCTTGATTCGTGCCGAGTTGGCCACATCATCCCCGACGCCTGCATCAACCTATACAAAACTGTCCTTCTCCCCCCTGATCGAGCTCGAGCTGGAACGCGTCGCCTCCAAGCAACCACTTAAAGCCATTGACCTCGAACGCTACCAAACACAAGAGCCTTTCCCAGATTCCGAGAAACCATCGACAGCAGAGGACCGTGAACGTCTCGCCGACTCACTCCAGAAAGCCTACATTGCCTACACCTATCTAGACACACGTGCTCAGAACCTCAACCTGCTGGACAAATGGGGCAAGAATGCTTGGCTGATTGGCAATTGGGGCCTGGAGAATGAGCTCAAGTCTCTCGAACGTGATCTCGCCGAAACGAAGCGCCTGATCGACGTCTTGACCGTCGCTCGAAGGCGGCAGCAGGAGGAGGTGGCAGCTGAGATGAAGGGCCTGGAAGAGACTTGGAAGAAGGGTGTAGGAAGGACATTGGAGACTGAGATCGCCGTTGAACAATTGAGAAGGGAGATTTTGGAAGAGATGAGAGTAAGAGGTGGTTAATGCGGACCCTCTGGCGCCGACACTGAAGCACGAACTGGGCGAAACTGCCTGTTAAAGACTGCTCGGTCGCATTGTATATGTACCAACAAGAATCAATGATACCACGGGGATATTCTAACCCTTACACTTCCAGGACAACATCGTGGATGAAATATTCTTTACTAACAGGTATCTGGACATCACTAGCCGTGTCTCTTAGGAAGCGAGGGTAAGAGGTTCCGCTAACGCCGCCGTGAATCTTCACATTCACTCTCAACTTGCCAAAGCCTGCCATCCAATCTTGGATAAAACGAAAAACCAACCACATTTCTACCCCTTTTTAGGCCGCTTGAAGCGGATCCATCTCCTCGACACCAGTTTTGACGCCTTCGTACTTTGTCCGTCTCATGATGCCTTCGACGGGACCTAGGAGTCTCTGGAAAGCGTTCTTGCCGAGACTTGCTACCTTGACATCCGTTGTGGCAACAATGCTAGCGGCACGAGGGGCGTCATTCAGAAGCGCAAGCTCACCGAAGAAGTCCCCCTTACTGTAGTGCTTTACAGATTCTTCGCTGCCACCCTTGTACGCATCGGCTTCACCACTTTCTAGAAGGAAGAACGAGTGTCCAGGGTCTCCCTCCTTGATGATCGTTTCTCCCGGCGCGTACTTCTGGGTCTCCAGCGCATCGGCAATCTTGGACCGCTCGTATGGTGTGAGGCTCTGCAGCAGAGGCACCTCTTCAAGGAAACTCTCATACATCCGTCGTCGAGCAAATGTCGACTCCATGAGGATGCGGCGGAAAGTGAGACGATCCAGCGCCCAAAGGGTACATCCAGATTCGGCGGATATAACGGTCGCAGCGCGAGGGGCATTGTACATCAAAGCCAGTTCACCGAAGGAGCCTCCAGCCTGGATGGTACCGACTTTTTGGCCCATGCCCTCGGGACCGGGCTGCAAGTGACCGCTGCTGTTCACGTATACATCGAAAGACCCTTTCTCTACCACGTAGAAGAAGTCGCCAGCGTCACCCTGGCTAATAACCTGTTATGGAAAGTTAGGACCCCGTTCGTGCGATAGTTCGATGTTAAAGCCAGCTTACCTTGATGTCCTTAGCAGGAATCGGTTTTTCGTTGAGCGCACCCAGAATCTGGGCGCTCTGCTCCTCATCCAGGTGGCTGAAAAGAAAGTTGCCCTCAATGGCGGTCTGCAGACGTCCCAGCTGTTCCTTGCTCTTCTCGTGGTAAGGAGGTGACCAGTTATCGTACGTGTCCGCGCTGGGCTTCAGCGACTCGGCCGAGACTGAGGTTCGGCGGCCAAAGTTGTATTGAGCGGGATAGCTCTCGGGATTCGGCGGGCTTCTAAGAGCAGACGGCGGGGCGTCGTTGGCAGCGTCGCCGCCGAAGGGGCCGCTAAACATTGAACCGGCATTCATACCGAAGTTTGGTGATGTAGGAGACGTAACGGTATCGTTCTCCTCTTCCTCAACTACTCGATGAATGGCGTTGCCTCCCGCTGGGGCTCCATCGCTGGGCCCTCCGAAAGGGTTGGCATTAGCCCCGAAAGGACTCTTGAACATGCCGGACATTATTCTGGTGTAGGGTTTTTGTCTGTAAACAAGTTCGTTTCGTAGATGGGGGCTCGTTTCGTGGGGCTAGCTGCTAAGTGGGCGTGCGAGTCGGCGCAGAGTTCAAGGACGTCGACTGGAGATATTTTGTATGAGCGTCGTGGTTGGAGGCTTCGTGCTATTCTGATCAGCTTCATTCAGCTCACGACATTCGAGCGGCAGCAGCAACAGGAATGATGGATGGTTGCCCTGTCGCTTAGGTCATCAGGGTGGTGAACAAAGAATGCTGTGAAATTGGTGGGGTTGTTGGGTAGGGTGCAAGTGTGGGTGTACCTGATGCCTCGTCCCCGCGTTCAGGCTGCAGTAAACGAGCTGATCACGACTCCCTAGCGACTACGCCGCGGAGAGGTTATAGGTGCGATGACGCAGATCGGAATGAACAAATGCCGTTGGTTGTGGCGGGAGACGCAGAGGGGTGGCAAGATGCCCGAATGCGATGCCAAGGAAGAGACACAAGGGGAAGGGGACAAGATGGGAAATAGCAGGACACTCCTGTAAACTGCGGCTTAGGATGGAAGAGAGTAGCAAACGTAACAACAATGCTGCGATGTGATGAAGCCGACGAAGATATGACGGCAAGCAACAGGGAGATGACGGTGATGGGTTGAACTATTGAGCGGGGGCTGGACCGGCGCGCGGCCACGAAGGGAGCTATCACTTACCGGAGGGCCGTGTACGGAGCTAGCTAGTGGGCGATGGTAAGTTGGGGCGGAGAGCTCGACAGCATCCGTGATATTGGCTACAGAATCTTGAGGAGAAGATTTGTGGTTGACCAGACCCTAACTTGAAGAACTAGCAGGCCGAAGCAGCTGTCAGAGACCAAGAGTGACACTTGGCGATCGGGTTGAGTGGGTTGAGGGGGAGGGAAACAATAAGTGGGAGAGGAGAGATGCGAAAGAGAAGAAAGATCACGGCGTGCGGTGCAGCAACTATGATCCCGGATGGGGATGCGGCTAGTATGTAAAGGAGGGACCAGGGGGAGGCGTGGCAAGTGACCGGTTTCTGTATCTGCTCTCGTACTGTCGTCCGGGTGAGAGACGAGGCCACGAGAATAGCGTTCGCTTGTGTGTCTTGATCGAGGGAAGCGGGAGGAAGTGACGAGATGGAAGCACAAGATGGGGAAGCGCAGGAAGCGGAATGGCCAAGGGAAGGGAAGCTTTTTGGGTTCGGTTTAGGGACGAGGATTGCTCTGGGACGGGGGCAAGAAGGTGGGGGGAGTCGAGAAGCAGGAGGAGGCACGGAGGGCCCTTTGACGCATCGCTGCTTCCAGTCAAATACAGCAGCAAAGAAGCAGGTGCTCCCCTCCTTCTGGTGCTCCTCAATGTTCCCCTTCTCTTTCCACAAGGTGACGGTGAGGTCCTAGCTTTTGAGGGGCCTTGCTGCCCCGGCCGACCAGTCACGGGTGTCGAAGGGTTCTAGAAGGTGCACGGATCATAGGCTGGTCTGCTGCCGTTCCCCTACCCTGCAGCCCGAAGTGTCCGGGCTTCAGCTTCCACTTCCAAGCCGCTTCGGTTGCGATTCTGTGCAGCTCTCAGCGCCGCCTCTGACTGGCTCACGTTTGCTCGCGTCAGCTAGGTATTGCCTCAAGACCGAGGCAGAGATACGTACCGTCCGTCCACTTCAACTCTCCGGTCTCCCAGAGGCCTCAAGCTCAAGGCACCCTGGGTCCCCTGGTTTCGGCCATGTCATCATGGGGACAGCCTCCCGTGGAATTTCAGGGCGCTTTCGGTGGGTCTACCCCGTCCGCCCGCAATTGCCCCTCACTAAAACTCGGCTGTCAGTGGCTCGTCCATTCGATAGCCCGTTGATCGAAGTCGGTACGGCCATTTTAGGGGTGCAGCCAAGGGGAGCCCGATCCCTTTCCTAGCAGAGGTCTTACCTGTTGGTCTCAGGAATCCCTCCCTAGCCGACATCAGCCCGCTGCTTTCGCCTGCAATTCCAGCGGCTCGTCGATTTCAGACAGCCAAGTCTCTTGTGTCACCAGGCTGCTTGTGGTCCGTCCGACATTGACATGCGAATGCGTCCTGTCGAGTTCTGGTTAGCATATATGATGAGGCATTTCAGCCGCCAGTCTCTTTGAAGTTTGCGGCAATGTTCCCTTTGGGTCGTACATCTGACCGTTGACAGATGGTCAGTCACCTCTTGCGCCGCTTTTTGCTTCTTGATATGGGAACACAGAATCCTGTCGGCCAGCTTCCCACCTAAAACAACACCCATGTATGCCAATATCCGAAAGAACCCAGTATTTCATTGGACCCTGCAGAAATGGGTTGCGTCCTCAGCGATGGTAGGTCGCTTGGAGCGCGCGTGGCCACTAATAGGATAAGGAACAGCCTAACGGCACACCATCGCTCCTCTTGAGTCTGGTTTTATTATCATCACCACAACTTCGCCTGTTACTGAGCCGTTTCTCCCTGAGAGTAAAATAAGAGCGATGGGGCTAGGGTGGAAGGGAGGATTACACATCTTCAGTTCGTCAATATCGTATTTTATGGCCCTGTTTGTGCAATCGACTAACCGAGCAAGTTACAAGACTCACCCAGGAGTTCATATGTGAATCGTCAAATAACAGAAATTATTGGCAAAGGACATAACGGGAGAGAGTAGATGCACGAGGAAGATTGGCCTCCTTAGGGTGATAACATAGATGTATATAAGTATGTACACGATCAGCCTAAACATAGCAAATCCGATATGGTGTAGTGGCCAACATGATGCCCTCTCATCTCCGTTGAGAGGTTAGGCATAGCCCCGAGTTCGATTCTCGGTTTCGGAAGTATTCTTTTTCTCTTTGGTTGTTTTTGCTTCCAAGGCACAAGTCTACCTCCGGTCAACTCGTTTGCCTACCTTTCGTGCTTGGACTAGTGGAGGTTTTGGGCTGGCTTTTGCATTTTTGTTGCATCTGACTGAACCTTTCTCCTGATCGAATGTCATTGCAAAACCGCGTAGTGGAGCGGTGGAGTTGTGTGAAATGATAATATTAGAAATGTAGACTAGGGTCCTTCACTGTTAGCGCCCTGTCAAGCATGGCTCTACTGCAAGACTGTTCACCAATCTTTTTGTCATCTAAGTGAGCGTCTTTGGTACTCTTCGTCCTCCACAGCGGATCATTCACAGTGAATTAGATGTTTAAACTGATGACTGCACTGTGATCAAGCACTTTGCAGTGTCCGCCCGTGCTCCATGACTGACGAACAAGTGGACCGCTAAGCCACGACGCTAGGCCCAATCCATGCATTGGACGCCAAGCCACACTCTCGCTGACCTCCAAGTCTCCTGTCTTGCCGGGCAAGCGCATTCAAGCCCGGACTTCAACGACAGCAGTTGATTCCCTCCTGTCACCACTTCAATCGCGCACCCCCGAGAGTGCATGATTGCCCAAGATGCCCGAACCATCGCCAGGCGTCAATCACGCTGACTCCATCGACCCGCAACATGACACAGGAAAGAAGGAGGAGAAGAAGAAGAGCCGCCGGCCTGCAAGTACGTGGAAGCCCCGGACCGATGTCAACCTCCCTTCGGCGGTCGCGGAAGCGCTGGGATTCGAGCGAAACGAGGAAAGCGGTGCTGATACTGGTGTGTTTGATTAGATACGGCATTTCGTCAACAGCGCTTGAAGGCATGGCAGTAAGTTCATGGCGATGTCTTTGCGACGTCAAATCGCGGCGACAGACCTTAGCGGCTGACTGTTGCAGACCGATCTTGACGCCTAAGACTGTCTTGCCCCTGTTCTTCATTATCGGCATCATCTTCGCTCCCATCGGTGGACTACTGCTCTACGCAAGTGCCAAGGTAAATGCACGCCGCCCGTTACTTATGGAGCGGTCGCTAAATAACACGTCCTGCAGGTCAAGGAGATACGGATCGACTACACCAACTGTCTTGCCGAAGCAACGGAGAACCTCGAGGCCATGGATTCGAAATACATTAGCACTGCGTTCAAGAGTGACGACCAGACCAAGAATGCTGTGTGGGCTGTGACGGACATCGAAGTTGAGGATGGACCGATTACATACCCAGCGAAGCAATGCAGGATCCAGTTCACTATCCCCGAAGACATGGGGCCACCGGTGTTGTTCTACTATCACCTCACGAACTTTTATCAGAACCACAGACGATACGTCGCGTCTTTCTATGACAAGCAGCTCAAGGGTAATGCGGAGTCTGGCAGTAATGTCAACAGCTCCTCCTGCGAGCCCCTTGAGTGGGATAAAGAAGCCGGGAAGCCGTATTATCCCTGTGGTAAGTCTTGGTGCTGGTTGCGGTGCCCTCTTTCAGTAGACTAAAGGACTGCTAGGATTGATTGCAAACTCAATGTTCAACGATACATTCACCTCGCCCCGCTGGTTGCAACAAGACGAGATATACCCGATGTCGACGGACAAGAACATTGCCTGGGCGTCCGATGCTGACCTTTACGGCAAAACCAAGTACAACCCCGAGGATGTTGTGCCGCCACCAAATTGGAGAGTCCGGTATCCCAATTACACCGCCGAGCACCTCCCACCAGATATCTCCAAGTGGCCTGCTTTTCAGGTATGGATGAGGACTGCTGGGTTGCCGTCGTTCAGTAAATTATACCAGCGGAACGACGATGAGACCATGAAGCAAGGCCAATACGAAGTCAATATTACCGACAGTAGGTTTTTGTGGTAAGATTTGCACGAGCCAGGCAGTGCTGACAAGTCTAGATTTCCCAACAACGGAGTACAAGGGAACCAAGTCCATCGTTATCACCACGCGTACAATCATGGGCGGCAGAAACCCTTTCCTCGGTATTGCATATGTCGTAGTTGGTGGCATGTGTATTCTCCTCGGTGTAGTCTTCACTGTCACTCATCTCATCAAGCCGAGGTAAGTGATCCTTCTCCATAACTTGAAGCTCACAGAAGCAAAGGCTGACCCCTGCACAGGAAGCTGGGTGACCACACCTACCTGTCCTGGAACAACGCACCAGGGTCCAAGCAGGGTGCTGGCGCCAGCTCGGCAATTGCATCAGGTCGTGAAGTACGACCCGGCGAAGCCTAGAAGGCCCGCGATGAGTCGCAGTGCCCTCTCCACAGCCGTACAGTTTCCAATGCCACCGACCCCTCCGTGGCATCGACGACAATGGCATACAGCGTCACCGCATCATCCGTTGGGGGGCAACGCCTGGTTCTACCCATGTCGCCGTTATGAGGTTGGTGGACTGTGGTTTTTGGGAAGGGAAAGCCTGGCCTGCGGCGTTTTTGTACGGAATGACATGAAATTTGTATGAGTAACGGGGGCAACAGGATTTTTTCAGCCAAGTTCCCCCCTACATCACCCACACCTCCCGCTGCCTAAGAGAGAGAGAGAGAGAGGTCTTGAGAGGGGAAGGTGTTTTGTTATTTTGCTGCTCTGCACCGGCTGGTCAACGCGCGTTGCTTCTTTTTTCTTTTTTGCCTGTAACGACTTTCTTGGGTTTCAACCAACCGTCCTTGCGCGTGCCGTCGTCTTCACGTGGACTTCTTTTTCTTCCACCCCCCAACAGGAACGAGGGCGAGGTAGGCAACCAGCAGAAACCAGAAACCGTCCTTAGCTTACCGAGGGATCCGGAGTTATTTGGTTTCGACATCAGGTAGACCAGCAACATCGCTTCAAACTCATACATGGTCCTTCCTGTCCCATTAGGAACCCGTCCGTCCGACGTGAAATGAGCAATTCTGTGAACACACACACACACACACACACACACACTTGTCGCTGCTTACGACAACGGCAGACCAGATAAAACGTAAATAGCAACAAACAATCGGGTTTTCCATGCAGGAATCATTGATTAATAAGAAAGCTATCTGTTTCGTCGTTCCGCCGTCCACTGGAGGCAGACCCTTGATCACCAATGACCTCTCCTCCACTCATCCCAAGACGCCTACACAACAATTTTGATAATACAATTGACGAGATAATAAGCACAGTGCACTCATAAAGATCGCTTCCGTCTGTGTCTGCGGTCCGCCATCTCCCGCATCATGCCAGAGACGAAGAGAGTGACCCTTCTTAGTGCTTCCGCTTCTTGCGGCCCCGGCCATCGTCTTCATCGGCGCCACCTCGAGCATCCTCGCGGTCACGCTTCTTCGCCTTCGCCTCAAGCTCGTCCCAGTCCTCGCCCTCATCTTCATCGCTCATCTCGGCGTCGTCCTCTTCATCGGAGACATTAGAGCCAAAGTCGGAATCTTCTTCGCTCGACTCAGAAGCCTCCTCGAGTTCGTCGGATTCTATCTCAAAGTTGCTCTCCTGATCCTCCGAACCGGCATCCTCGTCGTCAGAATCAGCCTGCAAGAAGGACCAACCTCCGTCGAGGAAAAACTGGTGGGTATCGGCAGTGACCGTCTTCATGATCGTCGGCCAGTTCAGGTTGAGAGGACCCTCGGAGTAGGCGATGTCTGAAGAGTCTAGGAATTCCTTGACGTGATCGAGGAACTCAACTGGAATGGTGTTGACGTGATATGGTGGCCGTGTAAAGTCTTTGAAGACAAACACAAGATCAAAGTTTTTGAGGCCAAATTGAACACGTTCCAGATGGGCAACTTCGATGTCCTCCAGGGTAATGACCATGAATGGCGGCTCAACAACTTGGATCAGGCACTCAGTTGTAGGCTGGATAAAGACGTTGCTTCGGAACGGCACACCGTGGAAGCCGAGATCTCTGATAGGCACATCCACCTCGAGGTTCTCGTTCTTACCAGCCTCAGCCATCTTCTGGGCGAAGCCTTGGAACAGACGGTCAAGCTCGGCGCGGCGCCTACGCTCCTCTTGTTCCTGCTCGAACTCGTCCTCGTCACCGTACCGGTACTTCCTCTTGCGGTTACCTGTCTCATCGAACTGGATGTCCGTTGCCTCTCGGTAGAACTGGACGTCCTTGGTCTTCTTCTTGTTGGCAACCATGATGGGGTCCTTCAGATGGATGTGGATGATGACGATCAATTCGTGCTGGCAGGGCTGGAAGAAGAGGTGGCGGACGTTTGAGAATAGAATATCCACGCGTTGCTGGGTGCTTAGAGGAGACTGATAGCGAATACCATTCTGGTGGATTTCCACCTTACCAGGAACCCGCTTGCCTTCCATGGCAGGACGGATGAAGACGTTGTCAAGCACGGCGGGACGACGGTCTGGTAGCTTGTTAGCAACAGCGCAAAAACTTCCATGGTGAATTTCAACTTACTTCTTATCTCGACGAGCTTGTCTTGCTCGACAACGTCCTCCAGCTCCTTCTTCTCCTGCTCCTTCTTGTTCACATCCCGCTTCATGTTCGAGATTTGAGTTGCGATTTCTTGGTAGCGGTCACCATCCGTCGAGCGGAACGTCAAGCTTCTGACGAAGTGGGCCGAAGCGTCTTCAAAAGGCTGGTCGTCTTTGCGACCAACACCCTGACCAGGAGACAAGAAGTTGATTCGCAGGAACGACCAATCACCCTCGTCACTCTTGCTCGCGTTCTTGATTGTGTTGATGTGGAAAGGAACAGGACGGCCCATGACAGGCAGAACGACTGTGTCGTTTCTCGCATCAACCACGATCTGCAGATCACGGACCTTGGGAGGAAACTGATTATCGCGCTTGTATGAATCGAAGCGCTTGAACTTCTTCACCTCCGTGCCATTCTGTCCACTGGTGGACTCAGAAAAGCGCGCCAGACCTTCCTTCTGCTTCTTGGACGCCAACTCCTTCTGATGCTCACGGCGTCTCTTGTCCGCATCGTCGTCAACAGTCGTGGTTCGCTCGGATCTCAACCTCGTAGAAGTGATGTTCTTCGTAGCAACAGCACCAACTCGGGAATCCTTCTTCTCCTTCTTGGGCGTAGGCTGGGCCTCTTCCTCGTCTTTGAAGAAAAATGAATTCGAATCCGCATCGATGGGAGTCTCTCCGGTGAAAACGACGGCCTCGCTTGTGGTGACACGAATCGTATCGGTAATGACCAAGGAGTAAATCTTACTGTTCTTGTCCTGCGGTTGGGGGTTTTCGATATCGCTAAAACCGGTGGTAATGACAAGGGTCATGCCATCCTTCAGGGCTCGGGAGTTCTTCGCGTTGAGAATCAAAGTTGGGTCCCTGTTCTCCAGGCCGACGCCCCAACCAACGTTCTTCAGGAAGTGCTTTTCCAAATCAGGCTTCTTCGCCTTGATCATGCTCAAAGCTTTGTTGTAGACTTCCTTGATTACGACGCCGTCGCGGACCTCCTTCAGGATCATGTTGTGAATGTTGAAAAGAAGCTTGTAATTGCTCTCCTGCGACTTGTTCGGGTCTACCAGGTAGGTACGAGCGATCGCAGAGCAGTATGACTTGTAGCGCAAGCCCATGGCGGCAACAATAGTACCAGGGTGCAAAATGTCGTCGTTGCTCTCCGAGTTCATCTTCAAGTCGTATTTGCCACCGCTCTGCACCAAGGGACCCAGAACCCAGTCCAGCTGAGCCGGGTCCAAGTCCTGAGGAAGCTTGGTCTTATTGGGTAGCTCGACCGTCTTCCAGAACTTGGTGTCGTCAAGCTTCTTATCAACCTTGTCTGCCAATGCGCTGTGCTTGACCTTCTTCTCCTTATCAAGAATGTCCGACATTTCCTCGAGGAAAAAGGGGGTCATCAAGGCGACGCAGGCCTTGGACGCAGTTCGCATTGCTCGGAGCTCGGTTTCGTCCTTCACGGAAAAGGCGTGTTGGGAAAGGGCCTGAGACACATCGACCTCTTCGACGTCCTTGCATTGATCGGCGAAGACCTTCTTCCACTCCTCGATGAAGGGACCCTTGGAGGTGTCCTTGGCGATGGTGCCAACCTTGTTCTGCAGGAGAGGTGTGTTAGTGGCAATCGACGCATGACGCATTGAGGGCAGCGACTCACGCCCGAAGCCTTGATGACTTCAGCAAGCTTGACAAACAGCTTTTCATTCTCAGCTGCGTCCTTGCCTCGGACAAGGACCTCGAGGGGGAAGCGGCCGTTCTTCAACTGCTCGAGATGTTTCGCTATGTTTGCGTTAGCCAAGATCCGTCGCACGTGTGGCGCGTTGATGGCGAAAACTCCTCACCCTTCTTCGCAGTCGTCAAAATGTAGATTTTGTCGGTCGTCAGCAGCATCATCGTCGTCGGGAATTCGTAGCCGAGAAGCCAAAACTATTGTCCCAAAAATGTCAGTTTTTTCGACTCATGCATTGAACTGATGGCGAACGCAAATGGGGCGGCTCGCGTCGTTACGGATTGGAAGGATGCGACTGACATGCATGGCGTTGTTCTTGTGCAGCTCGGGCACCTCCTCCACCTTGCCCATCATGACGACGATGGACGAGGCGCCGTGGAAGATGTTGCCATCCTTGGATCGCAAGTCATTCTTCCAGGCGCCCGCGAGGCGCGTGACGCGCTCGTGGAAGGCCTTGCTGTCGATTTTGATCTCCGCCATCGTCGCTGCGAGGTGAGTGACGGATGTGGTGGCAGAGAAGGGGGTTGAAGAACGAAAGGTTCCAGGTTGCTGCTGGCGACGCGAGATCCGAAAAATCCACCGCGTAAATTGGGCGAGGCAGGAGCTGTTCACGTGACCGCGTCGCGCCTCACTTTTTCCCCAGTTGCAGTTCAGTGAGTGGTTGCTAAGGGAAGGGGTTCGTGGCGCGTTGGCTAGTGGAGGAAAAGGGAGCTGTTCAGGGGGCGAGCTTGCCTGAAGTGTGCTGAAGGTAGTTTGGGTTTAGGCAGGCGCTGCAGCCAATTTCGGGTCGACGTCAGCGCTTCAACCTCGGTGATGTCCACGTCGCTCTTCATCAAGTCGATGTACCCTTGCAGACCCAAGGCAAAGTATTTTGCAGGGTCGTTGAAGCTGCTTCCTTCTTTTGCTGTGAGGACAGTAAGGAACGTCTGTATAAGACTAAGGTAAAATCGCCAGTTATTTCCCAAGACTGAAGGCAAGCAGAAACCGGACCAACAGTTGACTGAAGAACAGAGCTGCAATGACTGTCATATAGAGAGCGCTCCTGGCGATTGACTTTGAGATCTCCTCGATGGGTGGGTTCCGCAGACAGGGAGACTTTAGGAGGAGTCTAACGGGTTTCTTGTAACTCGAATACAACAAAAGTAAAAGTGTCGCTCGAGCGACCCAGATGTACTTGGCTGGCTGGTCTTGCGGTGCCGTATTGTCGTAGTTTCGGCTCATAGCCGAAAACATGAGCCGAAAACCCCCAATCGTTAACCTCTATTCGCAGTGTTTACTGCGGTAACAAACTTCCGCAAGCGCGAAGGGCCAACTCCATACTTTCTCCATGCATGTCATACAGTGCACCCCCAAACGCTCTCCACTGAAAATTACCCACCGCTGCCGGCACCCTAGCCAAAGTTCGTCCCAGGCGTGCTGCGGCCAGAGTCGCTGGATAGCGACACCGGCAAGGCCGGGACAGCATTCAACCGGGAGAACAGAAAGGGAGGGGGAAGAACGCTCGCTCGGCCCGCCCGATTCTCGGGATGTGGAGACGGGACTCATAACCCCGCGCTCTTCCGGAACACCTTAATATAAGACATCGGAGGGCTCACACGTCAACTTACACACGATATTTCTTGCTTGCGGCTTCAACCCGTTTTCCTACCATAGTGATCTTTACATGCCCCCCTTGGCCAGATTCCTGAATCTCTTCAAACCCAAAAAGTCACCATACCTGCCGCCAACAGCAAAACACCCCACCCCCAAGTACAAAATGCGCATCCCCTACGTCGCCAACCCGCCGCCAACCTCAACCCCGGAAGACGCCGCCATCGTCTCCCGGATCCAAGCCCGCCGCAACCCCCGGCCTTTGCAGCCCCTCGACCTGGCTCTTCTACACGCCCCGCCCGTTGCCGACGGCTGGAACTCCTTCCTCGGCGCCGTCCGCACGCAGACCACCATCCCCGCGGACCTGCGCGAGCTCGCCATTTCGCGCGTCGCCGTCGTCAACCGGGCCTGGTACGAATGGGGCCACCACGCGCCGCTGGCTGTCGCAGCGGGCGTCTCGGCGGATGCCATGGATGCCGTCAAAGTCGAGGCGCCGCTGGAGCTAGGCGCTCGGCCCGCGCTGCATTTGAGCGAGAAGCAATGGGCCGTTCTGGTGTACTCGGATGAGATGACGAGGAACGTGAGGGTCAAGGATGAGACTTCTGACAAGTTGAAGTCGTTGTTCAGCGAACGGGAGGTCGTGGAGATTACGACAACGGTAAGTGAGACCAACGAGTGGTGGGGGGTGGGAGTAAGAGAAGAGCGGCTGACGATGAGATTTAGGTTGCGTGCTATAACTGCGTGAGCCGGTTCTTGGTGGCTCTGGATGGTAAGATGATGATTCCGAAGTGCTCAACCGACACACATTTCTAACAAGCGTTCAGTTGGCGAAAGGAACAGCACTGGCCCTGACGACGTCTCGCTCACTGGACATTGAGCTGACAAGTTGTGTACCGACGTCGAGGACACAGGCGAGGTACGGTTGAGCTCGAGGATCAATGTCTTCAATACGAAGAGAGCCGAACAAAAGACTAACCGCTGATGTGTAGTGTAGACTGGGGCCGTATGGACCAAGAAGGGGCTAACAATGCTGTGAAAAGGGGTATCTCATCCACGTGAAATGATGTAAAGGTCCTCCTAAAGAAACGGCAAAAACAGTAAAAACAAATTTCCTCCCGCATCAGCTTATGAGCCGAACCTGCAACCCCGTGTCCCCCATACGCCTATCACCAAACCCCCCTCCCGTGATTTTCGTCGTAATTCGTGTCCGCTACCAAAAGTGCACAAGTGCAAAAGAGCCGGTATGTGCTACTGCTGTTGTCAAAAAACATGCTGCTCTAGGCCAGATGCCGGATATAGCCAGACGGTAATGCCGTCCGCCATTGATGCATATGCAATAGTTCATACGTCGTGAATTCCATGTAACCTTTAGTCGTAAGCCGATGTTCCGCTGCTTTCGTCGTTGCTCGCGTGTCCATGATCGCCGTCATCTGCGGACGATGCATTTCAACGTCTGCGGCAGGCAACGCCTCTTCATCCGCTACAAATCAGATTGTCAGCTTGGCATTCGCCAGCTCCTGCTCGATGGACCTTTCGATAGAAGAGCGTCTCTTGTGCATCCGAGGACTTTTTTGCAACTCCTGCACCACACCCGCCCATCCAAGCTTGTGCCCTGTTCCCGTGTTTTCGCGATGACCGATGGCCTGGGTAGTTAGCCTCCTCAGCGGCGGCCTCTCGCGAATCTCTTCCGTCAGTGCGCGCGTCAAACTGGCGTTCAACGCGGTCATAGGTGGTGTGAAGGATGGAGACACGGGTGTCTTCTCCGGATCTCTCTGCGGCGTTGTCACGGGCACCTGTCGCTCCGCTGTGGCAGTCGCCCGCTCTGCAACCATTCCCATGTATACCACGAGAAAGCGCATCCTCACGAGATCCAGTCGGCGGACGCGCTCTTCGAGATCGCGGCGCTTGCTGGCCCAGAGAAGACGAGCGCTCATGCGCAGGGCGGTGGTGTCGTCGGAGAGGAGCAGAGAGCTAATGTCCTCGCGCAGGTCGTCACCACCCTTCTGGATCTCGCGGAGCAGGCGACCGAGGCGGAGCTTGTCTTCAAGGCGCTGGACCTTGGCGACATCGCGGTCGTAGCTCTCGTTCTCCTCGACCGAGAAGTCAACGGCGTCGATGAATGAGATGATTTCGTTGGGAGCGACACGGTAGGCAGTAATATATGTTGTCAGGATCTGGGATAGGACGACGAAGGAAAGGATGAGTGCGGTCAGGATCAGGACGATTGTCCACTGGCGCGCCTCGGTCTCGGCCATAGCGGAGAGTGAAGCACGGAATAGAAGGGTTTAAGTGGCGAGTGAACTGGCGATGGACTACGGCGACATGATGCGACGGAGCAGCGTTTGTCGGTCAGAAGGTAGGTCTATGAAGGACCGCGATCTGCGACGCGGAGACAGCGAAGCGGAATGGCACTGGCAAAATGTAGGGAAAGTAGGAGGCAACATTGATGACGATAGAAGTGCGCACATGAAATCAGAGAGGGCGGGAGGGCAAGGAGGGCTTCGAGGCCTTCTCAGTGGTAGGGTGGTGAATGGCACAGCACGGCAGCAGTCATCTCATTCGGCCCAGTGCTGTGTGCGCCAGTACGACGTTAGGGTATGTAAGTCGGCTCCAGACGCAGTCGCAATCAAATAATGCCTCCCCTTCCTTGCTTCTTTCTGCCCCTCTTCGGTGCGTTTCTCCCTTGCATCTACTTCTCGCGACATGCAGCCACTGGGCGGCTGGAGCCAATAAAGGACATCGAGGTCGCTCCAAGACGGATACCGTTCGTGGACGTGGGATGCGACGCTCCCATGGTTGGTGCCCTCCCCTGCAGCTGCAGATGGAAGCGTCACCTATCACTGGACAGACCAAGGCCAAATTCTGTATCCAGCATGGCTTCACCGTGTGGCCCGAATGTGGCTCGAGAACCGATCCGCTGGGGCCGGCGCTCCTTGGGTATTCGAGAATTGCGAGAGGGGCTACCCGTCGGCGAGGGCTGGACGTGTGACCAGCGGTAGCAGTAGCACCGATTTCATCGTGGCCCTCGTTTTCGGGGCTTCGTTCTGTGGGTTTTGGCAGTATCCACTGTGCTGCATATCGTGGGCGAAGCCAGCCCTCGCACCACTCACTTTGAGGGGAAGGGGAGCAACTTTGGCGGCCAGTGGTTGCCTTTGGTGGTGTTGGTGGTGGTTCGAAGACGAGACATAGAGGTCTAGAACCTGAGACCTAGCATTGCGGGTGGGCAGTAGGCGTTGGGCAAGGGGTGTTTGTCTGGCGGTCAGCGACAAGACAAGATGATGCGAATGCACAGAGCCGAGAGGTAGCATAACTGCTGGTGTTGGTTTGTAGGTGTCCAAATCGCGATGAAGGGGGAATGAGAAAAGGCAATGTGTGCAACTGTGGGAAGTCATCAGAACTGCACGGTCAAGACATGCAAATTCGACTGGCTGTTTACACTGCCTTGATCTTAGGTACCTTACATGTCTGTCCTCCCAGCGCCATAGGTAGTGTGCCATCCAAACGCTGCAAGCTGCGGCCTATGTTTGGCTCCCTGCACTTGCTATGTAAGTGGCTGGAGACTTGCATTATTCTATGGCGTATAGGCTTTTTGTGCATGCACTTGCGCTGCAACCCGAGGTCAGCGGGGTGGCTAGTTCCTTCCGATCGCCGGTAGGTGCATGACATTAAGGTAGCAAAAGTGTGGCATCGACCCTCAGTACCTGCCTCGCTGGTATCGCGAGCAGAATCGATATCAGAACTAGGTTTCCCACGGCTCACCGTTTCGTGCCTTCCCAGAGCCTGTCGCAGGGGGTTAAGGGCGGGGATCCTGGATACCATGAGTCGGCATTGCACCAACCCACTTTCCCAATCCGGATGCCACGGCACAATGCGTTACGAAAGATCTGGGTTTGCTTCCTTGTGTCAACCATAGGCGCACAAGAGATGGAGGTAACGAATGAGGCGGATGATTTAATTCACCGTCTACCTTCAGGACTATCTAGGGATATGCATTCTCTCGTGCAAGGGGGTATCAAATTCCATGTGTGTATCCTTCACCACGCCAGCCATCGCTCATACTAGTGAAACCAGGAGGATTTGTCCATACTTTACTGCTTAGCCTCGGCCTGCTTCTGGATATCGTGCTCGGCACCACGCTGCTGAGTCTTGCCGGTGTCGTGCAGACCCTGGTAGTGCTCCTGGCCAGCCTTGTCGCCGGTGAGGCCAGCGACAGCGCTGCCGACGGTGCCCTGGATACGGTTGCCGATGCCAGAGGTGTAGTCATTGAGCTGGCCCTTGGCCTCCTGCGACTGACCCTCAAGGTTCTGCTGGCGGCCTTGCTGCTTGAGGTTCTGTAGTTGAAATGTCAGCTTCAGTGGCCAAAAGGAGTCACATTAACTTACCTCGGAGCCAACGAGACCACCAACAGTCTCCTTAGCAGAGCCGACGGTCTGGTTCCATGAACCGCTGGTACGGTCAGGGTCGTCCTTGCTCACGCCCTGGGCGGTAGCAGTGAAGCCGGGAAGCTTGGCGGTAGCGTGGGAGGCATCGTGCTCAACCTGTGCCTTGTCCTGCTTAGCCTCGCCCTTGGTCTGGTCGGCAGTGTTTCCGGTGAGGGAGCCAAGGAGGTTCTGGGCAGCTCCAGTGGCAGAGTCGACGTAGGACTTGAGGGTAGAGGTGTTGTCGTTGCTGGCAGACATGGTGATAATTGGTTTGGTGGGGTTGGTTGATAAATTTATTTGTTTGTAAGTGAGTTGGAAGCGAGTCTGATGGGTTGTGGTGTAGTTGGTGGTCAAAAGAAATGTTGAAGTTGGGGAGAGGACTGGTATTTATCTAAAAGAAGCCAGAGCCAAGGCTCGCAACATTCCTGCAGTAGGCCGCCTGCAACATGTGATATCTCGTTGTTCTGGCAATCGCGATCGTGTTTGCCAGGTTGAGCTGAAGGTGTGATGTCATATTGGAGAAGGGCCTTCTGGGTGCAAAAGCACAGTAGGGGGCCAGTGTGGAGGGGAACCCAGGAAGGAGGGGCAGCTTTGCACCTTGCACGCCTTACATGATGTCATCTCGCGACTTCACCCTTTCTTCATCAGCCAGCAACGCCATCGTTGCCTCCTTTCCGATATCTCCTCGTACTTGCCGTCTCAACAACTGAGACGTATTGTCATGGCCATGTGAGCCCACAAAAGACGTAATCAGAGCTTGTCTGGAATCTGTCGTTCCAGCATGCTACCTGATGAGGAATGGTTGATGCACCTCTCCCGTCCGCCTTGGCAAGATGCACCCTGGGCAATCAGATAATCAGACAAGAGCATGGCGCAACAACGCGACTGAATATTGGCCTGCATCGGACTGTCGCATTCATGGTACAGCACTAGCCGTTTTTGTCTAAGGAAATAAGCCATATCATCCTCGAGCTGCCCTTAAATAAGCTCGTCGCAGTCGCAGCCCTCCAGAATATTCTGGAGCTCTCACAGCTTTGGGCATCTGACACTCCATGCAGATCTGAAAGGTGTTGTGCTTGTTGAGCATTTACATGTAATCATTTTAGGGATGGGCATGCTTTCCCTTGATTCAAAGCTAAAATGCTGGTTACTCATTAGCGGAGAATACTCAAAGCAAAGGCATCGTCTGCTTCATGTTTCACTGCCCAAGGCGTCCGCGTTGTCATTCATGCCAGAATAATATGTAGTAGTGTACAGGTTCAAGTTCATCAACAACAGCCAATTGTCACCATGTTGAACTCGACTGCTAGCGGACTTTCCGGTCAAATTTCCGACTTCCATTTGGTCGGCCCAGTCCCAACTCCAATATCCCCGAGCACAAAAACGAAAGGCTGGCTGTTTAGGTATCTCAAATGTGGGTTTTAGTACAGGCAACTCTGCATTAGAGAGATGCGGGAGAATTCTTGCGCGGACCTCGCGTAACCCGTGGGTTTTGCTTGGGATAGACGAGGTCGAGTGCGCAGGCACGTGTACCGTACGGAACCTATGCTTAATGCTGGCTCCACTGGATCGTGTTCAGGTCGACACCCTCCTGAACTAATTCCCAAAGAGGGCTCAGTTCACGCAGAAAATCGACCCGCTCCTTGACGGCCTTGAGAACGTAATCAATCTCCTGCTCGGTTGTAAAACGTCCAATACCGAATCGGATACTGCTGTGGGCGCTCTCATCACTGTTGCCTAGCGCACGCAAGACGTAGCTGGGCTCCAAAGACGCAGACGTGCAAGCACTGCCAGAAGACAAGGCAATATCCTTCAAAGCCATGAGGAGAGACTCGCCCTCTACGTAGGCGAACGAAACGTTTACACATCCAGGGTAAAAGTGCTCGTGGTCACCGTTTTGTGACGTGTGCTCCATCGAGAGGAGACCGTTGAGGAGACGATCGGATAGCGCCTTAATGCGCTTCGAGTCGTACTATAGCATCTGTCAGCAGTTGTTTCGCAACAATGACAACAAACATGACGGACGAAGAAAGGTTGGATCAGATACGGTGCTATGAATCAACATGGACGTCCTTGTCACGGGACATTCAGAAAGCCATGCATGTATAGAGCGAATCATCATCCAGGGAGTGGCAGGAAGGAGATAAAAAGCAAGACGACAAGTTGAATCAGTACGTACCTCCATTTCCTCGTACGCGATGCGGCACGCTTCGCCGAAGCCGACAGCCAGCGACGGGGCGAGAGTGCCGCTTCGCAGGCCTCTCTCCTGTCCACCTCCGCTGATGATAGGGTCGAGCCTAACTCTCGGCCGCCGGCGGACGTAGCAAGCTCCAATACCCTTGGGGCCGTAGATCTTGTGGGACGAGATGGACATCAAGTCGATGTTCATAGCGTTGACGTCCATGGGAATCTTTCCGACAGCTTGGGCAGCGTCGGTGTGGAAAAACGTCTTCTTCTCCCGGCAGAGCTTTCCAATCTGCTCTAAGGGCTGAATGACACCGATTTCGTTGTTGACGGACATGATGCTGACAAGAGCAGTATCGGGGCGGATAGCGGCAGCCAGTTCGTCCATGTCAATCAAACCAGAGTTCTGGACAGGAAGATACGTGACTTCAAAGCCCTCATCCTGAAGATGCCTGCAGCTGTCCAGGACGCACTTATGCTCAGTCTGCGATGTGACAATGTGCCTCTTCTTGCCCGATCTGCCAAAGAATCTCGCGACACCCTTGATGCTCATGTTGTTGCTTTCGGTGGCGCCGCTGGTGAAAATGATTTCCTTGGAATCGGCACCGATGAGCTTCGCAATGTGCTGCCGTGCCGTCTCAACGGCCTGTTCACTCTCCCATCCGTAGGCGTGTGTTCTCGAGTGGGGGTTGCCGTAGATGCCAGTATAGAACGGTAGCATAGCGTCGAGGACACGGGGATCGACGGGAGTCGTGGCTTGCATGTCCAGATAGATAGGACGCTGGCCCTCCTCCATCGTAGTGACTTGCTTCAGCACCTCGGCCATGGGGCTAACCATGACGTTTGGTGCATCGGGAGACTGGGGTACGACATCGATGAAGTCCTTCTTGTCGAGTTTGATAGCCGTCTCGACGTTGACCTGTGCATTATCACGCTTCGTCTCGGAGACGTATCTGCGCTGCTGAGATAATCTCTGCGCAGGAGCTGTCGCCACCCTTGATAATGAGGAAATCCCTCGCGAGGGAATTCCAGGTCCTGTTGTGTGACGGCATAGGCGACCCGCCTGCCTAAAGGCGGTGGAAGTGATGCTAGCCATGATGTGATTGATGGTGATGGCGTAGGGAAGAAGAGGGAAACGAGCTTCAAGGAAAGAAAGACAAAAAGGTGAGAAATAATTTCTAGAAGGAGGAGCTGCCGCCCTCGCTATTGGGATTTTTTGACAAATTCGATCGGGTCTCCGACCGCCTCGGGGTCGGGGATAAACAGCTGGGTCATGATTGGCCAGATCCTACGGCTCCTCCCAGTTGATGACGTTCCCCATTGAGATGCGGGCCTTTCGAGGGGCGGATTCGGTTACGGCACCTGTCAAGACCGACCCTCCGAGAAGCAGAAGCCCAAGACTGGGCCGGGCCTCCAATGCCCAAGGCAGGTGCACTAGAGAAGGAGAATGATTACCTAACAAAACGCGCACGCGCACGCCTCCCAGGACCAGGTAGATTCGTCTTTTGCTGGATGCGGACTGGGTACGAGGTTTCTTTGGTGGGAAAAGGAACGGGCTCTCGGAGTCGCCTCGCGCCCTACGTAGGTATGTATGTACCTGGTAGTTTACCGCATTCGCCGCGACCGAACAACTGTATTCCACTTGCCCTTTCGCTCTGCATTGTTCAATTTCCCAATTTGATGCTCCGAATGTCCTCAAGCTTCGATCTCTTTCTTCCATCGAATCTTTTCCCCTCTACCTTCTCGTCTGCCAAACCCAGGCGCCATCACCGCAAAACACCCCTACTTACCTTACAGGCTCACTGTGCTCCGTCCTTCCCGTTTGACCCCCGCCAGGCACCTACTTTGGGTACCTTAGCTCCCAAATAATAGGGCCTTAGCTCCTGTTTTTCGGCATCTCATGCGCCACAGCCAAGCGGTCTTGCGCAGAAGCTGACCGGCACAGCCACGCCTACGTCGTCACCGGCGACAATCAGGTTGCGAAAGCCCACTCCTCAAAAGGTTGGACGTGGAATACCCTCAGACAGCGAATACCCTCGTCATAACCTTATCCCACGATATTACCACCTTTGCCCTCCATTGGCACGACTTTCACAACACCTAATCCGCCACATCAACACCACAGTTCCACCCCGCCATGAGCTTCCGGGGCTTCCAGAAAAGCGTCATTCGGGTACGTGTTTCCACTAAATGAGGGGTCTCCCCGTCCCTTCCGCGCTATGGCGTGAGGACGGGAAACAGGATTGCCGGCTGATGATCTATTTTTCCTTGTCACGAACAGGCGCCCCAGCAATTCAAGTCCCGCTTCAACATCGGTGAGCACACAAAGGATGCTGTCTACATCGACTCCGAGCGCAGGTTTCAGGAGCTCGAGACCGAGACGAAGCGATTACACGATGAGTCCAAGAAGTACTTCGAAGCCATCAACGGCATGCTCAGCCACCAGATCGAGTTCAGCAAGGCCATGACGGAGATTTACAAGCCCATATCTGGTCGCATGTCGGATCCCGACAGTTTGGAGATTCGCGGCAACCCGGAGGGCATCCGCGCCTGCGAAGAGTACGAGGCTGTCGTCAAGGACCTGCAAGAGACTCTTGCGCCGGAGCTGGAGATGATCGAAAGTAGGGTTATTCGCCCAGCCAACGAGCTGCTTGACGTCGTCAAGGTCATTCGCAAGACCGCAGCGAAGCGCGAACACAAGAAACTCGACTACGACCGACACCGACAAACCCTCAAGAAGCTGCAGGACAAGAAGGAACGGAGTGCCAAAGACGAAAAGGCTTTGTGGAAAGCCGAAAACGACGTCGAACAGGCGACGCAAGAGTTCAACTACTTCAACGATCTGCTCAAGGAGGAGCTGCCACAGCTCTTCGCCCTCGAGCAGCAATTCATCCAGCCCCTCTTCCAATCCTTCTACTACATGCAGCTCAACATCTTCTACACGCTCCATGAGAAGATGCAACATTGCGACATTGGCTATTTCGACCTGACCCTGGACGTGCTGGAGGCGTTCCACAAGAAGCGAGGCGACATACAAGAGCAGGCTGAAAAGCTGACCATCGTGAAGTTCAAGACAACTGGCCAAAAGCGCCCACCAAAGTATGGCCGTCCTGCTATCGAAAGCAAGCCTCAGCACCTGCTTACCGCCGGCCCTTCCTCCACTTCAACCTCCGTAGCAACGCCCACAGCGCCGCCCTCGAAGTTTGGTGGTTACACTCGGCAGGGCGAAACCTCCGACGTCAACCCCCCGCCCCCATATTCTCCTCCGGCAACGAACGGAACGCCTGGCGGTGGACTCGCTGCCATCGCAGCAGCAAAGTCAAAGCCTCCTCCACCCAAGCCCAAGCCCAGCCGACTCAGCGGAGCACCTGCTGCCGAGACCGTCACTGCTTTGTACGACTATGCGGCACAAGCAGAGGGCGACTTGAGCTTCAGGACTGGAGATGTCATTGAGATCATCAGTCGCACAAAGAACGAGAATGAATGGTGGACCGGCAAACTGAATGGAAAGTCTGGCCAGTTCCCAGGTATATATCCCCTATCATTGTGACTATGTTGAGGACAAAGACTGATCGACTGGTGGCACAGGAAACTACGTAAAGTTGAATTGAGCGACTAATGAGACTCGCACTCGCTAATCATAACCGACATCTTTGATCTTTGCCCGGATACACTGTGCCGCAGAGGCACATTAATGAACGACCGCTGGGACATTGAGGGAAGCGCGAAACACTTGCATTTGGGGTCTTCGGCGTATGCAGAAGGGATTGCCCGTCATTTCGAGTCGGAAAACAAATGGGAGAGAAGGGAAAGGAACGGAGGGGAGGGGTTAACTTGGATGTAGTGTAAGAAAGGGTAAGGAGGCTGGGGGATGACTCGCTTTCGTTGCGACCCGCGTGGCACAAGGCCGTAGCCTCACTTTTCTTGGGGCTTTTCGGTGTAGAGAGGCGACAGTGGGCATAGTAAAGGAGGCATTTTGATCCATACCTACTTCTTTTCGTTCTCCAAAGCACTTTGCTGCTGTTTTCAGATCATAAAGTCTCTTCGTTCTGCCAGTATCGGTATTTTCCTGGCCATTTGCAGCGCCTTTCTACGAGAACCTTTCTATGAGGATCTTTCTGTGAGGGCCTACCTGCAAGAAACGTGTGGTTTCAGGTATAGCGTCCCTTGTGCTGTACGCTCGAGAATGGTTTCTTGGCTTCCCGAACGCTCTTCTCGGACAGCAGTAGTGTGTCTGGGCCTTAAGCTTGCTGTCATGGGAAGCCGGAAAGTGAGGCTCTTTCGGTCTTTTCTAGAGAAAGAGAGAGCCTAGGTAGAGCACCATGTGTGGTACCACGTTGAACGGGGAGTTCCGCTTGCACATGAGGCTCATGGAACGGCCTAATGGTCTATCTCATGCAGACCTTTGTCAAAGGGGGCATGCATACGTACGTGAGGTGGTATGGTGGGCACAGTGGCTGCAGAAGACTGCCCTCCTCCCCTCCTTGTACCAAACGTATCATGACAATGGTGGGATACGGTATGCCGCGAGGGTTTTGAATTCTCGGTGTGCATGCAGATGCTTCCCCGGCGCGCTCTGTCATGACAAATTGCATCCTTGACATCCCTCTTAATTGCCGCCGGTGGCCGCGGAATGGGAGCCGCTGAGGGGAAGGTGTCTCGACCGGCGGCCGAGTAGTGCAACTCACAGTTCCATTTGTGAATAATGTAGGCAGTACAAAGCCTCTTCTGTTCGAGAAGACGGCAAGTTGGATGTACGGGTCTCAGGCGGAGCTCCCCGGCGCCGCTGGCTGTTCCACGCTCCCATTCTAGCCATATAACGCGGGAGATCAGCTCTGGTAGTACACACCACGTGCGCTTAGTTTCTCACGTTTCGAGTGCTAAAGATGTGACACGTATAAGCAATGATAATGGATTGGTCTTGTGGCCCTGTCCCCCTCGCTTAAGGCGCGATTCCTTCATCGAACAGGGGGGTCATTCGGGTAGCTCGTGAAGCTAAGGCAAGGCAAGCATCCCTCATTGCACGAACCACCACCGCTGAGCGGCCGCGAGCGGGGACGAGCAAGGAGGTCGGCAAAACAAGGCAACGGATATTTCCCCCTGCCGCTGTGTCATAAGCAAACAAGTGTCCAGTGTGCAATACCTAATACATACGCCGCTACTGAGCTCCGTCGGGGTGAAGGGGACGCCCACTCAGCCACCCAGGTCCTACTCTCCTCCAAAGGCGAGCCTCCGACAAGGTACTTTTACGCCATGTGATATTCATACCAAATGAGCCATTTGAGGAGGCTGAAGTGAGATCTGATCCCAGCCGGAAGGCAGGTGACACGTCTAGAACATTTGACAGACATGGAATTATGCAGCCGGAAGGCAGGCTCTCAATTTTAGCTCCGGCACGAGGTCGAATGATCCTTGCTGTATGCAAAGTTGAAGCCGAAAGGTTTTCCAGGCGTGCAAGGGCTGTGCAAGTATGCGGCTGGGGCTTTTCCCAGCCAAGCTGGGGCGTCGAGTCTGCATGTGTCTGTCCGCAGATCGGTCGATGGTTGCCTTGGACCAGCAGAAGACCCCTCACTCAGAGAGGAGTTCCTCGAAGTAGGCCCCGAAGCCGGCAACGACTGTGGTGTGGGATAAGGACAGGGGTCCATCGAGTCGTTCTCCTGTGTCTTCGGTCGAGTTTGCGGTAGCGTCGTTGGGCCACCGGGCCAGTGATTGAGATTTGGAAGCCTGGTGGCAGGATCGAATGAGATGAACACCAGCGGCCGTTTGCTCTGGGATGCTCGTGGCCCGACGGCGTAAACGATGGAGCATTCGTCCATGACCCCCGAGATAGGGTCATAAGTGCTGTGACCCTTTGGGTTCAGCAAGCTGTCCAACTCTGCTAGACGCAAGTTGTTCTGGCTTACGTCAATTTTTGGTGGCCACCAAGATATCTTATTTAGCGTGCAAGGCCTGAGGGGCTTGGGAATTCCTTGCTCAGAGCCGTCAGCAAGGGGCTCTTGCAGATGGGGGTTGTTTCTAACATGACTAAAGCGGGATATTGAACGTAGCTGCAGCCTCCGCGTCATCGAATCAGAAGCATCAGGGTCGTTGACCAAGTCGATAAACGTTTCGCAAGAATGGTTGTAAGAGCGTATGAAGCATTGGCTAAGAGTTATTGCTGGGGTTGTTGAGCCATCATCACCCCTGTGAAATTGCGAAGACTCGCGTTGCGGCTTAGCATGGGCTATCGTGCTAGTCGAGCACGAATGGGCAGGTGAGCCCTCGTTGTCCTCGGTGTCGCTTTCGGAGTCGGAGTCGGAGTCGGAATTGTTGTTCGAATGGTTATGACGCTCAGAAAACTTGAGTGCTGTTCGATACGATGTTCTCGTACTTGAACACTCATTGACTAGCCATTCTCTTCGGGATTCCAAAACCATGATATCTCCAGTAATCGGGTCTTTTTCAAGTTGCAGAGCACTCCATCTGTCATCGATTGGCCCTTCTTCGTGTTGCCGCCGCCACATGTCAGTTTTTGATGTCAGCTGCATATCCGCAGCCCGTGAACTTCCCATCGGCAAACGAAATCCGTAGTAGTATGACGTCCAATCAGATTCGTAAACCTCAAAGGTATTTAGACTCGAAAGTCCATGGAAGTGATCGTCGATGATTTCAAAACAAACAGTGGAGCCAACATCCGATCCGACTAAGTCTTCGAGGTCCAGATGGCCTGGAGCCCATTGTTCCTTGCAGATGTCGAACAGCTTCAGAACCCATCTTTTAAAGCCGTCGTCTCCAGTCAAAGAGTGGGTACCATAGTAAAGATATTCCCTGTTGTTACGCACGAACACCTTGGATGTTGATTCGAGACGGTAGGCTGCCAGGAGTCTCCTTTGCCATAAGTCTAATACGACGAGGCAACTTCGTCCCTCAGACTTTGGCGGACTATAGAGGCAGCTCAAGATCCCATAGGCGAAGTGCAATGGCCGAAACTTATATTTGCTATTCCCGAGGTCTGGTCCTAGCACGGACTCCAGTAGCGTGCGGGTATCGATGACGATCTCCGAGTCTGCAGACCCATGGAGATCAAGGAGGCGGAGCGACTCGTGACCATGGGTATAGCAAAGCATCCCGTCACAGTATATAAACTCATCTGCTTGAGCAACAATTGCAGTAGCATATGGCGCGGCGGTGGCAATGGCGTCTCGGGTCTTGACCAGGCGCCGTAAGCAGCGGGCATATTGCTTGGAGAACCGGGCATTTTGGACCTCGGGTGAGTATGAGGCATTAGTCTAATACACTCAGTCAGCATGGCACGAGACATATGTAATTAGGTAAAGGGGATCTCACCTCAAGCGCGGCCCGACAAATATCATCGTTGATCACCAGGTATCTGAATTGTGAACAAACCAGGCTGAGGTTGAATATGTCGTGTAAGTCTAGAGAATCCGCTATGTAGGTCATGATCTCGATAGGCAACCGTTGCATCCTCGTGAAGTCGACGGCCGCCCTGATCCCGTCTCTCAACCATCCGAATGGAATTGCGTATTGTATAGAGGAGTGAGGTCAGAATTGGAAACGAGGCGAGATCGATGCTGGAAGGGGTTTGTGTATGGTGCCGAAACAAGATTGGAATCATGTGAACAAGGCGACCCAACTTAATGCACGTTCGAAGATGCTTTCTGCAGGAGGGGGGGTTGAGCAGCAACGCTTTAAGAAGCCTCGAGCAGAGCCGCAGAGCCGCATAGGCGCAGAGCCTCAACCCCCCCCCCCCCTTATTTGAGACTCGTGGACTTCAAGGGGATAAATAGTGCCGAGGCGATGGCATTCGTCCTCCGACAGCCTCGTTGTTGTACCACATAGTAAAATTGAGCTTTATCATGGCTATTCTCGCCTATGCTGTTCCCGGCTACCCCCTGGATCGGGCTACGAAACAGCTTGTTTGCGATCGAGGTGAATGATATTCATTATTGTATGGCAGGCATGCAGCCTGATTCCAAATTGAGACTTGACTGGAGCAGAGCTAGACCTGCTCTTCACGGTGTAAGATTTGCAGGGGAGCAGGGGAGGATGAGGCTCTGCGCAATGACCTAAGGGACGAGTCTTAAAACTCTTAATGGCTTGGTGCAGTGGGCGTACGAATCCGGGAAGATGCCTTGTACACTTCGGGCACAGCCAGGAAGGCCCTGCTTTGACTTACAAACATCAAGGTGCTAGCATTCCTTAGATTGAGCGCCGCCCAATAAGATAACATTAAGGACCCACATTGAGGCTCAAGTAAATGGAATCCCAGTGATTTCCCCTCAGTGTCTTTCGTCGGCTTGGTCCAATTTCTTTCCCAACACTACTATGCATGTGTCAATAGCATCCCCAGAGTGGAATGAAGTCGTAGCCCAAGCCATCTTGACACGGCTGGGCATGGTCATTATCTTATTTCCAGCCCTTGCGGCCCTGCGTTCGGCCTCCGACTCGAGGGGAAAACTCACACCCCGCGACTTGCCGACGAAGCTCGTCACTTTTCCATAAGCGGACATATCATCTCCGCTCGTCTCAATCACCTCAGCGCTGCCAACCCGCTTACAGCAGCACTACTCGCTCCCAGGATTTGCCGCCCGACTGCTTCGAAGAAGAAATCACTTGGTGTGTCTCTAGTGCTGCGGATCTACCTAAACTCACAAGGCTTCTAGGGTTCATGCCCAGGAGAGGGGCGTCGCCCCATTAACTGGGATGTCATAACGAATGTCGGGTTCCCTGGATACATTTACGCCCGCTCTCGCTGCTACATGGAGACGATCATCCTCGAAAAGCCTCACTCAGCTTATGGAGCTTGTCCCAAGCATGAGGGATCCTCTTGATTTTTGAGTCAGTTAACGCCAACCATTTTCGGGCTGGCGATATCGGCGCCCATAGGCCTCGAGCCGTTGCCCGGGGGGCTTGCCTGCCCTCACGATGTGTTACCGCCTCGCTCGATGTCACAAGGTCGCAGAGACGACCTACCAGTGAAGCCCACATGTCCAACAAACAAAAGACATTGTGGCCAGTGTTGCACCCCGTGAGCAAATGATGTGGCGTCACCTTATTCGCTAGACACACCTCAGAAGCAAGTAACTCGCACGGGTAGTGTTCAACAAGACTGGATATGATGGTGTGGCAGTCACTTGGCCAGGCATGGCAGTTTGTCAGTACTCATGAGACTGCACTGGTGCGGCTGTGTTCCGAGGCCCTAATGTGCAGAATCAAGGAATCCGAGAGGAATGTGCACCTTAATGACGTTGATCTCGTGCTGCTTTTTGAATGGACTAGGATATTTTGACCCGCCGTTTAAGGAGCCAATGTAGGAAACGCTCATCAAGGCCACATGTCTACTGCTTCGTATCCCCATCCTGAACCCGGGGTACTGGCGTTACAGAATCAGGCTATCACTGAGCATCTGCAAATGAGGCATGAGACGTCGACTTCGCATTTGCCATAATACTTAGAGAACTGGCGAGCTCCTAATCCATACATGTTTGACAACGCGACTGCAGAGTCTTCGGTTTTAGAGAGCGGTAACGACTGGACTGAGACGACGAACGCCGATGATAAGACTGTTTTTCCAGCCGAATCTCTCTTAGGATGCATGTAACCTCGCAGTTTGACGCTGACCCGGTTTCCAACGACGTAACACCATCACCAGGGTAGAGCTACCTGAAGCCGGCACTCGGGCAAGACTTCCAGTATACACGTTACCTAATTGAGAAGAGGAGAGGAAGAAGAATGTCCCAGTGCCTCGCTCTCTGAACTAGATGCCATCCGGAGGTGCTTCCCAGCACCGATATCTACCCATGATGAGGCTCTGTCCTAAAACATGCGCTAGCCCAGTTCCGGCCTGCAAGACTGATAGCCTTGGATCCAGGTGTGGTCGAATCTCGACATGATATATCAACCTTGTTACTGGAGAACCTCCCTTGAAGCCCCTGTCACCGACATAGGAGATCTACATGACACCGGCAAGCCGGCCGAGGGTTCCGGGCCCGGCTGCACTAGTGCTGACTGCTGTGCGAGAGGAAGGCACTCTTGTCGATTAGCTAGGTGGACTACTGCTGTGCTCCGGAGAAAACTAGATCTGGATCTCTTCTTCTCGACTGCCTTTTTCATGGCGGCCCTCACGACCCTTTGCACAATTCTGGCAGTACGGTACTCGAAAGACAAGCTCTGCTGAGACCTAGCCCAATATTACTCATTCGAAATGATCCAATGCCTGCAAACACATACTTGCATCCTAATCTTGATGCCACTTCCCTAGTCCTCAGAATGCGATGCTTCTGGCCGAATTTCAGCCAGCGTACGTACTGTGCATGTCGTAATTCACACGGCTTTCCCCCGTCGTCAATCCTTTCGAAGCTAAATAAGACTTTAGCTTGGACAGGCCTTCAGTCTTACATACCACATTGCATACGTTCTCCCACACATTCTCCTCCCAACTTTCACCTCATATACGCGCCTCGAAACTAGCTATGAGCTCTACGCAAGAGATCGACCTCTGGTCGCCTTTTACTAGAGACGTTCTACTGGAGGTCCGAACCAGCATGATGAAGAAGATGCCGGGATTAGAGGTCGAGTCTGGAATAGACAAGAGCCTCAGAGAAGGACCGATTCATGTATCTTTACTGGGTCTTGACGCGGACGAGCATGACCCGACCTTCCATGGAGGTCCCGACAAGGCGATTCACGGTTGTAAGTGGCTCAATTGCTTCACCTGGCGGTCCTCTGCCGATAAGGTGCACTGCTGAAAAGGATTTGTCCAGATTGCTCATCGCATTATCCTGGCTGGAAAGAAGAGTATCCCGGGGCAGCAGATCGCTTCACACCAGGTGCATTTGGGGAGAATTTTGTCACCAAGCACATGAATGAGCGGAACGTCTGCATTGGAGATGTCATCGCTGTTGGTGATGAGGTCGTGCTTCAAGTCAGTCTACCGCGCCAGCCATGTTACAAGCTAAACCACCGATTTCAGCTGAAGAACTTTGCCCCAACAACGTTCAAGACCAGCAGGACCGGCTGGTATTATAGAGTCCTCAAGGAGGGCACTGTAAAGGCGGGCGATGAGATCAGGCTCGTTGAGCGGAAGTGGCCCAAGTGGACCATTGAGAGGATCCAGGAATATTTGCATAGGAACCAGAATGACTTGGCCATGAACGAGGAGTTGGCAGCGATTGAAGATTTGGGCAAGGAAAGCCGCGGGGCCTTCCAGCGGCGAGTGGCGAAGGCCAAGACTCAGGAGAAGAGGGAAAGGGGTGATAAATGGCGCGATTTCAAAATCGTCGAGAAGACAACCCAAACTCCGCGAATCGCGTCGTTTGTTCTCGAGGCCGTCAGCCTCAAGGAGAACGTGGAAGGTGTAGACCCTGGCGCCCACGCAAAGCTTAAGCTTCCCAACGGCCTCCTACGGTCTTACTCGATCGTCTCTGGAGACCGCAACGAATTCGAACTCGGTATTGCCTTGGAGGACCAAAGTCGTGGAGGCTCCCGTTTCCTCCACGAGTCCGCGGCCGTCGGAGACGTCCTTCAGGTCGGGAGGATTACCACCGACGTGCAGGTCGCAAGTGCTTCGAGCAACCATGTCTTCATAGTCGGCGGTATCGGCATTACCGCCTTCCTGGCTCTCGCCGAGGCATACCTCGAGGTTCACTTCAACTTCGAGATGCACTACGCAGTGCGTTCCGCTGACGACGTACCTTTCCGATCACGTTTGGAAGCTCTCGGTCGCAGTGTGCGACTGTACGACAGGTCCAAAGGGGAGAGGATGGATATTGGCGATATCATGCGGACGCTCAAGTGGAACAGCCATGTGTACGTTTGCGGCCCCACGCGGATGATAGAAGCTGTGAGGACAGCAGCAGAAGAGTGCGGTCTCGATGAGAGCGACGTACACTATGAAGCATTCTCTGCAGACACGTCGGGCGACCCGTTCGAGGTGGAGATCGTGAACCAGGAAGGCAAAGTCCTTAAGGTGGGAGCGGAGGAAACGTTGTTGGAGGTGCTCAAGCGAGAGGTCGGGGGAGATGTTGAGAGTAGCTGCGAGGTTGGCAATTGCGGGACGTGCAAGGTAGTACTGAAGACTGGCCGGGTTGATCACAGGGGCACGGCGTTGACTCCTGAGGAGAGGGTTGGATCAATGCTAAGTTGCGTGAGCCGCGGTATTGAGAGGATCACAATTGAGATTTGATAGCGTTCACAGGAAACGCATTCGACTACAGTAGTTTTGATATTGTGCCCGGTTAATCAACTCACTTCTAACCTCTGGCATTCCTTGGCCGGGACCGAGTTACATTGAATTTTGGCTGCGGAGAGGACAGAAACCTTTGTGTTTAATCTAGAGGATTCTTTGCAACAAATTCTGAGCACATGCAAAATGTATATTACTGTGAAATGTTCCAAGAGTCCAACCATCTAGCGGCTCTAGTTGTGTAATTGACATCTGCAGCTGAATTGGAGAGGCACAGAGGATCTTGCACTTTGCATGGAGTGGTCGGTCTTCACCATAGATAAGACAAAGGACAGCCAATGTTCGAAGTACCAACCAATAATACTGCGTTTTGATAAGAGACGAGCCCCACCTTAACTTTTTTTTGGTTTGGGTCCGACGAGAATTTTGGTGGCTCTCACGGTTCATTTCTCGAGGACGACAAGCGCATTCTTGGTGTCGACCACATTTTCCCACAATGTCACCCGCCGAGTCCCAAGGAGATGGCTTCGTAATTCTGCCAGTGAAGCTACCAGCGCTTCCATCTTGTCCCATCACCGCCCTCCACGAAATCCGCGTCCGACGGAATGCGCCCAAGATCCCGACCGAGATCGACGACCGGAGTCTTTTCCTCAAGAACGTCCCTGTCGACAGTACCGAAGCCCATTTTCGCCAGGTCTTTGCGGCCCTCGTTGGTCCCGGTCGATTCGAGAGCATTGCGTTCGAAGATGAGCGGAAAACCAGCACGGCGATCGACCCGGCCCAGGCCGTGAAGGTGACGGGTTTCGGCAAGAAGCGCAAGCGTGACGAGCAGGAGGCAGAAGAGAGAGCAAGGGAGGAAGAGGTCGCCCGGCTACCGGATATTTGGACTAGGAGACTGCGCAAAAGTGGCAGCAGCGCCATTGTCCTCTTGGCCGACCAAAAGAGTGTCGAACTCGTAATGAAGGCTATCAAGAAGGCGAACAAGTCGAAGAAGTTCCCCGTCTGGGGGGAAGGGGTTTTCCACGACCTTTCCGAGCTTGGTTCGCAGTGGATCTCAGCACATATCCAGCTGGCTCGTTGCGACAAGGCGGCGACGCAAAAGTCCGTACATGCCTTCTTCAACGTCTTCAACCGCAAGGAGAAGGAAGCGGCTGAGATGGCCAAGAGGCTGCGTAACGAGCCGGACGAGGACGGATTCGTCACAGTCGTCCGCGGCGGCCGTGTCGCGCCAGCGAACAAGACCGAGGCAGAGGAGGCCCGGCAGAAGATGGTGGACAAGGCGGAGAAGAAGAAGTCGGAGACGACAGACTTCTATCGCTTCCAGCTGCGCGAGCGTCGCAAGGCGGAGCAGGCCGCGTTGATGAAGAGGTTCGACGAGGACCGGAAAAAGGTCGACGCGATGAAGGAGAAGCGTGGGAAGTTCAGACCCGAGACATGATCCGGCAATGGAACGTCTCGTCAACCAACTAAAACAAGATACCCATTTACGCCACATTATTGAAACTGTAAGTTGTCTTTCTGTCTCACGCCCACCTCTTCCCTTCCACATGATGACGCACGCGGGGCCAGCGGAGCACCTTGCGATGAAGGGCTTGTCCTGGATTCAGTGGTGCAGTGCCGACAAACACCGCGTTACCATATCTTCTCAACTTGTCTGAAATCCAAGAGATTCTGTCATTACAACCTCAGTCGGTGTTGAACACCAGAGGCTAACTTGACGCCAGACTACGAAGGTCGGAGGACCGGCCATAAAGGCCATGCCAGCCGTGACAAACTCGCTATGTTTGGCCATTGGAATCAGAAGTGCCCTTGTCAGACTGCCCCTGGGTCATCCACGACAAGGAATCACTGCATACAGATGCTCCTTTGGCCAGAACCTAAGTGGACCCGACAAAATGAAAAGATCGTGTATCAGTCGAGTCGGAAAATAGAAATGCCTCAGTGCAGATATCACGGACTGGTCTAGTTTTGACCGCCACGCCGTTCAGCCGTCCTCAGCAGAAACAATACCCAGCCACGTGTGTGTCGGCAAGTCTATCTAACCACTCATGGGATTATTCCAGCGAACTCATCAGACGCAGTCCCAGCGCGGCATCGGTGTTATTGGCATGTTCTTGGCACCCCTACTTGTAACCAACATGCTCTTGAATAGTATATGGCGTGGATACTCGTTCAAGCCTCTTCCCTATTTAAACTGTTTCTTCGCTTGGCCACAAAGACTTTAGCGTCAAAAATCGCGGTCTCAGACTCCTCAGCCGTTGTTAGTGAACAATATGTTAGATGCGCTAGTGATGGGCTACCACACGGCCGGTTCCTCGCGGCTCACGAGGTGGGAGGATGAGGTCTGGAAACATGATCTTGTTTCTCAAAGTGGCTCGCCGTAAAATGTCGTTACTCACTTCGTTTTGTTTCAATATGTTCTCTTTTAGTGACAACCCTTTTTACCAATTGAAACTCCGCCTCGAAGGCTCACAGAAGATCTTTTGTGCACATGCTTGCCCGCTCCGTGCCGCATGACGACGTCCAACTTATTTGACAGGCCCTGGCACGACGAGGGTTTTCGGTTATCGTCTCCGACCTTGCAGCCCAGGGCTGGATCGCGAGTCTATCGGCTCGGCGTTGGGGTCGAAAATGGCATAGCTCGAGGTAGACCGACATCTGCAAGTTTGCGGCGGGAAATCCAGCAGATTTCCCCTCCACATCTCACGACTTTTCCTTCTCTCCATTGTCCTCATCTTGAGCGCTGAGACCCTGCCAAGTGATGTCCGTCAATACGCTCCGACAACTTGTCAAGTCCAGCTCTGTCCAAGAATAGCAGGCCGTCAAGCCCACTGTGATCGCCTTCACCTGAAGTTTGGCGTTTTGTTGAGAGCAAAAAATAAAAATACAAATTAACGATGCCGTTTCTCACACGGACCTTATGCAAGGAGTTGCGATTGCAAGAAAGTGCTGCCAATGCCAGAAAGCCTCATGAGGACGTTGGAAAACGACTCATGACCAGGCACCAGCGCGCCATGCTGCATGCGAAAGTACCAATCTATAGCACAGCATGTGCAACAACGAGAACCTTTGCTTTCTGCCGTTGTCCTGTACCTGCATTAGACAGCACGTCGGCCTACATTACCATCACCTGTTGGGGGATGGAATGGGAAGAACAGCAGCTGCATCAAGTCGCAACGAGAATCCTTTAGCCGCAGAGCCACCAAGTCCCGCCGATGCTGGCTTCTTGCGGCTGGAAGCAGTTTCTAATGGTCGCGAACTAATATCCTTTTCGGGCTAGCCTGTCGACCGATGTAAGTCGAAGACTGCCACATCGCAGAATCCCCCAATCATTCTCAACCATCGACCTTTTTGCAATTTCCCATGCCCCTTTTCAGCACCCGATCGAGCGTAAAGCAGAGAACTCCCACCGCTTGCTCGCCCGGACCGCGTGATGCTTAGCCCCGGTCGCCTTCAATGGGGTCTTGCATGCGCAGTTGGCATCGTGAAGCCTTCTTCGCAGCCCTCCTTCCCCTTCTGGGACACATAGACCGTGAGGCCAATCTAGCCCGGCCAAGTCCACCGAAGAATCTGTTAGAGAGGCCCTAATGAGGTTGTTCCCAAAATGAGGGACTCGCTTAGTCCACCGAGGCTTTTCTGGCTGCGATGCCGCTGTGCCTCTGGGCGTGTAAGTGACCAATCCGCCAACGGCACAGGAGAGATGCCCAAGCACTCGCGATGAGAGAGCGTGGGAATCATAAGCAGCACGTCGTCCGCCTCGCATGAAGGGGGCTTGCTCTTCTCTCCTCACGCAGTACACACTAGCCAACGACTGTGCCGTCCAGCAACCTCCAGAGCCATCTTGCTCGTCCAACGACGTATCTCACGTCAAGTCATTCGCTTTACCACATCTGACTTACACCAAGTCTCTCTTTTATTAATCCTAATACAGCCATCATGGCCCCCTCACTCTTTGCTCTTGGTACGGCTGCCCTAGCTTTGGCTGGTGACGCCGCCGCCAAGCAGTTCGTCCTCGACGACACCTACGACTCGACGAACTTCTTTGACAAGTTCGACTTCTTCGAGAGCAGATACGGCACTGGAAATTACAACGATGTCGACCTCACTTCGGGTTACATCAACTACCGGACTCGTGTCGATGCCCAGAAGTTGGGCCTCATTAGCAACGCCGGTGGTGAGGTCTACTTGGGCCCTGATGTCCAAAATGTCACCGAGTTTCCCGGTGTTGGTCGTTCCAGTGTGAGGCTCGAGAGCAAGGCCATCTACAACAAGTCTCTCATGGTCGCCCGCTTCTCTCACCTGCCCAAGCCTGTCTGCGGTGCTTGGCCTGCTTTGTGAGTCTTTGACAGGATACATCTGTACTAGATACTCGTAGACTAACGTAACTGAAGCTGGTCTTACGGTGCCCCGTGGCCCCAGAAGGGTGAGCTCGACTGGTTTGAGGGCTGGAACAATGCGGTAAGGACCTCAACCGCACTGCTTCTCATGGCCATTACTTACAACGTTGCAGGCTGCCAACAAGCCCGCCGCCCACACCTATCACTCGTCCGAGCAGGGCCAGTGCATCATTAGTGATGCTGGCCAGATTTCCAAGGTCAATACGGCCAACTGTGATCAGTGGGCTCCCGGTCAATACCAGAACGAGGGTTGCGCTGCCACTGCCACCTCTGCTGATCCTTGGGGCTCTGCTGACGGTGGTGTTTGTAAGTGAAGTTGAAGGCACTTGAAGGTCCACAGCCCCCTGTTTCTAACAAAATCCATAGACGCCGTTGAATGGACCGATGACTACATCAAGTTCTTTGGTAAGCCTATTCCCAAGTAGCATATGCTTCAAGAGCCATCTGACCTTGCTCCTAGCCTGGACTCACGGCGCTGCTCCCAAGGATATTGGATCCGACTCCCCCGATACCTCCTCCTGGGGTACCCCTTCCATGCTGATCTCCAACGACAAGTGCAACATCAACAGCCACTTCGGGGACCAGAAACTCGTGATCAACATTGACTTCTGTGGCGTTCTCGCCGGCAACGAGTTTATCTGGAAGGACCAGTGTGCTGCGTCTACCGGCCACGCCGTCTGTTCAACCTACGTCGCGCAAAACCCCTCGGCTTACAAGGATACCTACTTCAAGATCAAGGACATTCGTGTCTTCAAGGAGGGTAGCAAGCCCGCGGTCACGACTTCAACATCTGCCTCCGTATCTGCATCTGCCTCCGCGTCAGCTTCTGCTTCTGCCTCCATCTCTGCTTCTGCTTCTGCCTCCGCGTCGGCTTCTGCTTCTGCCTCGGCCAGCGAATCTCACTCGCAGACAGGTACGGCCAAGGTCACTGACAAGTCTGTCAGCGTCTCCGACTCCCAGACTGCTATCGGTAATGCCTCTGCGTCCAAGTCTGCTTCCATCACTGCTACCGGCATAGCTACTGGCACCATCACCGCAAGCGCCAGTGCCACCAAGTCCGCGTCTGCCAATGGCTCCGGCTCTATTTCCATCAAGTCCAACAGCGTTATTGACGAGGACGTCTGCACCGAGGATGACGATGGTGTCATCACCAAGAGCGTAGTCACCACCAAGGACGTAGTTACCAACAAGGACGCAACTACCACCAAGAGCGGCATCACCAACAAGCAAACCGAGGCCGTCGTCTCGACGACCGCCGTTGAGCTGACCACTTCGACTGTCTACACCACCAAGGTCTCGACCGTCACTGCGTGCCCACCGGCCGTCACTGATTGCCCGGGCCGGATTGGTAAGGTCATCACAGAGACCATCGCTCTCTACACCACCGTGTGCCCCGTCTCATCGGTCTCTGCTCCTAAGCCCACGGAACCAGTCAGGGGCAACAATCACAACGAAAACAACGACAATAAGCCCAACCCCGGGTCTGAGGTCTCAACCACCACTTTGACCACCGTGTATACCATCACAAAGTGCCACCCTTCCGTCACAAACTGTCCCATTGGAAGCGTCACCACCAAGATCGTGACGAAGTCGGTCCCTGCCGCCGGCCCGTCCGTGCCCATCGTTACCAAGATCGTTGTTCCTTCCGGTTCCATCTCCGCCCCGGGCGTGACCAAGACACTCTCCCGGGTCTCATCCTCCGGCCTCCCCCCGAAGCCCAGCGCTCCCAACGGCAAGCCTCCCGGCTACAACTCTACCACACCGGTGTCCAAGCCCTCCACCCTGTCTGCCCTTAAGCCCTCAGGAACCGCCCCCGGTGCTTCAATCACCGGCTGCTCTGGCCCTAGCTGCCCGACCAAGCCGGCCGTTGTCGTTAACGCCGCCGTCCAGGCCGGCGCCAGCTTCGCGCTCATGGCCCTTGGCGCCCTCGCTGCCTTTGCCTTATAGATGGTCACACGTCCATGCTGTCCATGCTGTCTCATGGGATAGATGTCACAACAATGTTTAATGTGTATTCAAGTGTGGCCAAATCGACCGCCCATGTCAGGAGAGAAGATGCTTTGGTTTCATTTGTCGCGAAAAATGCAGATATCCTGTCCTTCTGGGTACGTCTTGATGCAGCACGCGTAGTTGTAGCTTTGGCCTGAATAATAATGAAACGGGAGTGGTGATACAAGAGCACCAGTGTCCGCAATGTGACAATGGCTTACTCAGAGGACGCAGAGAAACAATCCCATCGAAAGTCTCAGGTTTTCGATGTAGGTGAAAAGTTTTTTTTGAGTTGAATGGTCGCTGCCGTCATGAGAGTCCAATTTTGTCTAATGGCTTTTTGGCCTCTAGGGGCCGATTTTCACTAATCTACATGAATGATGCTGCTCGACTCCCCCCTCCGCCCCCCGTTGAAATACAGGGGACGAAGGAATTGCTAAATAAAACACTTTCCACCCGCTCGCTCACTGCAGAGCGGTCTTTTTGTCTGCTCGTAATGGTTTTCCTTCCCCGTTCTTCATAATCAAGCGTTCCTCCCGTCTTGTCGTCAAACTCAGTAATAACTCCCGAGCGACATACTGCCGTTGTAATTTCTCATCCGGGGAAGGTCTTTCGATCCATGACAATCCCGCGTGCCAGAGACGGGAGCCTATCTGCCGCCCTTCTGCATCTTGGTGATTTCCGTCTGGTACCGGATCTTGAAGCCGTTGCACAACGCTCGCATGTCAGGGTAAGCCTGCTTAAGCAACTCGAAGCCACCGGGGATAACACGGACGGGCCACGAGTTGACCCTCGACGAGCGACTGGCCTTGAAGCAAAGCCAGAAGTAGCCGGGGTGCTTAGGATCGATGCAGAAAGCGTAGGCGGAACGGTTGGGGTTGGCGTCAATATACGTTGTGAGCCATTTTTCTGCAGTCAAGGTTAGCTATACTCAGCCATTAGTGCATAACTCACAGCAGGACTTACCGAGATCCGTCTTGGACCGCTTCTCGAACTTCTCATGCTGCATCATCTCGTCCACCTTTCTGGACATGGCCTCGATGTGCTCGTGGATCAGCTCGTCTAGATCCTTGTAGGTGAACTTGCCGCCCACCTTGAGCAGCTTGCCGACGGAAAATTCGGTCTCCTTTTGGAGCTCAAGAACGTCAACGTGCTGGAAGACACCATCGGCGACCTTCCAGGTGATAGCCAGATGATCGTTACCCTTTGAAGAAGGACGGATGATGACCTCGCCGGCGGCTTGGGTGCCGAGCCATTGCTCCGCCTCCAACCCGTTGAAAGGCTTGAAGAGAGGATGCTTGATGACTCTCTGGGTGCGGCCAGTACTCTTGTCCTTTTCGCGCAGCTCCTCCTTGTCCGCCGCCTCCAACCTCTCGTCCCACTGCCCATGGCCGTGATACAGCGGGCGCTTGTACGGGCGTTTGACCTCTGCATCTCTTGCAGAAAGCTTGGCAAGAAAGTCCTTGTAGTTTATCTCAAGGACCTTGGCTTGCACAGTCTGCCCATTTGTCAAAAGACCCCGAACTCGAACACCGTCGGGGCCATCATGTGACTCGATGCGGCCCTCTATGCCGCAGTCCAATTTGACGATGGCGAAATCGTCTTTGACTACCCTTACGTTGACAGGGATGATCATGCCTTGGGCAAGAGTATCCTTTGTCTCACCAGTGAACATAGTGAAGATCTCATTCGGGCCGAGAGATGCAAAGTTACGACGCAACTCTTCGTACGGAGCCTGGAGTTCTGCTCGAATAGTCTCAAGTGTGGCGCGCTTCCTCTGGCTGTAATTCCGTTCGAGCTGCTCAGCATATTCTTCAAGGATAAGCTCGTTGACCTTCTCCTGTTCGTCTTCTTTAAAGAGCTTGCGAACAATGGCTCCTGGACCGTTGTGATCGGTCTCCGCCTTGACGTCTTCCTCGTCAAGTTCGAGAGCGTCAGCTGCCATCTTGCGGCCCAACTCGTAGTCCTCTGGATGGACACGGGTGTTGTCAAGAGGGTCCGAGGTGGGATTCGTTGCGTCGTAGTCGATGAATAGGAAACTGGCGCAGTTATTCCATACTCTGGGACCTACAACCGGGAGCTTTCCGCTGTCGGGATCGCCGACAAGCTCGTCTCTGCTGCTGACGGCCCCGCCATTTGCGTTGATGGCTTTGATTACACTTGTGGCTTTTCGGGGACCGAGACCCGCAACATATGGTAGAAGATTAGCCGTATAGGAGTCGCCCACCGCCTCATTGATATTGACACCGCAGAGGTTGACCATGTCAACCATCGCCGACTCAAGGTGTTTGAGGAGCTTCTCTTGAGGCAGCAGATTTTGACAAGGGTGGAAAGCTAGGGTGGTAATATCCTTGCCGAGAGCAGCGTACTCCTTGAGCGGGTTCTGCATGTAGTGCGCCAGGGCAATGCAGTATCTCGTAAGGGAACTGAGAGTAGGGTGCTCGGCGACCGCTCGGGGACTATCTTTGTACAACCGAGCCACTTCATCGTTCACAACGATGACTTCGAGCGGCTCGGTGCGGTACTCGCCAAGCTCGGGGTCGTCGAACTCAGGACCCATCAAACCCTTCTCGTTAATCAAGCTCTCCAAGTCTCTCACGAGCTTCTGCGTATCGGCGGACCATCCACTAACACCAATGGCATCGGGGCGGCGTCTGTTGACGATCTCAACAAACTCTTCGCGAGCACGCTCATCACGGGCCAGATTGCCCAGCTTGCCCTGCTCAATGACCCGGCCATCTTCTTCAACCGAGGCCCAGCAGGTGGGGTCGCGAGCTGGATCCGCCATGCCGTTTGACAGAGTAATGATGCGAGGTACCGTGCCAAGAATCATGCCCTTGGGCTTGTACGGTGCTTGATCGAGCCTCTTGGAGTACTCTTCACGGCAGGCTTTGAGGACTTCTTCTTGGCACGCGGTGCGAAGTGACTCCTTGACACCCTTGGCGATAATCTTGGACAGGCGGGGGACAACGAGGTCAAGCACCTTTTGACGCTCCTCATTCCATCGGTCAGCAAGTTCACTGTAATTGTCCGAGATGAACTCTTGGCGTAACTGGCGCTTGAAACCATCGTCGTTCTCCAATGTCAGCTTGACCTCAATGAGGCCTTCCTCTTCAGCCTTCATCATCTTGAGGTATAGATCCGGCTGGCGAGCGACATCGGCAATGGTTTGGTTGATGAGGTACTTGACTTCGTAGAACGGGTGCGATTCATCAATCTTCTTCAGGCCCTTCTCCGTTCGACGACAGCTAATCTCGCCCATTTGGTAGAAGTTGACCCTAAAATGCTTGCGCATACGGGGGTTGACGAAAAGTTCCTCTGCATACATTTGCCGAGCGGCATACATGACCGTATCGCCTGTCTGAAACTCCTCGTCGGTAAGAGAGTCGGCGAGGTCATCCGGAAGTTGGCTATCGTCATCGGCCCAAACTTTGTTACCTTCGCGAAGAGTATTCTGAGCGAACCGGTCCGGAGTGATACCGTAAGCGCGGACGAAACCAAAGGCCTTGCTCCGCCTGACCCTGTCGACAAGGTTTGATTTTGAGCCTGGGCGCTTCATTTGGTTGCCATTGCCGTTAATCGAGGACATATCCTTGAGCTCGGCGGCGTACTGGAAATGAAGGTAGTCTTGAAGGTCTTGCAGTTCCTCCATTGTCGCGGCCTGGGGAATCATGTCTTCGAGCACGTCGTCCTTGATGCTCGAAGTCGACTTGAGGTTCTCGAATGTCTTCTCCAGAGCATTCCGCTTCTCAATAAGCGACCGGAACTTGATGTCGAGTTCTAGGATGCGCCACAGATCGTCCTGGGTGAGCAGCTTGTCCGCACTGACAATCCACTCGGGGGCATCCGGATCGTCGCGATGGTCTGGGTTTTTCGTCTTTTTCGCGTGAATCAGATAGTCCTTGCGATGTTGGAAAACGTAGGGGACCTCAACGTCGTCGACAACAAAGAACTCAAGAACCTTGCCGATAGCCTTGGTGAAGGGTCCATGCAGTTCGGATTGGAGTAGCTTTTTGGGCCACATCAAACCCGCAATCCACCGAGCCTCCTCCTTGAATTGCTCGGCGCTGATTTGCAAGTGCTTGAAGGGTTTTCGGTCCAGCTGGAATCTTTCGGGCTCGTCCGTGAATCGAATCTGGTTATCCTCGTCGGTCAAGAGCTTTTCCTTCAGTTGCGACGGCTCGAAGACATCCTTGAGCTCGATGACCTGCTCCTCTCGTTCACGGTCCTCTTCCTCGTCCTCCATTTGAAGAGCCCAGTCGTAGTCTTCTCCGTTTCCGAAAATGGCCTCCATGTCCTCGAGGGCGTCTTTGTCAAGACCAGCGGTATCAACCACACCTCCCACCCCCTTGTCACGGGGACGGGCGACTTCAGCATCTTCGAGTTGGCGCGCTCGTTCGTCTTCGTCCTCCGGATAGTCTTCTTCAATGAAGTCGTCAAATTCGTCGGCCTGGGATCGGTAGTTGGACCTGTTGTAAGGTCGGGAGTCGGCAGGTTCTTCATCGTCATCGGAGAACATGTCCTCTAAGCCACGTCGCTCAGTGCCACGGTCATCTTCGTCGCGATGTCCCCGTTTGAGACGCTTGAACTTCGGCTGCAAGGTGTGTTAGCAAGGTGTATGGCAATATGAGCCCGTAGACATCGTACCTGTGTGGGCGCACGGCGTTCAATTTGTTCTCCGATCAGCTCCAAATCGTCCTCGTCCAGCTGCTCCTCTTCTTCTCTGTCACGATGCTCTCGCTTCCGCTTTCGCTCATGGGCTTCCTCGTCCTCGCCTTCTTCCTCTTCCTCGTCTTCATCGACAATGAATCCTTCACGGATCTGCAAGATTCGCATTAGTGGAATGCCAAGTCGCCGTTACACAAGTTTGCCTACTTTGCGCGCCTCCTCCTCATCTTCGTCGTCTTCTTCCTCTTCAGAAGAATCCTCAGGGGCCGCGTTTCTTCTGCGCGAAGAAA